GTCCCCAAATCCACACAAATGAGGGACCAGACGACTCTACCAACAACCCTGCAACACTTAGGGCCTTAGGGCTTAGTATCCCGGATCAGGACCAAGTTGGGTCACGTAAGGTCTTACCAGTTGGGCTGGGTTGTAGGATATGTTTTTTTCTTCTGGATAAATCCATTTTCAACCATGAAAGGGGCTCAACCCATTTGGACAGCCTCAAGTGAATAGACAGTTTGTCTGCATTTACGTTGTCGAGTGGATTTCACCATGTGTTGCATAGCACTTTTCGTAGAATGGGTCCACGACCCCAGGGTCATTGAGACTCCAGGTATACCTTAACGTTCACTTCCCTGGCCACTTGACCCTTGCCTTTTGAAGCCTTGGCTACGCAATTTGCGTAGGAGACTCCAGGTACAAAGTTTGATAGCCATGGCTTCACAGCTCGCACTTTCGGCGTGGCAACTTCAGCCACATGGTGCCACCAGCGCACCGAGGAAAAGCAGCTTGCAGAGTCCGATTCAGAGGAAGACCCAGATCAAACCTCCAAAAGGTCTTCATGGAGTCTCCATGACCCCTAGAAAAAGGGTCCATGACCCCTTTATTTGGGTAACGGTCGTGGAGACTCCAGGTTAGGGCCCGCAAAAACCCGGGCCTTCTTGATGTTGCTCTTGAAAAAGGAAAATCTGCCAACGGCTTCTTTTTTTTTCAGGGTCCTGGAAGTCCTGGAAGATTAAGGCTTGAAAAGGTCTAATGACCTGTTGCTCAAACGAAGCCTGGCTTTCTGATGAGCAATCCAACAGGTCTCCCCACACACAGCTAGTGGAAGAGAGGAGTGAAGATACTTGACTTGGTCAAAACACCCGGTTGTTTTGGGCTAGTACGAAGCAATTGTTTGACCAGCGCGCCGTCGATTTTGAGACCCCTCGCGAGCTCTGCGACGGGTACGAAACCATGGCTTGAGAAAAGAAGGCTCTTCCGCCTCTTGGTAAGGATCCTGGCTGAATCTCTATAACTAGACATTGCAGCGCAAAGTATCAAGGGCTCACCTGGGGGTAAACCGTGCTCATCCATGATTGGCCCATGATGATGGTCAGTCGCGAGTTATGGGAATTTGCCCAGATTGCACGGGTTCTAAAGGACCATGCCCCACAGTTTGGGAGCTTTGACGTAGCTTGTATTTGGTGCAACAGCTTCGCAAAATGGAAGCAGGACCGCCTGTTGGATTGGTTTAAAGAGATTGTTTCACAAGCATCGCACAAAAAGTACTGATCTCAACATCTCGAATGTTTTTCGGCAAGGGTCTAAAGGGCCGCTCAAGTGACTTTGATCTGGTGGAGCACTTGATTGGAGAGTCCCTGAAATTCAACCCACCATTCAAACAATGGAGGTTCATAGAACATCTCAAAACCGCCGCTGTGTACGTTCAAGGATTGTCATTCAAATTGGGTCCCAAGGCCTTTGTTTTAATGGGGGCAAGGAACCCTAGGGGAGCGTTTCCACTTCAGAAGTTTCAAGGGGAGCCATGGTCCAACAACTGGTCGCATCCCCTTGGCTCTGAACCATGGGTGGCTCGATCTTTTTCGGAGGGTATTAGGGACACCAAAAGTTAAGACACGTATTTTGTGGGTCCAACCTTCCAAAAGACAAACATTCGTATGATAATTTTGCAAGCGGTTTAATTTCCGCGCCCGAGGCTCCATATCAAACAAAACCTAGAGGGCGTTTGAACCGGACCATCGAGACAAACAGCTCGGACTCTTTCCTGATATGGGTTTGTCACAAACATCGGGGGCTTTCCCAGCACCCCCCAACTGTTGTTTCCCATATCCGAAAAGGAGTTGTTGCTAAATCTGGAGGTGTTCCTTTTGTTCCACTTTTGAGCCACCTAAAAGCATGGTGCCCTTCCAAAAAGTCAGGTTTCGCAAGCCTTGGGTGTGAGTGAAGGGCCGCATGCCCGGATGCTGCGACCAGTCGTCGCACTAATAGGCTCGCCCTAAGCTCGGGTCTTGGCCCGCAGGAGAGACACCCGGAATTCCGGAAGACCAGTTGGAACCATAGCTGCTGGTTGGAAGGGAGCCGCCAGGGAGCTGGGGGTATCCAAGTTTGCTTGCTGAAGAGGGAGCTTTTCGGAGCTACCGATCGGAGTTCTGGAAGGACTCTGTAGATAAGTGTTGTGGTTCATGTGAATTGAAGCCTTAGTCGCCGGGACCGGAGATGATTAAGATATCGGATGACTTTTGATCATCCCTCGAACTCGCTCGCCTCTCGTCCTCCTGTCTTGGCTTCTGGTCGGGCGGGAAGAAAGGAGAAGCCGGGCGAGTCTTTTCGCGACGGCGCCGCGCGCCCGTGTTCCCTTTGTCCATTGCCGGGCAGCGTCTTTTCGCCATGTCTGTGGTCATTGGCTGCTCGGTTCCACCCACCCGAGCGCAAAGCGGGGCTTTGGAAGATGACCCTTTCCCAAGGTTAAGATGAACACGGACGAGACATGTAGCTATGAAGATCAGTGGAATAATGTTGAGCCAGGATTAATAAACCCGTCCCATTTTTTGGGGGGTTCCCTCCAAAAGTGGTCTGAATCCTCACCAAAAGGGGACACCCGCATTTTTGTATCAACCAGGGGTTCTGCTTAATCCGGGGTTAACCTTAGTGATATTTTATGCAACACTCCAAGTGTAGTGGGCCTCCTTGTCCATCCAATAAGCAGCCATGTTTTGACCACACAGTTACGCGCAAGTGGAATTCAGGCGCGCTCCGCACGACCCAGGCCCCTGCGGGTTGGCCTGAACCTGAAGACCCAAAGATGGTGTTCAACCACCCACTCTTCCCCTTAGAAGAATGAGTGAGTTAGATTCGAAACATATAACATATATACACAAGTCACATCCTCCCCCTCTCTTGCTCTTTGGGTAGTGCTAAAAGCAACACATGTGCTGGGTAAATGCAGCTCAGTGGACACACACAAGTGGGGTAGGGTAGTCAAATCCAACTGCTTCTCGTGGGTTAATCACACGCTACGCATGCATTCGATTTTGGCAGGTCGAAGTGCAGAGGCCCTTGTGCGTCAACCCCGGGCCTAGAGCCGTGCGTTTTCGCGCGCCTTGAGACTTTAGTCTTTCGGCCAGAACCCCTGGTGAAAAGAGTGTACATGCAGTGTGGCAACACCACGTCAGCGATTAGGCACAGAGGTCATAGAAGTATATGATGTTTGACATATGTATATATATATATATGTATATAAACGCATACATCACACACACACACACCCGTAGACACACACACACACAAACACACAAACACACAAACACACAAACACACAAACACACAAACACACAAACACACAAACACACAAACACACAAACACTCAAACACGCAAACACGCAAACACGCAAACACGCAAACACGCAAACACACAAACACACAAACACACAAACACACAAGCACACAAACACACAAACACACAAACACACACAGAAACACAGAAACACAGAAACACTGAAACACAGAAACACAGAAACACAAACACACAAACACACAAACACACAAACACACAAACACACAAACACACAAACACACAAACACACAAACACACAAACACACAAACACACACAGAAACACAGAAACACAAAACACAAACACAGAAACACAAACACACAAACACACAAACACACAAACACACAAACACACAAACACACAAACACACAAACACACAAACACACAAACACACAAACACACAAACACACAAACACACAAACACACACACAACACACAAACACACAAACACACAAACACACAAACACACAAACACACAACACACACACACAAACACACAAACACACAAACACACAAACACACAAACACACAAACACACAAACACACAAACACACAAACACACAAACACACAAACACACAAACACACAAACACACAAACACACGCACGCACGCACGCACCCACACACACACACATGTGTGTGTGTGTGTGTGTGTGTTTATATCATGCATATGTCTACATGATGTATTTGCAGTGGAACCGACCAGGGGCTTCCGACTTGGAGCCGAACCACGATTCCTAGCACCGGCGATGGGCGGCCAAGCCGCAAACCGCAAACGTCCAGCGCGCGCCATCTAAGGCATGGAGCCTTTGGCTGGACGAAGTCCTTAGCATCCCTGTCCCTGGGTCTCCTCCCAAACAAAGAAGCAGGGTAGACTACACATCGAACCGAGTCAGAAATCTGACATTTTCGGGGTAATTTCCCCCAGATGGCCCAGATCCATACTTGTAAAGCATTAACTTTCGAACTGGGAAACCTAGGTGTTTTCGTAGTGCAGTTTGTCCATAGCTTTCTGTTGAGTGGTGGGTCCAACATACATGCATGTTCGCTCCCGAGTGACCACGGGATGATCGCTGAGGGGATCCGGAGCCATTAGCATCGAGGGCCGATGGCGTCGAAGATGCCCGAGTTCTTTTTCCCGGCTGCCTCGTCGCGTTAGGGGAAAAGGCCGAGCTCAGTTCATAAGTTGTTCCACCCCCTGAACGAACCTTCAACCCCCAAACGAACCTGGCCGTTTGACTGGGCTGTTCTGACCTTTTTGACACGCAAAACAAGACCAGCTGGCAAGGTTCCACTGGGCAATCCCTCAACCTTGCCTGTTCCATTCAAACCCAACCCACATTTCAGGGGAGTCCCCTTTCTGATTTCTCCTCAAGACGTACATTTTGAGACATCTTGCCTAGACACGTGTCCTTGGCACCTCTGAGGCCCCCGGATCCGGCTTTTCCCCAAAACGGGTCATGAGCCCTCAAGCCTGGGAGGCTCCATCTGACCCTTGAAAAAAAAACAACTCTGGAGTCTCCTTCTGATTCTGCAGTGGGGTCATCCAAAATCAAGGGGTCATGGCCAACCCATTTTTTCAGAAATGGTCAGAATCGGAGACTCCTGGAGGTCAACGAATAACATGGCTCCTGCGCCTCGCCTCGTTTTTTGGGCGGCGACCGGCGAGCCTTGCTTTCCCAGGACCCGGGGGCGGACCAAAGCGCGGCCACGCAGACCCCGGTGGCCATGCTGCCCTTTTGCATCCCGGAGAAAGCCTTTCAGGCGACGGGACCCGAACCGGGAACGGCAAGCGACCGAGTGTTGACTGCCCGGAAGGTGACTCGTCCTTCTTCTTTTTGTTGGAGGGTACCGTTTTAAAGATGATTTCAAGGGAAGCAAACGACCCCCCTCCCCCCGTCGTTTTCCCCTTAAACCAACCCCTAAAAAAATGTACCCTCAAAAGAAACACCCACGTGACTTGGATATTCGACTGCCCAAAGGGTCCGATCGGTACCCTCAAAAAGTCCAATGGCAGCCCAAATTACCCTCCCCGCTAACATGAAAGCTCCCAGGACCACTTTGGAAGACATGGCTCCATTTGCAGGATCGGCCTTCTGGGAGCTTCCATGTTAGTCTGAGGGAGTGTATGGATTGGTGAGTTCCGAATGTTCCATGGGTGGCTCGAGGCTCCAGATAGATGGAGTTTGGAGCCTCGAAATACTGTCCATGGTTGCGAGATCCGCCTCTCGCAGCAAAGAAGCCACGGGCAAACCATTGGCATTGGGATTTCGTCCATCCGCAGCATGTGTCCTTTTGACACCCCTTAGGGGTTGGGACACCGTCCAAAGCCAGTTGTATCATTTGCTGAAGGAAAAGGGATAGCTGTGTGGCACAGATGCCCGGGCGTTTGTCAAACTATCCCTTGGGTCAAGGGGCCTTGTTTGAGGTCTTTTGGGCTCAGAGGCATTCATTTTGGGGATCCTGGGCTCAGAAGGGTATGCTTGTCTCATTCGCTGACCAAATATGGTTCTCCGCCCCCAACTGGAGTTTGGCTTATGAAACTCGTCCTGGCCCTTGCCCCACTTTTGTTGCAAGGGCTGCGATACAAGCCCACTAATGTTGACTCCATATTCATCAACCCCAGTCTATCAATAGGGGGGTGTTCTGCTCCAAAAGTGGTCTGATTCCCCACTAAACCCGGAATCGGACACCCCCATATCAACAAGCTGGGATTGATATGGGATCAACATGATAGGCCTGCGCATCACGGGCATGCCCTGCACTTGTCTCTCTTTCGTTCTCTCTTTGGGAGGGACATCCAAGTCCAGGAAGCTTCTCCAAGGACTCCATTTGCGGAAGTCACCGGTTTGTTTTTGGTTTGGGGGGAACCGTGTTTGTCACTGCTTTAGGTTTCCATCCAAATCCCCAAAACCAACCCGGAGCATCCGCCAAAAATGCGCCAGGATTGCGTGGCACTCAGCCCATTGTGGAACAAGCTCCTTGGCGCATTCTCGGCAGAAGGGTTGCTGCGAGCCTCGCAGAGATGACGCCGGTGGCCACGGATAAAGCCATTCGGTCCTCCTATTGAGCGAGGGTCATCCAAGTATTGGTTCCTCATGTTTCCTTTTCCAGGGGCTTATGTCTGGGAGGGCAGGGCCGAAGCCGGCGTTGAATAGATCAAGAAGCTTCCGTTTTAAACCCGGCTCCAAGATGTGGTGCGCGCTGCTCAATTTTTGGCTTCACCAGCTGAGGCAGACCCATCTTTCAAGGGTCAGAACGAGACAACAGTATATGAGTTTGCGGATGGGTAGCTCTTTTGGCCTTTAGGTTGGTGGATGCAGTAGCGCGGGACGTCAAGTGGCTGCATGCGACCTTGGAGACGGTAGCGAAAGCCGACCCCTTCACTGGCCGGCTCCTGAAAATCTCCAAGCAGATACACGAGGAGGCCCCTTTGAGCGCTCACTCAAGGGTTGCGCGGGGGGGAGGGGTAATGATGCATGCCATGGGCCCCTCCCCCCAAACTTGTGTTTGTTTGTTTTCGGGTAACAAACAAATCAACAACTTGGAATTTTGCCCAGAACGGGCTGTTAGATGCAGAATTCAAGCAAAGGTGTTTTGTTATTTCGAAATGTCTGCTGTTTTGTTGCCTTGAGTGGGAAGCCAAGTCTTAGTCAAGCATTTCAAGTGTGTCCACCAAGAGAAACAGGTTTGTTTTGCCTGCCCTTGTTTCCTTTTCAAGGACCACTTTCAGGAAAGTGTTGTGTAGTCCCAAGGGACAGACCGACCCAGAAATGGGTGCCGTCGTCGCCTTGCTTATTCTTTACAGGGCTTTGGATACGTCGTCGAAATTCCGATCAGGTTTGATTATGACTCACCTCTACTTTGACTATAAGGCTTCCTACCCCAATGCACTTTCCTTGCAGCAATAAACCGTTGTGCTTGTTTGCAGGGGTCCCATTTGGCTGACCCAGGGTCTCTTTTCAGGGGTAACCACTTTTGGTTTTAAGGCTGGGAATCCAAAAGGAAAGCCGGAATCCATTTCTGGGGTTACACACAAACGACACCATTGTTTGCTCAACATATTCAGAGCCTCCAAATGGATTGCGGCTTTCCTTTTCCCAACACCCAAGCTACCTGGATCCTCAAGATTCCAACTTAAAAGTTGTTAGTTGCCTGCCCCAAACCTGCGGAGTTGGTGAACTTCCCTCTTTTGTATGGGTAGTTCTTTCGGGTCGTCGTGGGTCGTCTCTCCGGATGCTTTGTCAAACAGGGGCTGCGGCAGCCCCTGATGTTGGGCATCCACCGCTCGGACTACATGCTCCACTCCGGAGCCGAGCCCCGGTGCTTGCAGGCGACTCGGCCTCGAGAAGGGACTCGAGAGAAAGCCACCCCCTGCCCACCCGCCGGATCCTTTGCTGGCCACCACAACCTTCTGGCGGAATATGCAGCTGGGTCCCCCAGCTAGGTGCCCTTTCTTACCGTTTCTGTCTTTGGGGAGGGTTCCCCTACTAAAATAGACTACAGAAAAAAAGTTGGTACCCTTACTCTAACCTCTCCACTGGAGGACCTAGTGCAGTATTGTCCCCTGTTGGTTTCAAAGGGAATCAATTTCACCACTGGATCTTCTTTTTTTGTTTTCCCCCGTTTTTCCTGGGGACGTGTTGGAAAATGAAAGAAAGGGGGGCCGTTTTGCCCAGCGACTCAAAGGGCACAGGGCCAAACCTTCGGGGCTAAACCTTGTCGCTTAAGGGAGACCGCGAAAGGTCGTTTCAGCAGCCGTGGTTCCCTGGTTTGAAGGAAGACCACCCCTCAAAAGTGCTTGTCAGATGTCCTGAATCTGAAGCTGTGGAGCTTCAATCTACCCTTAAATCTGGGATATTGCCCCAACATGATGTGGCAATATCCAATTTTGGCCCCAGATGAATGCCTGTTTTTTGCTGGGGGGGGTCCCTTTTTAGTTGGGATTCAGACTACTGTTGGAAGTTGGAGGGAACACTTTCCTAATAGGACGGGTTTACTAATCCTGGGTTCCCGGAAGCGGGTACCCTTTTTTGGTAAAGGGAAACCAAGAGGACCCCCGCAATTTTGGGTCCAACAGCTGAAAGCTATTCCAGAAGGGTTCCTTGGGGTTCCGGGACTCCCTCCCAACCACCCAACCACCCACCCAACCAACGACCCAACCAACCAACCCACCAAGCAAGCAACCAAGCAAGCAACCAAGCAAGCAAGCAAGCGAGCAAGCAACCAACCAACCAAGCGACGGACCGACCGACCGACCGACCAACCAAGCAACCGAGCAACCGAGCAACCAAGCAACCAAGTAACCAACCAACCAACCAAGCAAGCAAGCAACCAAGCAACCAACCAACCAACCAACAACCAACCAAACAACCGACCGACCGACCGACCAACCAACCAACCAACCAACCAACCAAGCAACCAAACAGCCAAGCAACCAACCAAGCAACCAACCAACCAACCAACCAAGCACCAAGCAACCAAGCAACCAACCAGCCAACCAACCAAGCAAGCAACCAACCAACCAACCAAGCAACCAGCCAACCAACCAACAACCAACCAACCAAGCAACCAAGCAACCAAGCAACCAACCGACCGACCGACCGACCAAGCAACCGACCGACCGACCGACCGACCGAGCAACCGAGCAACCAACCAACCAACCAACCAACCAAGCAACCAACCATCCAACCATCCAACCAACCTGCCAACCAACCAACCGGGGGGATTGTGGTTCACTTGCCAAGTTTCAGGTGGAGCTGAACACCATCGCCTCCTCGATGGGCTGCCATGCCTTCCACGTGGAGAAGCTTCACCGCTTCGTGCTGGGACGCTTCCAGGATCGCGCCCAACCGCCACTTCCCGCTTTTGGGGCGGCCTCCCCGAAGAGCGTTGTTCTCAGAGTACCTAGACTTGTTCTCTGAGTACCTGGACTTGTTCTCAGAGTACCTGGACTTGTTCTCAGCGTACCTGGACTTGTTCTCAGAGTACCTGGTCTTAGTCACTTTTGGATGTTGGACCATTTTAGAGGCAAACAACATCAAGCAACAGTTTAAACTTGCTTTGCGGGCCAGTCTCTACTCAGGCAGAGAGTTCTTTGCAGGGCTGAACGGTGGACGCTCTTCCTTATTGCAAGTAAATCAAGCAGAAACCATGGGTGAATTTGCAGGGTCTCAAGCTTGTTCCCTTGCAAAATTTAGGGCGTCTACCGTGCCTGGTTTCATGGGGGATAGTACGGCTTTACGGCGTTTTGCTGCCTGCATACCAGAAGTCAATGGGTGAAACGGGCACTATGGGTGCATCTCATGGAGGAACCCTAAACTGGGTGGTTTCAGTTTCCCGGCTCGGAAGCAAGTTGGTGCTAGGTTGGGTGTTTGTCTTCACCTCCATTTAGCGAGTGTCCCTCTGGTTTTTGTTGGACCTTCAGCGAAAATAGTTTGAAGAACCAACAAATAGTTTGTTTTCAGGTTGGCGCAATATGATTCAGAACCCGATTATTTTCTTGGTGTATCTCAAAGTTGGCTCAAACGCAGTTGATCCCTCTAAGCTTTTTCAGTTTCCAGGCCTGCCGATGCAATCGGCCCCAAACAAAGTGTAATTTCTACTGGTGACCGATGGGTCTCCAGATTTCATTTTTCTGCCTTACGAAAGCCTAGTGTTGCCTGTGTTGCTTTTTCGTGGTACCTGGAAGCACTGCTTCGATATTCAGTTTTCTTGGATATAACCTATAGGTACTAACCACTGAGTGATAATCAGCTCGCACACATTTGCCCCAATTCAGGATTTCCCACTTTTTTTCACAAATGCACTGTGACATATGCTTAGCAACAACGTGGCAAGTACCAACTACCAAATACCAAGCGCCAAAAGTCAATCCCTACAATCAAACACCAAGTTTAAACCAAAAGACACAAAGACGCCTGTCATGAGCAAATTCAATGCTTGGGTGTTCGGCCAAGTTAAGTGGTTAGCAACCTAGGTTATCGTTATAGCTCACTGTGTCCCCCAAATCGAGGCTCCAGTTGCAAGTGGCTTATGACCTAGGTCACTTTCAACTTACAAACTGGGCTGGTGCATCCCCATCGATTGCAACGCTGACGACTGGAGATCTGCTTGAATCGGACCTCCAACAAAGAAACAAAGCTGGATTGGGTTCAGTCTACCTGGAGTCTCCATGACCCTTAAAACATGGTGTCATTTCGAAAAGTGAAGGGGTCATAAACCCCATTTTTAGAGGGTCAGAAGGAGACTCCAGGTGTGATTTTTACGCTTTTACGCCTCTTTAAAGACCTTGCCCCCCCTTTCGAGAAAAAACAAAAAAGAACCTCGGCAAAAGTCGACCTCCCCAACCTTTTTCAAGCGGCGAGGAAGGCGCCGTGGGGCGCGCCATCCGCGGCCACTACGGAGATCTGAAGGGCGATGATCTGACCAAGCGGTTGCCACGGAACGTGACGCTGGAGGCGCGCAAAATGGACTAACTTGAAACCATTTGTTTTTGTTGGTCTACCTGGAGTCTCCTTCTGACCCTTTAAAAATGGGTCCATGACCCCTTTATTTTGGGCAATGACCATTTTTAAAGGGTCATGGAGACTTTAGGTACCTGTATCTTCGTTTGCGCACTTTTTTCTGCTCAAATGCTTGTTTGCGCGTTTTGTGGTGTGATTGCGCGCTTTTTTGGGAATTTGCGCACTTTTCCAAGATGTGCGCACTTTTCGGATAAAACTACTCAGGTAGTCGATTTCGGCACTGCTTGTGAAAACAATCGATACTGCGCTACTCGTTCCCGCGCCGGCGCAGCTGTTTGTTTAAGTCTCTTATGGTTACATCTTCAACATAGCTCCTTTTTTGTCTCAACCCAGGCATTCTTTAGGCAGGCATTTTGTTGCACATATGGCACCCGGCACAAGTACCACCCATCACCTGGACTTGACACTTTGTGGCCATTGATTTTGGCACTCGCTTGGCTGGCTTCAACCTCCATGAATAGCTCCAACCCGCAAGCATGTCCTGGGTGTGCACGGATCACTGTTTGCTCCAGGACCGTGCCCGCGCCACACTTTTTGTTGAGACAAGTCGCTGTCAGGGAGAAATTAGTCGTTTTTGGGCGCCCTGCCAACCCGCAATTTGTGCGCAAATTTCCGGTACTATCGCGCAAATTTCCGCAATTGCGCGCAAATACGAAAAGTGTGCACATGCATGTGCGCGTTTCAGCCTTTTCAGGCAGAAGATGTCCGAATTGCCAACCAAAAGCTCTATTTTGAGCCAGGTGTGGTCAGTCGAAGCTGCGCCCATCCCTTTCAACCATGGAAGCGGTGTTCGGATTTCTTGCAATCTCAAAGTTAGCATGTGTCTCTTGTCCATCAAGCTGGCTTGTCACGATGCAAGGCTAAGCCAAGGCGAGTTCTGGTCGACAAGGCGCGCATTTATCCTTGTCCTAGTTCTGTTCGAACAGCTTGACAGGTTGATGTCAAGGCTAGAAACGCCCAGAACCTTTACCAAAACCAGCGAAAAACTTGGAACTTTGCGCGTTTTTGCTTGAAATGCGCACTTTTCCATTGTGCGCACTTTTTTTTGCTCAAATGAAGATACAGGTATCTGGTTTTAAGGAACCCCAGTTCCATTGGGCAATTTGGCAATTTGATGCAATTTGGCAATTTGGTTTTAACGCACCCTAAAGACTCACTTGCTGAGTTCATGGACTTTAGTCACTTGTTGGGTTTCGACCATTTTAGTGGTGAACTAAAGTTCGGACTTTTTCAGGAAGTGACAAGAATCCCAGATCCATTTGTGTTGGTCTTTTTTGAGGGTACCTTTTTGGTTTAAAGGGAAACCAACAGGAACACCCACTATTGATGGCTATTTGGTTGGATCGTTGGACTTCAACCTTTGGGTGAAACAGTTCGGATGTTCCGTATTGGACCCACAAAAAGGTTCCAACTTTTGCAGAGGGGTCACCGGCAACCAAGTATTCGGCGTACTGTGGATGGTTGCGAAATCCATTTCGCACGAATGAAGCCATGGTTGAAATCATCGTTTGTTGGTATTACAGGGGAATCGTATCATTCAAGGGTTTCTGAAAGTTGGTGTGAAATGGATTTCGCATCCATCTATAGTTCTTGGATGCTCATCCCTCGTAGGTTATAACTATGGCTAGTCAGCTATCCCCTAGTTGCCTTAGTTACACCCTTGGTGGCAGCCTATTTGAACCACAGGGAGTTGGTACCAATCCCATTTCCAATTGCCAGGCCCTTTACGGCGAGTTATGCTGATGCCGACGGTCAGTTTCCAAAGTCCACGAGAACCAAGGGCCCGAGGGTACATTATATACATATACAAAATATATACACATATAAATATTTGCATACATGGCTGTTTTTTTTAGTGGACCCCACCAACACATTCAATGGCGGTTTTCCCCTCTCTTTTTTCCAGAACCCACCAAAGCCCGTTTTCATGCTGATTTTTCCTGAAAAATCCAACACAAAAGCAAGGGCGCAGCCACCAAAACGGAACGCACCGAATCGTCTCGGGCCGAAAGCGCCGAATCGAGGCGATCCCTGCTGCCTTGAGCCGGGCGCAGGCGGTGTACAAGGCGCAGACAAAAGGCGCGAAGGCGGGGAAGGGAATTCGGAGGGAAGTCGCGGGGGTTGGGTACCCGGTTCTCTTGTGAAGGTTTAAAGGAAAAACCACAGGAACACATGGCAATTTTTGGGGGTTTCACACCACAAGTTTAAACAGGGGCCCCTATATTTCCCTTTTTGGTGGTTTTAAACATCAGCTTTTTGGTCCATGGGTTGGTGAGTATCCCTTGGGGGTGATGTTTTAAGGGGAAATATAGGGAGCCCGGTTAAAAGTTTGAAAGGGTGTTTTTTCTTGTGGTACCTTTCAAGCCACCGCTTTGTGGGTGGCTTATTTTTGTTTTGAGGCAGCCGTCCCTTTTGGGTTTTAAAGGGGGTCCCTAAAATTGGGTTTTCTCGTAGTTTCCAACTCCGCCAAAAAAAGCGAGTACATGAAAGTGGATGCATTTTGAGGGGCCATGAAAAAGTCACTCTTGGAGTGGTTTCATTGTAAAACGACCATTTAGAAAGCATTTGAAAGGGCCCAAAAGCACACCCATGCCACAAGCCTGTTTGTGGGTTTCTATTTTGAGGCAACACTTCTTGGATGTTGAGCCATGTTCCTTTTCACTGGATAAGAACCTTGTTTCTTCCCCAGAATCAGCTCCCCTTTTTGCTTTTGTGCTTTTTGGGGTTTCCTTTGTTTTCCACTAACCAGGCAAACATGTTATTTTTTTGCAGGGGTCCGATTTTTCCAGCCAAGGTTTATACGCCACATAGTGTCTGGAGTGTGCCCTGCAAGTCTTGCGGGTTAGAAGTATAGGTTACGAATAGCAGATTGAAGACAGCTGCATTTACACCATATGTGCCCCACACGGAGATTCTTGAAGTGAGCATCGCCCAAGCAACCTGTGTCTTTTTTTGGCGTGGGTGGTTCTAGCTGGCGTGGTTTTATCGCAAGACAGGGGCTCCAAGAAGCCTTTGGGGCGGCCCTGGAGGTTTATCCAATTGCTCAGCTTGTCTTTTGCTGGTTTGGATGTGGGGCTTTGGCTTACTCCCCCGTTCCTGGACTTGAGTCACTTTTGGGATCTGAACCATTCTAGTGGCACGAAGTTAGGCTGCTTTGTTTGGCATATGGGTATTCTTTTATGGTACCCGGCTTTTGTAGTTTCAAAGGAACACCAAAAGGAATCCTTGGCCCCAAGAAACACCATCACCATTTTGAGGGAAGCGGTTTTTTGTACCTCGCAGCCACTGTTTTTGTACCTCGAAGCTGAGAACCCACACTATAACCATGACGTACTCATGTATCTACATATGTGAAACAATCCCCAGCCGCTCCACTGCGTTTCATCCAACAGCTTCCACGTCGATCTGGCTTTGGGTGTGCCCTTTTGGTGAGCTTTGCTTTAAACCCATTCGAAGCAGCCAATATTTGGAACAGTCGCCAGATTTGCCAAGTCTTGTGACACAGCCTGATGCGCATGCTGGGCCCCTGGCCAACTCACCTCCTGAGCTCCTGGACTTTAAACTTTTTGGACGGACCATTTTGATGGTACCTGGACCCGCCAAATTCCCCGAATAATGTGTTATGGCCCCAACCTTCTGGGGTGAGTTCCCTTTTTTGTTGGGAGTTTTAGGGTTCAGGCAAGCAAACACTTTGAAGCCTTGTTGGCCCAACCACTCCGGATCCGTGAGCCAAAGAAGCTCGTGTTGCACCCAGGACCCCGTGGTGCTTTTCGTGGTGAACGACGATGGCCGGAACTTTGCCGACTGGCGCCGCCCCAGCCCGGGAGAGTCAAAGCGGAAGCTTTGAAAAAGGGGCCCGGAGATTCATAGAATTTGGAGATCAATATGTCCTTGGCTTTACACCAAGCCCCTATACAAACAAAGGTCGAGCAAAGCAAAACAAAGGTCGAGTCCTACCCCCCGCTTTTTCTTTTTTTAAAGGGGGTTGAACCCAGGGCTTAGGTCTGTTGTTTTCAGATGGTTTAGTGGTTGGGTGGGCAATACCCACAAGTTACACTCCTCAGGCCAGAAGGAAGCTCGGGTAGATACAGCGGAATCAGCATAGTGGTTCTTAGGTGCTGCAGGACTTCATCCATCCACAGCATCTGCAGTGGGTTTGTTGTCGGCCGCTCCAGAAGTGATGCACCCCCACTAAAATGAACGCCCCATAACGAATATGGGTTGAATCCTGGGTTGGCACTAAATACCCAGTTTCCTCGGTCGACTGCCCCGCTTTTCGACCAGTTTCTTTGTTGGAGGGGGTTGGGCCTTTCAATAGGCGGTCCCACTACTGGGGGTCTGGGTCAATAAACCCAGCTAGGGGCATAGGACATAGATCTGGGGCAATCCTTGCTCAGCCCTGGGGCCAGGGTTCCACATTTTGGTGTTTTTTGGACGTGTCCCGAAGTCATCTGATAGATGGCCATGGGTCAAATTCCAAATCGTACCCCCAGTGAACATTCGATTCAATCCGACCACTAAAACAGGTTCTAACATGGGTGAATTCACCTACCAATCCCAAAATGGGCTCCCAAAACGGTTTTGACAGCCACAGCCAGTAGACAAACCAGGAACCACCCTTCAAAAGCCAAAAGGAGAAATGCTTGGTTATCTACTATAGTGGCGTGCCCCGAAGTTTGATAGATATTTGATAGCTGGCATTAAGCACGCTGAACCGCTGCAAGAAGCTCAGCTCCCCAATGCTGAGGTGCTTCCTGGAGTACGCCTTGTGGGAGGTGCACAACGTGCGGGTGCTGAAGAAGAGCCTTAAAGAGGCCATGTCGTTTGACCGGGGCTAGGTCCCCCAGCAATTGGTGCCCTTTCTCACCGGTTTCTTTGTTGGTTGGGAGGGTGCTAGGTGCCCTTTCTCACCGTTTTTTTTTCTCGGGGGTTTTGGGTTCCCCTGCAAGAAGTTGGTACCCTAACCTCTAACCTCTCCACTGGAGGACCTAGGGGTGCGATCGATGGATGGCGAGTGCCAAACATAAGGCCTTAGCCCCAAAGGCATGGGGTGCGGGATGTTCAAGGGCAGATAAGCAGGTCACCATGGTAAGTGAAGCAAAAGCAGTTGGTTGATATGTAACCTAGCTTGCAACATACCAGTATCCTATCGTTGCCAAGGGCCGATTCCCCACAAGGGGCCAATTTCCCAATCCCAAGAGTGATTTGAGCGACTAATAGTGCCGCTTTTGGGAGCTACCAGTAGGATGCCGTTCTTGGGGTCCCTGACAACAATGGGATTAGATGTTCCCAGACCTCCAGGTGGGTGCAATTTCTTTGTTCAACTTTTTGTATAAGGGTTTCTCTTTAAACACAACTACCAAAATGGTAGTGCCCCTTCACTCCCACTGCCACCGGGCTCAACGAGCAGGTAATGACCATGATTATAAGATCCCATTTCTTTCGAGTTTTTCAGTCGGACATTTGAGTGTTCTAGTGGTTAATTCCCCATTCTTTTCAACCATCATTATTTTCAAAAACCAGCTGTTTCCCCTGGGGTTCTGAAGGTTTTCTGAAAAGAAGGATCCCCGGAAAGAATGGGGAAGTGTCCCCAAGAAGTGTCCAGGTAGCAACTCCAAAAGCGGAGACAACCACCCAAGCGCCTCGCTTCGCCGAAGCCGATGCTTCCCTTTGGGCCTTTGGAAGTATGAACATTTTCAATGTGGACGTCTGAGCTCTAAGCGGTGTTAAGCCTTCTACCTACACCCTACCCATCAAAGAGGGAAGTCACCCCACACTTGTGGGGCAATGCGCCGTATCTTTCAGCAGGGCTCCTCAAAAGATCTCCATTCTGCTTGCCCATTTGAAACATGGCTGGCTTTTTCAACACCAAAATAAAGGTGGACACCACCAGAAAACAAGGCAGGCAATGTTCAGGTGTATAATGTAGGGATCCCTGAAAGGGAACAGAGGATTGAACAAAACAGAGGGAACAGAGGGAACAGAGGGAACAGAGGGAACAGAGGATTGAACAGAATCTTACCTCTTAAAAACACAACTTTTCTCAGCTTGTTGGGTGCCATGGGCTATATGTCTGTAAAAGATGAGAACTTCCCCAGGGCAAACAGAGTTTTAAGGGGTAAGGAGGATTGAACAAAACAGAGGGAACAGAGATCCCTCAGGTAGCAGAGAAGGCCTCCATGGACAAGGAGGGCCGTCTTTGGTTGGAGGAGGAGGAGGTGGCGGTGTCTTACTTCCGGGCAGGGTGCCGTGGCGAACTTTGGGCCAACCAACACTGCTTGGGTGAAAATACCCAAATCTATGTACCTATCCAAGTTCCCTTTACAAGGGTGAAATCTTTATTTCCTGAAAATGGGTTATTTTCAATTTTGTTGGTTGTTCGAATCCTTTTCTTTGTAGTTTGAGGGTCCAGGTACCTGTTTTGGGTTGGTTGGTCTGTCTCCAAGGGAGCCTTCCTTTAACCGAAAGTCAATTTGTTGGTTGCAGGAGCAGGAATTCACTGGCCAACCTTCTTGCCCTTTGGCCATTTCGGGTTTCATGCTGTGAGTCTTTTTAGAAGGGGGAGCCCCTGATAATGTTCTTCCATTTGCTTCAGAGCAAGTTTTATTGTCCCCTGTTGGTTTTAAAGGGAATCTATCACTACTGGCAATAGTGTTTCTGTATTTGTTCCAGCGCACTTAAGCAAATGAATGTTTTGTTGAACCTTAAGGTTGGTTGAAAGAGTCACCAAAAAGGCCTCCGATAGGTTGGTCCTTCGGCGCCTGGTTTTGAGACAGACCCCATGTACCTTCCCCATCAGAGAGCTTTGCAAAAGTTTGGCCGAGGTATGGGCCCGAGGACTACCCCAGCGAGGCGCGTCGGAGTCCCAAGTGCATCGCAGGGCTTTCTTCGCTTGGACCCTCGGACTTACCTCTTCAAAACAAATTTTCTCAACTTTTTGGGTACCATGGGCTATATGTCTGTAAAAGATGAGAACTTCCCCAGGGCGCAGGGAGTTTCAAGGGGTAAGCATACTACCCATCAAGCGAGGGGAAGTTCACCCGAGGGACTTGGGTCCAGGTTGTTTGCTTTGGGGAGGAGGAGAGCCCCCCCCTCTGGTACTCGCCATCTGGTTCAGCATCCCAAAGGCCCGAAGGTGGGCTAAAGATTAGGTATGAGCTCACCATGCGCCGGATCCAATTCTTATTCCAGGTCTTGGTAACCGGTTGCAGATAGAATCACCTGATTCAGCATCCAGACCAGACGCTCATGGACTTTGGGGGAAGTCCAACCTGTCTTGCAGACACACAAGGATTCTCAGGCCGAGTAATGTGGATTACTTTCATTTGCTTACTGTAAGGATATGTTCTATTTGTTTTACGGGGAATCGATTTCACTACTGGACATATTAATGGCTTTTATTATTTTGTTCCATGGGAAGAAAAAGCTAATGGAAGATTACATTTCCACTCGGAACTCCTTCGTGTCAGGGACACACCCGAGAGCTCAGGCGCTCCGCTGGCCCCAAATGTGTCCCGGGACCACCGGGCCGGAATCAGGTTTCAGGCCGTACTAAAGCCCGGCCCGGGGTTTGAAGCTTAAGTGCTTTCTTGCTGGTGCTGAATAGGGAATGATGCAGGGATCCCCTTGAATGAAACCAAATCGGATGGATGGTTTTTCTAAAGGGGTCATTCCAATTCTCATTCCTTGAACTCTTCACACGTTTGGTCATGTTTTTGAGCCATCTTTGGTACCTGGAGTCTCCATGACCATTAAAAACTGAAAGTTCCGCAAAAAAGTAAGGGGGTCTGGGGCTCCCCTTGTTCTAGGGCTCAGATTCGGAGACTCCAGGGGCTCCGTTTTGTTTTTTCTTTCTCGTTTTTGTTCGTCGCCGGTCATAGGTGGAGTGGAGCGCGCGGCTGCTGCTGGAGCGCTCCGCCGCTGTGAAGTGCCCCTCGGTGGACTACCAGCTCGTCGGGGCCAAGAAGGCCACGTGCAGCTCGTCGGGGGAGGTCGCGGAAGGTTGGGTCACCTTGAAACGACGACCCAGGGGAAGCAAGAAATATATATATATATATATATGGGGGTTGATCAAAAGGTCCTTGCAAGGAGTTATGTATTCGGTGACCATTCGTCTTGGCTTAAATCCCTCCGCGAAAGATCGGCGATGGGGTTCGCGAAAGAAACTTATTTTTTCGCGAAAGATTCCGCGTTGGATTTTTGGAGGCATGCCTGTGCACTTACATATTTGCAGACCCCGCTCCCTTGTAGAGGGAGATACGCAGCACCTACACTTGCATTAGTGATTCCCTGCCTGTGTTAGGAATGGCGCAAATCAATAACGTTGGCTGGGCTATTTTGGAGCAAGTTTCGCGAAAGATCCGCGAAAGACCGGCGAAAGTCCAGGGAGCTTGTTGCAAGGTTCCGCACACCGCCGGCAAGCGCAAAAGTGGCAAGGGCGAATGACGGTGACTGCTTGCACTTAACACTACGTACTGCACGCAGGTGAGCTGCGGCTATCCTGCGTGCAAGCAAAACTGCAGCAGCCACAATGGCTCCAGAGCGCACGCTGCAAACAAAAGGGCAAACAAAAGGGCTTGGCGATGGAGTCGCGAAAGATTCGCGAAAGAAACTTTTTTTCTCGCGAAGATGGCGTTTTCCGGAAACAGGAATATTGATCAACTGCCATATATATGTATATCTATTACATATACCTGGACCCTATTTATATTTGTATATATGGCTGTGGTTGTCAAAAACAATGGGATCCCATTTGGGGGTTTTCGGTGAATTCACCACCCTGTTTGGGGATTGGGATGTTCACTGGGGGTACGGGGTTTTGACCCATGGCCATATATATATATATATATAAACAACTTTCGCTCAACTTGGTTGTTTCGCCAGGTTGGTTGTTTGGTCGAAACGAGACTTAGCTGTGTATGTCATGGCTTTACTTTGCCGGCCATTCAAAGTCCCATGGGCCGTTTTCGCAGGATGAGAGTTCTTGATTGCGTTGCTGTCTAAGGCATGCACAGGGGCTCCAGTGTGCTCGCAACTGCGGGATGGACCTGGCTGTCGATCAGGCAAAGCTCAGTGAGGAACGCAGGCGGCGGATCTGCAATGATCAGCAATTCTTTCGGCGAGGAATTTGGCTGGCAGGCCAGAAAGCTTTCGGCGAGAAATTCAACGGGCAGGCTCAACAATTTTCGGCGAGTTCCTCCGCGAGGGGCTCTCCCAAAAGTCAGGATCTCGGCGAGCAATCTCGGCGAGTTGCGCTGAGCGGCTTGGCTGGCTGCGAAGCACGAAAATCTCTCCTTAAGGCCCAGTTCCACCAAGCCCTGCTTTCGGAGAGGCCCTCGCAGAGGGGCTCTCCTTGAGAGGGGGGTCTGGCCGACTATTGGGCGAGAAACTTGGGGCGCGATGCAGTCGCCTCTCCCAAAAGTCGGCCAGACCCCCTCTCAAGGAGAGCCCCTCTGCGAGGGCCTCTCCGAAAGCAGGGCTTGGTGGAACTGGACCTTAAGGAAATTTTCGTGCTTCGCAGCCAGCCAAACCGCTCAGCGCAACTCGCCGAGATTGCTCACCGAAATCCTAACTTTTGGGAGAGCCCCTCGCGAAGAAACTCGCCGAAAATTATTGAGCCTGCCCGTTGAATTTCTCGCCGAAAACTTTCTGGCCTGCCAGCCAAATTCCTCACCGAAAGAATTGCTGATCATTGCAGATCCGCCGCCTGCGTTCCTCACTGAGCTTTGCCTGATCGACAGCCAGGTCCATCCCGCAGTTGCGAGCACACCTGGAGCCCCTGTGCATGCCTTAGCCAGCAAACGGCCCATGGGACTTTGAATGGCCGGCAAAGTAAAGCCATGACACACACATCTAAGTCTCGTTTCGACCAAACAACCAACCTGGCGAAACAACCAAGTTGAGCGAATGTATTTTATATATGTATGTATATATCTATTACATATACCTGGACCCGCAAACTATCCATGGAGAAAAAGAGCGACTTCGCTCATAGTCTTGGCTGGCAACATATCCACCTAGAGTCTCCATGACCCTTTAAAAATGGGGTCATTGCCCAAAATAAAGGGGTCATGGACCCATTTTTAAAGGGTCATGGAGACTCCAGTCACCTCTTTGGGGAATTTTGCGGGTTCCACATTGAGATGGACTTCTAGAGCCTGAGATGGGACATCTGTGGCATGGGCCAGGTCCAACAAGCGCTGGCGCGACCAGGCGCGGTGGAGAGGCGCGGTTTTTTTTTTCGGGCACATGAGGTGCATTTCACCACTGCCTCATAGCAGTGGATTTTTTTTTGTTGAGTTGATACCATGTTTTTTTTTTTTAAAGAATAACGATGGTTGAACAGAATAGAACATAAGATGGTTTGTAAATCCTGCACTTTGAACCATGTGGTTCCCCTTGGGTGCTTAATAGCCTGGGCTAATATGTTCCCTAAGTGGGTCATTGGTACTGTGGGATGGTTGGGAGTCATCCATTTCTCGCACCACGGTGTATGAAACCATGGGAATGAAACCAGCATGTTTGTTACGATTTTGTTTCTTCTTTTGTTTTCCTTTTATTTTTTACGTCGGGGAATCAATGATATCATTCTGTTGGGTTTCATGGGTGGTCATGCTTTCGCAACCATCCACAGTATCTCAGAAAGACTTGCCAAGATACACAGGTGCTTGGACCCGCAAGAACTTCCCTTAACAAAAATGAAGAGTTCACCAACCATAATTTTGGGTTGCAATAAAACATTAGTCAGGAAAAGTTTGAGGGGTTCAGGTGTGTCTTTTTGTAGGATTTGGACCCCAACAAGGCGGGAGTTCCTTGTGGTTTCCCTTGAAACCACCAAACAAGGGGTACCCCTCCAAAGAAGAGTACTCTCCAGCTATATGGCCCTGATTTTCAGAGTTGGAACCCACCTCAAAAGCGGTCGGACGTGCTTCCCCAAGTTCTGATGTTCACGGGTCGGGACCCATTAAAATTCATACCCACATATGTTCGCCTTCTGGATGTAGGGCAACTCATCTGGACACAGAACTGGTAGTATCAACCACCTACTCGGTTGATGCAAGGATGGGTTCTACTCCGATTTCTCCCCTTTTAGTGGGAGTTCAGATCCCTTTTGCGCCCGACACACGCCTATGGGTATCCAGGGTTCTAAGTGTCGAAGCGACCTAGTTTTCCTGTTTCCCTTCAAACTAGAGCCCCAAGAAGAGCAACCTAAGAAGATGAAAAGCCAGCACTGCCCTCCTATAGCCCCAACAAGAGCAACCTAAGAAGATGAGACGCCCCAGCCGAATTGCCCTCGTAGTCATTGTGTACTGAACAGCGCTGCGCAGGTTCTTGGGCCCAGACAGCGCCAAGCTGCGGGGCTGCTTCGCCGGGCTTTGGGGGCTGGGCCCGGGGGAGGCGCGGCTTCGGAGTCATTTTTTTCGTTGGCTGGAGTCGCCTTCTGTCCCGAATCAAGCAAATGGGTTCACGACCTCTTTGTTTTTGGTATTATTCATTGGCAGGCTGCACTCGTCCTATATGCTTCTCATAGTTTGGGTAGTCACCCCGTTATTTGGGGTCCATGACCCCATTTTTCAAGGGTCGGAAGGGGACTCCGGGTACCTGAACCCTCCAGCTACCCTTTAAACGAGAAGGAGGTCACCAACCATATTTTGGGGCTGCAACAATTCCCATTTTCAAGTTGGACTGGTGAGGGTCCAGGTCGACGTTTTGGCCAAGCCACGAAAGCAACTCGTATCAGGACGACCAGGCGATTGTGAAGCTGGCCTGCGAAAAACCGGAGGGCTTTGTGCTGAAGCCCCAGCGTGAGGGCGGCGGACACAACTTCTATGGCCTCTTGGCGCAGACCCACCCACAATTCTGGGGTGAATTCCCTTTTACATGGCTAGTTTGAGGGTCCAGTTACTGGAGTCTCCTTCTGACCCGAATCAAAAATGGGTCCATGGAGGGTTCCCATACTAAAATAGACTACAGAAAAAAAGTACCGTTATTCTAACCTCTACTGGAGGACCTAGTTGCAATAACCCAAAATTCAGGGAAATTTGAGGATCCAGGTGCTTGGTATGGAGTGTTCGGGTACTTTAAGACCAAATTCAGTCATGAGTACTTGGGGTCAACTAAGAATACTGATTTTGCCCCCTCTGTTAAGTAGGTAATATGTCCGTTTATAAGTCCCCTAAGTGGGTTGTATGTAGGGTACATTCCTCTTGGGCTCATTGACTGGGGATGTTTTGCACTTGCTAATTGCCGCAGCTTCCCAGGGTCCCTTTGCAGTGATTAACCACCCCCAAAAGCATCAGACGTGTGTGCATTGGTTTCGCGGGTGCCTGAACCCTCAAACAACACTCCTAACAAAAGGGAATTCATCAATGCATTTGATTCCCCGTGTGATGAAAAAGGCCTAGGGCACACGCGTTGCCAGTTGCAAAGTTTTCTCGGTTGGCGTTTCGCTGTTCGGGGTGGGTGGGTCCAGTCTTCTTCCAGGGTTAGTGTGGATCGATGGCTCAACCTCACCGATTGGAAAGGCAAAGTTGGTTTGGATCTGGTTCCGGATGGGAGTGAATTACACCAGTGGTTAGGGCTACTTCACTTTGGTGCATTTTGCCCAGGAATGTTAGGACTTTAACTTTTGCCAACAAATGGGTTTTCCGTATTAAGTTTTAAGCCACTAAAAGCTATTAACTTGTAGCTGGGGAGGGTATCCCCGTTTGGGTCTCACGGAAAGGGGGTATCTCACGGAAAGGGGGTATGATGCAGAACCTCGCGCGATCGGACTGTGATCCAAGGCAAAGATGTGGCGGTGAAGCTCAAGGAGCAAAGTTGGGAGCTAAATCGGGATGCTGCCAGGCCGTTGCTTTATGTGGACCCCGGATTAATCGACCTGTCCTTTGTTTTTCGGGGGGGTGTTCCCTCCAGGAGCTAAATCGGGATGCTCCCAGCTGGCCGTGCCTGAAGCGGCCCCTTTTGCCGGTTGCTTTCCTTTCTGTGGACTCCGGGATAAAAATGGACCTGTCCTGTTGTTTTTTGGGGGGAGTGAAAACCCCTCCAAAAGTGTAAAAGTGGTGAATCCCCACTAGAAGGGGACACCCCATATTCATCAACCAGGGGTCCCAGGGGGGTGTCAACATTAGGAAAGCGGAAGGACATACAGACTTGGTTTGCTTGAAGAACATTGTCTTGCTGGTGCTCAGCAGGCAATGAAGGCATGACACCTGTAAATCACCCCTTGTCGTTTCCTTTAAGGTAATCCCCAGGTTCAGTCATTCCCTACTGAGCACCAGCAAGTTGTTCTCCTATTTTGATACTTTCCGGGTACAGCGCCTTGTAGAGTCCAGGGGGACACCGCGAGTGCCCAGAAGCAAGTGGTTAGTCCCCTAAGCGGCGCTGGCTGATAGTGACGCCAGTGCTTCCTGATACCACAATTGGAGCCTTGTAACTTGCACACTCACCACCAAAAAGTCAACAAAGAAGTCCAACCTTTGTAGTACTTGGATGTGCGATTCGCGAAGCTAAGTGGAGAAGCCAACTTGGTTAGCCACCCAAAGGTTAACTCCACTGAGTGGGGGAGTTCTAAGCGGGTTATAACCTAGCTTACTAACTTGGCCGAACAGTGAGGTGGGCCCTTGGTAAACCACACTGGCAATTGGAATCATTGCCGCAAATGAGGGGTTGCTAAGATCCATGCTACTCTGAAGTTGTTAGGGGGTGCTTCCCCAAGTTTTTAGACGTGTTCCAGTACGCTCTTTCTTCAAACACCATGGTGTTCTGGAAATACTCGGCTTCCTGCAGCAAGTTACCCTTGGAATCAACAGGGGGCCGGCCATATTTCATGATGCGGGGGAGAGAAGTAGAGCCGTTTGCATCCAAGCCTGTGCACCAGGTAGGTCTCAGTTGCCCGGAGCCGACCTTTTACCCTCCCGCCAACTAACATGGAAGTGCACAGACCCCCTTTCGAAGAGGAAAGTAGTCTTCAAAAGTGTTGGCATCTCTCGCCCTGTCCGAACCGGCGGATGCGTCTCTCGACTCGACTCAGGAGCTGTCGCCGCAGGAGCGGTCTGCCTACATCTTGATGCAGCGGATCTTGCCGGGCCTCCAGGACCTGGCACCAGCCTTGCCGCGGTCCTTCCTATGGCACCTGCGCTTCGGCTGCTCGTGTGCTGTCGTTGTTCGGCCCGTTTTACCTCGATTTTTTTTTATATACAAAAGTAATGGGGTTAGCTTGGACTATGTTAGCTTGAGGGCCGTTTTACCTCGTTTTGGAAAGACAATGTTCTTTTTGTTTTTCCGGGTTAGCTGGAAGATGATTGCTGGAAGTTATCCGGAGGGCAATACTGTTTCTACCCTTGTCATGATTGTGATTTTGGAGCAGCTCTGTTTGACAATGTACTCGTACCCGATCACTTCATTGCCAGACTTAGCTGTCCGTTTCCCTTTCAGCTTTTTCTTATTTCCCTTCTCAAGCGAACAGTTGTCACTACAGGTGGGGAAGGTTTCCCATGTTCAGCCTCATCTGTTTTTGTTACTTCCGTCTTACTTCCATCTTACCATGTGGTCTATGGGTCAAGCAAAGGTTGGGGGGGGAAGAAAAGAGGCCCTGCCCCCTGCAACAGGCGCCTTGCTGCCTTGAGCCACTTGCTGTCACTTGCTCAAAACCCGGGGATCGATGACTCGGTTGGTAGGGGATCCCCTTGCCATAAATCGCTGCGGATATCCGCCTTCTTAATTCCTGTAAGCATGGTTCCGAGATTACGAGCATGTTAGTACCGGGTTTTGAGCACTCCCTTGGTTCCGTGCACGCTTCTTTTTCTCGTGCAGGAGTCGGTGATGACACGCCAGGGCCAGCTGAAGGCGTGAAGACATTGCACGGAGTTGAGTGAGGGAATGCGAGCAGGAGCATCAGTACTTGGGTGCATTTTGCCAAGGGATGTTAGGACTTTAGCTTTTTGCCAACGAAGGGGTTTCCCGTATTAAACCACTCAAAGTTGAAGCTTTTAGCAGGGGAGCAGAAAGCAACCCAGAGTACTTGAGTGTTCGGCCAACTTGCTGGTGCTCAGCTGTAAACCATCCCGTTTTGTTTAAGGGTATCCCTAGGTTCATTCCCTCATTCCCTGCTAAGCACCATCAAGTTAGAAAGCTGTTGGTGACCCAGGTTATAGTCCCCGCTCAGTGGAGTTAACCTTGTTTGTGGGTTAGAGCCCAGGTGGCCTTTTCCACTTTCTAACTTGGCAGCACACCCAAGTACTCCTGCGCAAGTAGGTTGCAACATGGCGACTGAGGCAGTCAGTTCTCCCAGAACCACGGTGAGATCACCATATAGAAAGTTCAGGTGGAAGGGACAGCCATAGCTGTGGTTTTCGCCAGGATTCAGGGCAGGAGTAGGATCCCAACAATACCTGGACCTTCAAACTGCCCAGAGAAGAGGGAATTCACCCAATAACCTTGGGGAAATCACCCATTTGAACCCTCAAACTACCCATTAAAAAAAGGGAAGTCACCCCACATGTTTGGGGCAATCACCCCCCTCACCCAATAATTCTGAGGCAACAACCCAATTGTGAAGGGACTTTCGATTTTCGAAGGTTCAGGTGCTCGATTTGCTCGGGATGGGCTGACTCCGAAAGAATGGGTATGCAAAATGGTCGGAGGGGTTAGGGCCAGTTTCGGTGAGAACTACCTGAAGTCTCCATTTCCCTTTAAAAAATGCGGTCATTGCCCAAAATAAAGCGGTCATGGACCCTTCTTCTAGGGGTCATGGAGACTCCAGGTACTAATAAAGTGACAAAGTCGTCGTGGCAAAGGGGAATCCTACTTACCAACACTCCCACTAACGCGGCACCTGTTACTGGGAAGGAGGAGATCACAGACAGGGCCAGGTGTGTCTTGGACGAGTTTTCTGCAGCTGTTGACCCATGAATAAACCCCCGGTTGACTCTCGCGGTGTTTCATTCAAGTCATCTTTACGCTCGCAACTCCGAATGGCAGATCGGCCCGTGGTTTCCTTTGAAAGCAAGGCTTGCTTCTGGTCGATCAGCACACTTGGAGTCCACTTCTGAGCCTTAAATGGAGTTGTTACCCAAAAGAAAGGGGTCATGGCCAAGCATTTCTTTGTGGGTCAGAAGGAGCCCTGTAAATCTCTTTCTGCCTGTCTGGAGTTGAAAGGCAACTTTGATACAATAAGTAATGTTTGCGCGAAGCTTAGCCGAAGAGGAACAGCTCCTTGAGTGATTTGGCAGGGGCCAATCGACCCTGACCACAGCAACAACTTTCCGGGCCCCAAAAATTGAACGACCTGAGCCTGAGCAGGTCATGGAGTGCTTGTCGGAGTTTGGCTTCTACTCCGTGTACCTGGGCGATGGCAGGAGGGAACAACTGGAGAACGTCGACCGTCTCCTGGGAGAAAACCAGTTGACTCTAGAAACCACACCAAAAGACGCAAACAGCAAACCGGAATCATTGGCCTTTATAGGGCCAAATAAGTGACGCTGGGCTGTTCAAAGGAATCCCTCATCCTTACTTGGGGAACGAAAGCGGTCCCTTGGATTGTGGATTGGCCAACACTCCATGTTGAACAGCCCAAGTAAGAGGGGTTTAAAGTTCGCATTGCTGCCACTTGGGATGACTTTGACAATGGTAAGAAAATGAAGCCTGTCTAGCCATCACTCCCTGAGTTCCTGAACAAAAAGTTAGATTTTTGTTTTTTTTCCACTCAGGAAGTGAGATACCCCAATTGGGGGTCACATGTCATACAAATAAATTAATGACCAGGGTTACGCACTTACGAAGGCCTGGAAGCGTACTGCGTTAAGGACGCTCACTTCGGAGTCGTACTCTTTTTCTTCAGGGAACTTGCAACAAGAAATTCATCAAAGACTCAGCAACCCCAGTTCTTCCCAGAGCAAATCGCGAAGATAGCCAGGAGAAACCAGGCGAAGATCTAATTTGTTCTTGGGATTGCAAGAGAAGTAGATGGCGGTCGCCGTATTCAAGTGAACCATCACTCTGCAATCAGTGTAGCCTTTTCAAGCATCAGACAAACCTCCAAGCATCGCGAGTTCCTGGACTTGAGACTTTTTGGGACAACCATAAAGCCAAGCAAACCATTGGACTTAGGAAGAGAGCTGCAATATTCAGCTGTTTGTTGGATTCGCCTTTTAATAGGGCTCTGTATATTTCATCTGCTGCGTAATGTTCAGCATCACCTTTTGGGCGCCTTTCGAAATGAGTTTTTTGGGGGTGATGTCTCCAGTGGAAACTGGGTTCATTCAATGTCAAGTGACCTCCTTGAACATAGTTTCTCATTAAGCTGTGGACTCGCAGGAACCAGCCCGAACAGGACATTTTGAAACCCGACTTCAAATAGCTGGTTTCCTTGATTGTATCACGTCAACCCCTTACTAAAAAGGAAGGCATTTACCATGGAAAACCAGGACAACTTAAACAAGTGGGTATTTGGAGTGGGGGTTCGAATCACTTCAAGGGGCCCAGTTTTGGGGATGCTTTTGTTTGTCGGTTTTTCGGGGGTCAAAGAAAACCAAACCCCATCCCAAACCCACCCGAGACCTGCTTTAATGCCACCCAGATTTTCGCTACGCACGAGTTCCAAACAAAGCGCCAGGTACGTTGCTTCTGCCTTTTTTCAGCTCTTCACAAAAGGGGGCGCCGGTCCTACGGGACACGCAAACAGGTTGATGTTGCCACAGTTTCAGAATCCCTACTGCTTGTTGCAGCCACTTTTCTCTAACCACGGTTGATGGGCAAAAATAGCAACTAGCGATCCAGGGTAGTTGTTTGTTTCTTCTACAAGTATCCACAGAATGGTTCCTCTACAAAAAAACTACACGTTTTTTTTTTTTTTTAATGGAGCGGTAGCGAGGGTAATTTCTTGGATGTTCCAGTATTTACTTGGACATTCAACCCACTTTAAGTTGTCAACAGAACCATGTGTTTAAAGCTCTGCCAAACAAAAACCAACGACTCAACCCCCAAACTCCCACTCTGACTGGTCTCAGACCAGTCAGAGGTCTCCCCTTTCCCTTCCCCCACCCCCCCACGCGACTTCCCCTGACTCGAGTCGACTAGTCGAGGACTCTGGCCAAGCAGCAGGAAGGCTCACCTCTCAGATCACTTTGGTTATAAGCCATGTTACACACTTTGCTAACCAAAAACAAACCACAAGGACCAAATTAAATGCCACCGGTCTCACTGGTATCTCCCCTTCCCCCCCCCCCCCCCGACCTTCCCAACGTCTCGAACAAACAAAAAACCCGGGCCACAAAACAGCAACTCAACCCCCAACCTCCCACTCTGATGCAACGGTCTCCCCTTCTCCCCCCCTCCTCCCCCCCACCTTCCCCCCCCCCCCCCCGACTTTCCCCCGACTTTCCCGTCGAGTCCCAACTGGCGGCGCAGGACGGCCCACCTCTCGGCGCACGCGGGGCACCTGGTGCGCACCAAGGCCCAAGGCGTGGACGAGGGCGGGGTGGCGGCGGGCTACGCGGTGATCTCCAGCCCCTTCCTCACGAGCTGAGCGAGCGCCCGGGAGGCGAGGCGAGGTGCGGGGCGAGGCGCGGCCCGTACTACGTCTTATCTTTCTTTTCTTTCTTACTTTTTGTTGTTGTTTTTTGCGGTTTGGTTGCGGGAAGTTGGGTTTAGGGTTGTTGGGAAAGACCAGCTTTTAGTTTCGATTTGTTTGGTCAATGCCAGCTGCGTGCCTTCAAGTTACGCAGGCGCTATAGCTAGCGGTCGCCAAGTTAGTAAGTTGTTGGGAACCTAGGTTATACCCCACTTACAAGTCCCATGATATTAGTGGGATGGCTAACCCAGGTGGCTAACGGCTCGGCGAATCGAACACGCGGCGCTGACGCAAGATCGCAGCAATCGATTCAAAAGGTTGCGATCCGCGCGGATGGGTGGATTTGCCTTACGGGAAGCCCCCTCGGGGTTGCAAGCCTCGCCTTGCGCTGTGGAAATCGTGCCAAGCGGGGTTCCATGCTTCCAGCTATGAATTCACCCGCCTTTCTATAGCAGGAGCCATAGGAATTAAATTATACGATGGACAAAATATTGCACCTGAGAAAACCTGGAATGATGTCACTCCCTCGTAAATTATGGTTTTCAACCATGGCATCATTGTGTGGTGCGAGATTTGCGGATTTCGCAACCATTCACAGGGCACACGTCCGCCGGATCGCCGTATCACTGGCTCCGAGCAGACCCACCTGCCTCGTCTTTTGCCCGTTAAACCCGAAACGGAACCCAACACCAGCGCTCCTGGAGCCACCTCCTGAGCCCAACCCAGATGACAGGAGAACCTTTGACCCCTTAACTCGGAATCAGCACAAAAGAAAACAGATTGGGCTTCTAGTGGGTTCAAACAGAGAACAGTTAAAACACCAAAGGAAGATGGTGGCGCAGATGAAGCATCCATTCAAAAACTGAGAGCACTCAGGCAGTCCATCCAAAAGACACCAGGACGGCCCCTTGTGACCCTTTCCCCCGCCTGCGCGCGCGGCCTGCGCTTGCGAAGTTGCGATGGCCATGGACGGGGCCTCGGCACTGCACTTGTCTCACTCCCGATCGAGTTCCGGGACACTTTCGGCTCTTGCGGTTTGGTTGCCATGGTGGTAAAGAAAACAAGGCAAATAGTGCTTTGGTGCATTTTGCCAAGGGATGTTAGGACTTTAACGTTTTGCCAACTAATGGGTTTTCCGTATTAAACCACTAAAAGTTAAACTTTTAGCGGGGGAGCAGAAAGCAACCGAGAGTGAATCATAGTGAATCATGGGCCCATGAGTCAGTATAGCTTCTTTTTGGGTAGCCAAAAGGATGCTGGATCAATCATTTTCGGGTGCCGCTTTCAGACACCTTGAGTCGGTTGGCAACTTGTTCAACAACTGGGGGGTTCAGCCCAGGGCCATTTTCTCCAACATCGCCTGGACCTTCCGTTGATACTTTTGTTTGCTTGCTTTTGTTTGTGCTCAATCACACGGTGCCCGATTCTTCAATTTTCTGCGCGAGCTCTGGATCAAGTGCCCGATGTTTATATTTCAATCATGAGCAGTTTTCAAATGTGCGCCCGGGTTTGCGGGTTTTTGCGCTCGTTTTCGGGCCGTTGCGTTTTTGCGCACCTCGAGTAGGTTAAATACATGATTTATAGAGGTTAGGACCTGACAGCCCCCATGCCTCCAATAACGTTCGCTCGAGGAAAGAGGACAAGCCGGGAAAGACAGGTACGAATTCAAAATAAACAGCCGATAGACAGGAGAGGCAGAAGTTTCAGGTACTTTGGAAGGTCCAGGTCAACTGGGACAAAGTTCAATTCATGTTGAGCTCGGTTAGGACTTCGGACAAAAAGGTGAGCATGCTTGACGTGTCCCAACTTATCAAAGAGCAAGCAAGGCGCGAGATCTTCGCGTAGGATCCTCGCGATTTTGCTATCCTTCGTGATGAAACATGTGTCCCAAGACGGGGTTGAGGGGCTTTAACAACAAAGAAGTCATGCTCACAAGATGCAATTATTTTTTTTCCAACAATATCTTCAAAGGATTCCAAGGCATTTAAAGGAGTCACTGGGCGTGTGTGTGTGTGTGTGTTTTTTTTGTTTTTTGTATCAGGAGCTTGGCTTAAAGCTGGGGACATTATTTTGACTGTCTCTGGGGGGTATCAAAGTCGGAAAATGTGGTTGCCACCACTTAGGGGGTGACTTTGATCATGGTAAAATACCGAGGCCAGTAAAGGGAAGCCAAAAGGAAAACACATCTCTTTCATGAAGATTCAGGACACCGTGCAGCAGGACGAGCCGCGGCCTCGATTTGGATCGAGTGGCGGGTAGTTTTTCTGTTTGCGTGACCTGCAGTACTTATGACCACTCCTTCTACCCATTGGATCCATTTTGTATACCTAAGCCCTCCAAAATTCCCTTAAACATTGAATATGGCTCAAAAATATGGGGTGATTTCCCTGGGTAGGTTGAGGGTCCAGGTAGTAGGTAACTGAGGGCAAGCGCCACCCTTCCAAAAACCATGAGGGAGTTAAGGGAGATCTTGACCTCTCGGAAACCCTCCAAGACTGTCCCCTTCAAACCCTACCTCCAAGCACAGACCTGGAAATGCCCTGGTATCACCGTCATGTGGATGGACGAAATCTTGCACCACCTAACAAAGCCTGGAATGATGATTCCCCTGTAAATACCAACAATAAATGGTTTCCCATGGTTTCAAAGTGGTGCAGGATTTTGTCCATCCACAGTATGCAAGGGTGATTGTTTCCAACCTTGGTAAGAGGTTCGCTCATCTGGATATGGGACCCACTTGCGAGCCTAGCTCCTCGGAACGGGGGACTTATAAGTCCCCGAAGTCTCCTGACCCGACTCACAAATGGGTCCATTGTTGTGGGAAATGCCCATTTTTTAAGGGTCAGAAGGAGACTCCAGGTAAAACCGAACGGGTACCAACAACTTACTAGCCTGGCGAATCGAACGACCAAATAATCTTTCGATCCAACCCTTCAACATGTGAACTGCGTAGGGGGGGCCAGGTCCAAGTCCATGTATGCATTTTGGGGTCCCGTATGGCGCAACAGCTTTGGGGTTTCGCCCGAATGGGAGCTCTCTCAGTACTTGTGAATGCCTCCTGAATCTATTGCCCTCCCACTAAACATGGCACCTGTGGAAGACAAGTTTCCTTTTGAACATACCCCCTAAATGCCAAAAAAAACAACGCGGGAGAGAGGGGAACGAATACGCAAAAATCCAACTCCCGAGACGTTCAGCCGGACCCTTTGGATGGGAAGCGTCCGACTCCCGCAGTCGGGAGGCAGTCGGGAGCTGTGTGGCTTGTGTGGCAAGATCTCATTTGCCCCCTAGACACCCTGAAATGCAAAGAATGGGCGAGTCCAGTTGGCTTGGGGCTTGGTTCTTGAAATTGAGGCCGGCTTGCTGTGGGCCGATTTGGGCTACCTGGACCCTCAAAATGTCCTCTCAAACATGGCCCATTGCAACCCCACATTCTGGTTGGCGAGTTCTTTTTTTGGGGGTAATATCTTGGTGGCTCCCAGCCATCCCCGTAGCTTTTTAGTGTTTAGTGTTGGGTTTTCCATTTAGCCCACTAAAAGTTCTCCACGTTTAGCGGGGGATCTGAGGACAGCGTAGATATGAGTGTCCAGGTATTATGTTCATGAGCTCGTGGAGTTCGAGGCTCGGTGTAGCTTCCTTTCAAAGAAGAGCTGGGCACCACATCCGCCCCGGGTGGCCCGGTGGCCATTTTCTCCAAAGTCCATCGGGATGGCAAATCATAGATGGTGAGAGGAGGTATGGCAAACCGGTGGTAGTCTTTGCTTTCATGACCATAGCTAGCTTTGGGTTCGTGAGCCACATCTTTATGGCTAGTTACTTGGTTGGATCTTTGGACTTCCACTTGTTGGGAAACAGGTGGGATTTCCGTTTGTATATTTGCCCGAAGCCTCCATTTGCTTAAGAAGATTTGTACTTTCCCTTGTTGGTGTTAAAAGGAATTCATCACTACTGGAAATATGTTTGTTTTTTTTCCTGGGGCCTTAACCAAATGGAAGTAAATGTACCCTTGTCGAGGTCCGGTCCCTTGTCACCTCACAGACCCCCAAAGTTGCGTCGCAGCCATAGGCTCAGGTCGGATATCGTCCGTGGAGTCTCAATTGAGCAGCGCCCAAAACCGATCCCAATAGTAGATAGTTCAGCTCCTACCTGGTTTAGTTGGGGGTCATAAGGGCTATGTAAAACCATTGCAACCATCTTCCTGAAACTACCCATTCATAAAAAATATTCACGCCTTTATTTTGGCTTGCAATCACTCCTTTTTGTAGTTGGAAGTTTGAGGGCCCAGCTTCCTAAAGCGCACTCAGTTGGTGCGCTGCTCAATTGCGAAGCAACAGTCCAGCTGGCATCTTGAAGCGGGGCATGCCCTGCGCAGATTGTGCATGCTGCGCGGAAGATTTGCATGTGGAGACAGTGCAGGTGACTGCACATCCGGATGTTGAAACTCATTCCTCGGAGACAACAGAAATGAGTATCCCGTCGGATTCTCCCAAGATGGAGCACGCAAGTATTCTTATCGCAGATGATCAGCTTGTTCGAGGCATCTCAATCCATGCAACTTTGTGCAGCGGAGGTTCTTTGTGGCGGAAGTCCCCCTGTGATATGAGTGAGGCGGAGAAAGTTGGTCTGTGGGAGAAGTCGAGGCGTGTCGACGAGTTCGACATGTTTCTTTCACATGCCTGGGTCAGTTCTGGCAGAGTCAAGTTTCTGGCCCTGCTGGTATACACCGGCGGCGGATATTATTCTTCGTTCTGGGCTATTGCATTGCTGAGTGCGGGCGGGCTTTGCATGTGTGATGTGCTGCCAATGCCATTCGTCCGGGCCTTCGAAATGCCAGAGTTTTCCCGCGACTGCCCACTTGGGCTCTGGATGTTTCTTATTTCTCCCCAAACCAACTTTTTGACCTTTCTTTTTCTTATGCCGGTCCACTTAGGGCTGTTTGGCCTTGTTTGGCCATAAAGTTGTTCATATTTCTTCAGCCTTAGGGGTTTGTTCCTGATCGGTTCCGAAACTCCGAGCTTCTTTTTCTCCACGTGCGACTGAGGCTGATATCTAGCTCCATTGCGCAGCTTGCTGGCTTGGCTTTGAGCCCTTATTTGCCACATAGAGACTTGAATGCCATTTGAAAGGGATTGTTGTCCCAGTAGCTTTGAAGGTAAGCTTGAACCAGTAACCTTGCTTGAACCTCCTCATACCTCCTCATAGTTGTTCGAATATCTGCATTTCCCCACTAGCCAGCAGCAAGTGACACTTGTTTGGCAAGGGGCAACAGCAGGAAAGTGCGACTGCTTCTTGGACGTAGTGAGCATCAATCAGCATGATCCTGACCTCATGAGCCGCGGGATTTATGCGCTCGGCGGTTTTTTGAGCCGGTCCAAGGACAGAATTCGCCAGTAGTTCCCGTTTTTTTTTGCGGGCTTTAACTCATCACTTTTGGGCCGCAAGGGTGAGTTTCCGATGCGAGTGTGATGTTTTTCGCCAGGAGCTGCGTATCCTGTGGAGCCCGCCACTCTTCACCAGGCTTTGGCACCTCGCCTGACTATGTGTTTCGGTCGAGGCTCGGAAATCGTTTTCATCTTGCCTTAAACAGGGCTTCCCATATTTCCCCTTAAAGGAAGGTTTCAAACATCCTCTTTTGGGCCAATTTAAAGTGTTTTGTTTTTGTGATGTTGAAAGGAGAAACATGCCGAGCCCTGTTCAAGGGAAACCTGATTTATGAACGCCATGTTGGGCGTACGGCCAGGTGACCGTTAGTTTAGCTCCAGGCATTGTTGGTCTGGAGGTGCAGTGGTGTTTTGGTTGGCGATGATTTGTCATAGTGACAATTCTAAATGACACCAACATACTGTGGATGGTTGCAAAATCCATTTCGCACCACCTTTCAGACACCTCAGAATGATTTCATTCCCCTGTAAATACCGACGAACAATGGTGTCCCATGGTTTCAAAGTGATGCGAACGGATTTTTGTGTCCCCCCCCGTTTTGACTCATACCCATTCCTTTAATTGATTGATTGGGACTCGAGGGAATGACCCGTTGGAAAGTTCGGTTGCAACTAAGGTGCGTCTTTGAGCTGGCAGCGTTCTGCGCCGCCAATGCATCAGGCCAGATCAAGCTGATGCCTCAGTATTTTGTGGCCATCGCAGTGGCAGGTTGGGTCTCCACCTTCTTTTTGGCGCTGGTGTTTTGGGGCATGCAGCGCATCGAATTCGGCTGGGTTCACTTGCTTTGCATGTGTGCCGCCGGATTTGCAGCTACACATCTTGGAAGGCGGCTCAGCCTGCAAAAGCAGAGTCTCATTGAGCAGTTGGAAAGCTTCACGCTGGATGGCGCGGCTTGCCGCTTAGAAAGTGACCGGGACTTCATTTACGAGGCAGTAACGCAGTTGTACGGTGGCCTGGGGCAGTTCACTGACTTTGTTCGCGGCCCGTTGCGACGGCAACTCCTCCAATGCTGCTCGCAGATCCCTGCAGATTTGCTCTTGTTTTTGGTCTTGCCCCTCGTAGCCTACAAAGCGGAGTTGCTGCTCGCAATGTGGAAGGGAGGCGTGCCAGGCATGGTTGGGCAAATATGTTATTTACACAACCAGACCTTGTACCCGTTTGCAAGCACCGAACCAAACATGTTTGAATGCTATTTGTGTAAATGTTTGACAATCGTTGGTTGGACCACCCAAGCTCAACGCCAGGCAACATCTTGATAGCGTACTGTTGCAGTTCCGTTCTGGGCCTCAGCCTGCTTTGGACGGCCTTCGTATCGAGTCTGGGTCTTTACTTGGTCGACCTCTTTGCAAGACCAACTCGGTCAGGAGACTTCGCTGCAGTTGAGTGCATGTTTGCATTTCTTGTTCTTTATTTTCAATGTTCTTTCTGGGTTATGGCAAGTGGTGCAGGAGTTCTGTGGGACCTCTTCCAGTCGCTGTTTGTTACTGCTCTGACTGTTGCCCCTTACTTTGCCGGCTATGTGCTCGACGAGCGGGCGCGTGAGGGCAACGTGGTTTTGATAGCTGCCTGGGCAGCTTTGCTCTGCCTGAGTGTGGCTTGGTTCTGCTGGGCTGCCAGCGCTGGGTTGCTGATAGCGCCCTTCGTCGGCTGTCCCTTTGAATGGAAAATGCCCAGGCGGACGAAGAGCAAGCCCACCGAGACGTGAAGGGAGCTGGCACTTGCTACTTCTAGTAATTATCGATAAGTTTTTCAGGCCGAATTTACGTGAAGTGGAATCCAAACGGACCGTCGCATTCGGCCAAGTTTCACATGCCAGAATCTGTGAAGGTTGTTTCGCGCCAGGCGCGGCGAACGCGGAGAGAAAGGTCGGGTGCCAGCGCTAGTCCGCTCACATAGCCGTATCGGCCATGCGAGAGTATTCGGTCATATGGGTCAAAATTGAACCCCAGGGAAACGCTGGGAGTCCGTGTTTCCATGTACCAAGCTTGCATTTTGGGTACCCATTTGTGACCCACAGCCATATAGAGTCCTTGAACTGCATGGTGGAATATATCACGCACCATGTTGAACAAATGACATATAGTGGTTCCCCTGTGGATGGTTGCGAAGTCCGTTTCTTGCACCACCGAAATGAAACAATATGACGTAGCTTTGTTTGTTTCGGAATTTAAGTTGGGGAATCGATTCATGTCAAGGTTGCTGATCAGTGCGAAATGGATTTCGCAACCATCTGCAGCTTCCGGTCTCCTGGCCCTTACATGGGGTCATAGGTTCTTACCTGGAGTCTCCGAATCTGACCCGAATCAAACATGGGTCCATGACCCATTTCTTTATCTTGGGTGATGACCCGGCCGATTTGTTCAAGGGTCAGATTCGGAGACTCCAGGCAGAAACCCATGGACCACCCATCCCTGTTTGCGAAAATATGGGGCGTGTGACGTTTTAAGACTCGCCAACTTTGCACCCTATTTCTCCAAGGGCCAGATTGAGAGACTCCCAGGTAGTGACCAACCACCCCCCCTTTGTCTTTGAGCCAGGTCGCTGGACTTCTTGTCGGGTACCGTTCAGCCTTTGCCTTAGAGAGAGAGAGAGAGAGGTGAGGGGGTGAGTTTCTTCACACCCAAACCTGGAGTCTCCATGACCCTAGAAAAATGGGGTCATGACCACCGTATTTTGGGTAATGACCGGTCACGGAGACTCCAGGAATGAGTCTGGGTGAATTATAACGACCTCACACGACCACCCCAAATGTTGGTTTATGTGGGGAATAGCCCCCCAACCACCTTATTCAGGCTGGTGAAATATTCTAAGACACCCAGCTAGGTGAGTGTCCTTTAGATTTAGAGGGAATCGATTTCATTGGACATATGTGTTTTTCTCATATTGTTTCTCCAGTGGACTTGAGCAAATGGAAGCTCAGATTAGGGTAACATCACCCCAAATGGTGGTTCTTCTGGTTTCCCTTGGGCTTCAAGGTGCCAAGGCTGAGTCTCAAGACGTCACACACTTCATATTTTTGCAAAGGATGGGTGGTGCCCCTCTGGGTTTCTGCCTGCAGAGTTTTTCCTGACCCTTACAACATTGGAGTGCCCAAAGCAAAAATTGTTTGTCATGGACCCAGATTCGGAGACTTTTATTTGGAGTCTCCATTCTAAACATGGCTTCTTCTTTCTTTTGACCCCTGGCCCCATGGTGTTGTTTTTGATGACTTGCCTCTTAAACACACAACACGTTTCTCAACTTTTTTGGGGGTAACATGGGCATGTCCGTAAAAAAAAGAGAACTTCCCCAGGCTGCCTGGAGTCTGAAGGGCTAAGTTTTTGACGACCTTCTATTTTTTCACGGGCCGTGGAGGCCGGGAGGCTCATCGGTGGTAGGTCGCTCGGCCTCAGGAACCTGAAGAAGTTCGGGGGCGCCATTGGCGAGGCGGCCGGAAGGGCAAGCTGCAAGCTGCAAGGGTTCGGCCCGTGGGTGACGAATCCGGTGGAAATTTCCCACCTGGGAAATCCATGAGCTTCTTTTTTTCAAGGGCCCCGCAAAAAACAGGGCCCTTTGTGGATGGTGACATCCGTTGGCACCTGGAAGATCCATGTTTTGTTCAAGGGCCCGCAAAAAACAAACCGCCCTTCTGGATGTTGCTCCTGCTTGAAAAAGGAAATCAGAAACAAGAGGCAACTGCTTTTTCAGGGTGGAGGATCAAGGCGAGGGACCAGAATTAACTTGTTTGTTGGTATTACGTAGAGGAATCAGAGTTTCTGAGTTTGGTGGTGCGTGCTTCCATTCTGCCTGGACACTCGATTTTCCCTTGAAACATATGATATTGCCCCAAACTGTTGGGGCAATACCCATTTTTGTAGGCTAGTTGCGAAATCCTTTTCGCACCACCGAGAAACCCAACGGAATGATACGATTCCCCCGTAAATATCAAGAAACAATGGTTTCAACCATGGTTTTGTTTTGTGTTGCGAACTGATATGTGTTTGGAGTGACCGAATCGCCCCGGAGAGACCTTTTGGAAACAAATTTGCTTTTCACTAAACCTACAAGAGGTGATCGACCTTTGCCCAGGGCTTGGAGCAACGCTGTACCCCTTCACAAAAGCTGCAGTGGCTGGCATTGGAGTCAACACGAAAAATAAAAACTTGAAGCCTCGGAATCTTGGGACCCCAATTTGGCCCATTTCGGATTTCCGGAAGATCCCTACCCTTGATGCGGTCGATTGGTTTCCAGATCCGGAGCTCGCCGGTTTCGCAGGAGCTTGACATGCACTGCCGCCTGCTCGGGGACATGGAGGCGCGGCCGAGGCGGAGAAAGACATACTGTGCATGGTTGCGAAATCCGCAACTCGCACCACCTTTCCGAAACCATGGAATGATTTTTGATTCCCCAACGTAAAAGTTCAACGGACAATCAGTTCGGCATGGTTTCCAAGAGGTGCGAAATGGATTTTGTCCATCCACAATATGGGCCCAATATTCTTGCGCTGGGACCTTCCAGCGCTTCGCTTACCAAGATCCCGGGGAAGCCCTTGTGGTAAGTGGCGCGTTCCTTGTGGGTTTTGACGAGGGTGTGCTTGCCATGTGGTTACTGCAGATGAATAGATCCACCGGGTTACCTTTTGATTATTTACGTGTTTAAAGGCCTGTTCGATGTTCCATCATTTCCCTTAGCGAAAACCCAACTCTATGCAGAATCTCAGTTTTGTTTAAAGGCTTGTTCGGCGTTCCATCATTTTCCCCTTAAGTTGTTTAAAGTTTAAAGGCCTTTTCGGTTTTCCATCATTTCCCTTAGCAAAACCACAACACCATGCAGAATCTCAGTTTTGTTTAAGGGCTTGTTTGGTGTTCCATCATTTTCCCTTAGCAAAACACAAAGCAACATGCAGAACCTTAAGTTGTTTAAAGGCCTTTTCGGTTTTCCATCATTTTCCCTCAGCGAAAACACAAAACAAATCAAAACAACATGCATAATCTCAATTCTGTTTAAATGCTTGTTCGGTGTTCCATCATTTTTCTTAGCACAAACACAAAGCAAAATGCCGGGGGGGGGGAGTTCCCTCCAGTTTGTTGGAGGGGGGGTCCCTTTCAGAAGCAGACTAAGAAACGAGTGCCCTTTTGTTGGCGGGGTTTGGGTAAGTGTAGATGGCATATTTCCGCTTGGTTTAGTCATCACCCTTACCAACAAAAAAGGATTTGCGCAGGTACTTTAACCCTGGTGTAGCTATCCCAGGGCATCCCATTGTTTCGATGCACTTTTTTTTCTTTCTTTTGTTTTCCTTTTTTCCATTTTTTTTTCGCCCATTCATTCCATTTGGCTTCTGTTGGCAACCAGGCTTTTTCACACCGACCACGCGTTGCTACCTGCTGTGGATTGCTTGGGATCCTTTGGGCCTAAGGCCGTCTGTATACCTGGAGTCTCCGAGACTGACCCTTTCAAAATGGGTTCATGACCCCAAAAACTTTGGGCAGCGACCCCCTTTTGAACGGGTCATGGACACTCCAGGTCTTTGTTTTTCTCGTGAGTTCTTGAACTTTTTTGGGAGTCACTTGGGGCGGTCTCCGCAAAAAACCCTTGACTTTCTCCCTCCAACCCCCACACCGTTGAAGTCCAGGGGCCTTTGCTTGGCCCAAGGTGGCAGAATCCATTTTCCGGAGAGCGGCAGAATCGTTTTTCAAGGCTTGGTTGACAGGGCTTGTTTTGTACCTTGCAACCCAAAAGGATGGAATTGGTGAATTCCAACCTGTTAAGTTTTGGTAGTTTGATGGTCGTGCTTTTGCGGGGCTTGGCGGGTTGGTCCCGAAGCGGCTTCGAGTGTTCGAAGGGCCAGACCGAAGATGCCAGAGATCGCATCAAACACCAGCAGGCGCGGAAAGCCGAAGGTCAGGGGCCTTTCGGATGGTTAAGATGAGGACCTATCTTGCTGGTGCTTAGTAGGGAATGTGAACCAGGAGTCTCCTTACAGGAAACCATAGGGGAAGGTTTACAAGGGTCATGACCTTGTTCCTTGCCGGTTTTTGTTTGATTTCCCTTCACCTGTCTCCTTCTGACCTTAAGTAAAAATGGTTAAGTCATGAGTCATGACCCTGGTTTTTTTTCTGGTCTCCACAAATGTTTGTTCAAAATGGTTGGTCCTGACCCTTGTTTTGTTTGGTCTCCACCCATTTTTCAGGGGTCAGTCTCGGAGACTTCAGGTCAGAACCTAATCCGCAGGCTCTTGCCCCATGTTATGACCCTCGACCTGAAACTTACCTCTTAAAAACACAAAACTTTTCTCAACTTTTTGGGTAACATGGGCTATATGTCTGTAAAAGATGAGAACGTCCCCAGGTTGCTTGGAGTTTTAAGGGGTAAGGAAAAGGAGCCCATGTCGCGGCCTTGGGACCTCCGTTTCGGAACCCATCCGCAGAGAGATCTCGAGCCTCTCGACTCGCCAGAAGAAGCTGGAAGCGCTGAGTAGCGAGTCCACCATGTGCGCTCTGTGGGTGCGGAGCCAAGACGAGCCATGTTGGTGGTCCCTAGCCATCCGGTTCCATGGGTTTGTACCTAGAGTCTCCTTCCGACCCTTAAAAAATGGGATCATTACCCAAAATCAAGAAATGGGTCATGGACCCATTTGTAGCTTTGGTCATGGAGACTCCAGGTAGCTGTGTCTTTTGGTCGGTTTGGAGGTTGGGTTGTTTAACCCCCAAGTTGCTTGGACTCCGTTTCGGCGGTTGTTGGACTGGATCTTTACTGTTGGGCAAGGTGCCTGGAGTCTCCGAATCTGACCCTTTACAATGGGTCGATGGCCCATTTCTTAATTTTGGGCAATGACCCAGCATTTTTTAAGGGTCAGAGGGAGACTCCAGGTGCGTGCTTTTTCTGGCTCAACTGCAAGGAATTGAACTCTTTGGGTAGGGGTAGTGGCCATCCAGCAACGTGCTTGGACCCGTTTTGCGATTCTTAAGGGTCCTGGCAAAGAGCTAGAGTCAAAGACACGAGCCCCGCAGCACCCCACGAAAATCCCTGACGAAACCCAAAGGGAATTTAAGCTGGAAAGCCATTTTGCTAATTTGATGTTTATCACAGGAAGCAAGGGGTATTCGGAGGGGGGAATGGGGGCAAATGATTAATAGCCCTCCCTTCCCCCTTCAACATGGCTTCCGAAATCCCCCCCTTCGGGTGAATCCAGTCCGCAGTCTTCGGTGCTGCGACCCATTGTTTGCTTTTTAGGGATGGACTCCCAAGGAGGGCGATGGGGAGGGCTATCCCTTGGGTTGTCATTGTTAAGAGCTTTTTTGTTGTCTTATCCTCGGTTTATCCATCCCCCATAGCCCCGCCTAGGGCTCGGAATGCTGCGGTACTTTGGCCGAGTCTCCAAAACCATCCTAGAGAGGAGATCGGGAATTTGAAGCACTCGGTCTTCCCACGTAGAAAAGCCTTTGTATGTTTGTCCGCTCACCTGTGCCGTGGTTACAAAACCACTTACTTGGTTGGTTGGGATGGTTATCAGCCATTGAATAGGGTGTTTAGACGACAAGATTGTTAGGAGGTGTTCTCCCAAGCAGCAATGATATGTCTACTCCAAAATGGCACACGGCCCGTTGAATAAATCCAGGGTTTATGAATCAACCGTGACCTCGCGACAACAGCTATCAAACCATTTGTTGTTAAGTGACCTTGTATCCGGGGCCACTTGACAGTTTTGCTTTGCGACCGCCTTCCCCTCCCCCCGTGCCCCGCGTTGTTGGCCTCGTGGCAAACCTTCGAGAGGTCCCTGTTCTACCGCACAGGAATCTCCCCTAAGCTCGAAAGAAAGAAGGGTGGCCAAGGAGTTTCGTCCTGCTATCTCAACTCTCTCTCTCTCCTCCGTAAGGCTCCAGGCCAGCACAAGCTGTGATCGAAGACTCCAGGGGAATTCTCCCCCCCCCCCCCCCCAGCCCCCCGGGCCCCCCCAGCCCCACCCCCCCACCCCCCCCCCACCTCGCCTCGCAGTTTTTGGTCGGTTTCGCGGTGTGACCCCCGAGACCTGCATCTTCGTGATGGCCGTGGCGATCTTTGCGCCTCGGAGATTCCGAGATTCGGAGATTCGAGCCGGGCGCGCCGATTGGGATGTTTGGAGGGTCCTTCTGACGGCTGGGTCCTGCCAACTCCAAAAGGGTACCCTCAAAACATCACTTTTGTTGGGGGTCCTGGTTCTCAGGATGAACTCGAGGGTTTTGGGAATGAACCGGACAAAGGATGCTCAGGCGTCAAAGCCCGTTCCCTACCGAGAACCAGCAAGATTTCGGCTCCAAGCCCACAAGGAGCGGGGGTTCTGCAGAAAACATTGGATGGTGCTGTAGTGTGGACAGCAGTGGATAGGTCTGAGTTGCAGCTTGCTTTTGCGACGGCGTCTCAGGTGCTCCTGGTTTTCTTCTGAGCCGGCACGTTAATGCACCCGGGCTGCCACGTGGCAACCTGTAGTGTGACCAAGAGACAAATTCTGATCTGTCTCCCCTGCCCCCGCGGAAAAGTATTGTTAAGTTTCCATGTTCTTTTGCATGGGAGTGTACCCCCAGAAAGGTTCTCGGAACCTTCAGAACTTTTTTTTTTATATAACCCTTTCAAAGAAGCTTCCCTCCGAACTTTGCCGGGGGAGTTGGGGTTTCGCCTTTGACTTCCCGACATGCAGCAGTCCGGAGAAACGAGCGCCTCGCGCGGGCCGACTCGCCTTGGAGTCCCCTCCCTCCGTAAAGGCCAACCTTTTGCCACGAGCCAAAACCTGGAAGGTGTTCAAGAGAGTCGCCACGGTCTTTGCTTTCCGGCCGTTTGGGTCTTTACATGGTGGGAACCCCAGCCGCCCGCTTCCTTAGGTGGTTGTGCTTTTAGACGGGATTTCCATCTAACCTGTGAAGCCGTTTTTTTTTTTTTTTTTTTTTTTTTTTTTTTTTTTTTTTTTTTTTTTTTTTTTTTTTTTTTTTTTTTTTTTTTTTTTTCGAGAAAGAAAAACAGGTGTTTTCATGAAACGGCATTTTTCCAAACGTCGACCTTTTTTTGAGTTTCGTGGGTAGAGTGCATCTTGGAGAGCCAAACAAGGGCGGAAAAACCCGGAACAGAGGCGGAAACAAGCGGAAAAGGGCGGACAAATCCGGAAATCTTACATGAGCCAGGCCACCTTTCCACAAAAATAAATGTCTTTCCAAACAACGAACTTTTTTCCGAACAACGACCAACATTTGGTGCTTTTTGCTCGAAGGCGTTTTTTTTTTGGTCCGCACACGTGGGCTTCGCAGGAATCCACTAGTTAATCTTTCAGCAGGGGATCTGAAAACGGACGGCCCAGTTTGCTGTGAGTTGGGGTGGCTACCATTTGCCCCGGCTTGATTTATGATTTCCATTTGCGGAGGCTACCCTCGCGGATCGTTCAATGAGATTCATTGGGCATAGCCGGGCGCCATTTTCAACTGGGGCGGTTCTTCCAAGTGCGTTTGGGGCTGACGTTATCGCGACTTTCGGTTATTGTGTTCTATTAAAACCGAAAGCTTTTTGTGTCCTTCCTTCTGGTTTTTCCCTTCAAGGGTTCAATTGGAGAGGTAGCCCTCAATTGGCGGTTTGGTGTTTTCGGGGTTTGATCTCCTGAGTCCTTTATATAGGCAAATGGGAAACCACTCCAGACTTCCAAAACGCCAATCCAAACCACAAATAAGAGGCTGAAATGAAGAACCGGCCAACGGCAGCCGCTTTTTCCAAGGATTGACGATCAAGAATCATGTATCAGCATGCATGGCCATTCCGAGGTTTTTGATTATGCTTGAAATGCAACCTGGTATTTGTCCTTTTTGCTCACGTCATGGCGCTCATGCGGCCATTACGTGACGTATTCACATGCTCACCAATTCTCATGGTTGCCTGTTCACATTCTCAAAGCAATTGCCTCCATAGTTCGACCCCCGCAAATTGGCACTCACAAAGGGGCGGGTCATAGCCAACTCACGCTGTCGCAGCCACGATAAATCGGGGTCGCTCGACTTGTTCCACCTCGGTTTCCACCTGCGACCTCCATACTTGTTTCTTGGATCATACATCCATCCCAACAAACGTGAAGAATCCTAGAAACCTCAGAGCAAAAACCACCTGAGCCCTCAGACTGCCCATAAAAGCTGGAATTCGCCAATATTGTTTGGGGTTGCAATCAATACCACACTTTTTCCAAGTCCAGGCAACATGATACCATTCGCGCGAAACGAAAACAAACATCTGTGCACACCTCGTTCCCGGCGCCCTGTAAGGGCGTTCGCTGGGAACCTCCCGTTCCCCGTGTCCCCTCTCGCTCCGGCCGAAGAGCCATGGAGTTCCCGGTGTCCGCACGGCTGGCGACCACCGGCGAGCTGCTGGCGGTGGCCGGGGGCCTACGGCCTACAGCACCGGGGGTCCAATTCGACCCCATGAAAAAAACATGGTTCTCGATGGTCCCTAAACCGCCAGGGCGAAACGGAGCACCCGGACCCTGAAACCATCAGAATAAAGCCGGCAGGAAAACAATGCCTTGGTGCATTTTGCCAAGGGATGTTAGGAATTTATTTTTTTGCCAACGAATTTGGGGTTTCCATTAAACCACTAGAAGTTAACTTTTAGAAGGGGAGCAGAAAGCAACCAAGGATGGGTGGGTATGGGTCACAATAAAACCAGCAGGATATGGACTAGTTGACATGTGTTTTTCTTTGGTTCCATTTACCAGGGCAAGTTTTTGTTGGGGTTACCCTATTTTTGACTCACAGCCTTGGTGGTTTTCCTTGTCTCCATGGGGTTCAACCCCCATGAAAAGAATGGCAAGGACCCAATTTGAATGTTGATCATCCTGAAAGGTAAACTTTATGCTCCCATGAAAACAAAGGCGTCTGGACTCAATTCGAAGGATGATAATTCAATGATACTCCTGAACGGTAAACGTTATGGTGGTTTTCTGGACCCAACCAATGTGTTGGTTCCTTGCCCTCATTGAAACAATTGGTGGTTTTCCTTGTCTCCATAAAGTCGCTGGGGGAAAGCTGGCCAAGCCATGGCTTGGTCAAAGCTGTAGGAAACTCTGCCATGCCTTGTCAAAAAATTGGGTCGCTGGGTTTCCCGAGGCTTCCTTGGCATGAAAAGAATGGGGACCCAATTTGAATGATCATCCTTATCCTTAGGCAAACAATGGTGGTATATGAACCCAACCATTGCTTCAAAACACTTGGTGGCTTTCTCCTTGTCTCCATGAAATCGCTGGGGTTAGGCTTCCTTGCCCCGATGAAAAGAATGGCCAGGACCCAATTTGAATGATGATCATCCTGAAAGGTAAACGTTATGATGGTGAAGTATGAACCCTACCATTGTTTTGAGGGGGGGGATTTCGACCAAATGGAGGTCTTCCTAGAGCACCCAAACCCTGAAAGAAAAGGGCAGGGTGTGCCAAAAAATGGGTTAAGTCGCACTAGGTCGATCCATTTATGGCTGAACCCATTTTCCCTATGAAGACTGGAGAACAGGACTTGGGACCCGGCGTTTTGCCTTCTCAAAGGGGGAGCCCCGATCACCATGTTGTTCAAGTAGGCCAACCACATACATGACCCCGGCCCCCGAAAACCATGATCACATAAAGGCAATCAGGAGGTTTACTTTAGGTCTCCCTGCAATATTGAGGGTGAGTTTTCCTGTGGGTCCAGGGTAATTACTTATAAAACACTTGGACCCTCAAAGTTCCAACTCAAAAATGAGAATACTTGCAGCCCCAAACATTATGGTATTGGTGAATTCCAACTTGTTTCTGGTTGGTTTGAAGGATCCAAAGCCGCGTGCTTGATTGCCTGGAGTGGCTGGTTTTACTTCTTCGCTGGTGTTGCGGGCATTGATCATGACAAGTAGACACGTCATTGTTTGGCACTGAATGAAGGACTGTGGGCAACAGCTGCTTTGGAGAGAGTAGGGCTTATTTTTCTCTAAACATGCTTGCAAATGTGGGGGTATATGTTGGGAAGCACTTGGGAACACCACGGTTGATTACTGCTTGTAAGATCTTTGTACTGGCAATCAGTTCGAAGAATTGGTTGGCCAAACCACGGAAGTGAGTTGCCCCTTTTGATTTGGTGATCCCTGCTTTTCTTTGTCCATTCTTGGACTGCCCAGAGCTTGCCACTCTGTGAACAGTTTAAGGACAGCTGGTGCCCCCGGCTACAGGGCCTTAAAAAACTGCGATCCACTCGGCTGGTTTAGCCCAAGTCGATGGCATTCCGGGCAAGCTCGCTTCCCGAGTTCCTGGACTTGTTTTTTGGGGGGGTTGGACCATTTTACCGAGTTCCTGGACTTTAAACTTTTTGGGCTTGGACCATTTTAGTGGTCAATAAGCAGTTTGCTCTTTTTTGTTGGGCCGGTCTCAGGAAGTGCGACAAGCAGCCCCGATTCGCTTCAATCCTGTAGAGGAACACCAAAAGGAGATCGTGCAAGCCACCCCAAAGAATCCTCCAACAGAGACACGTCGATGGCACACTGCCGGGCAAGCTCACTTCCTTGAAACTTTTTCAGAAGCCCATTTGAGTGGTCCCCAAAAAGTTTGATGTTTTGTTTTTTGACCAGTCTCAGGAAGTGAGCACGTCATGCAGCCGCATGCCCAGCCCAGGTGGACGCAAAGCCCCACGAGACCGTGGCAGCGCTCCGCAGCGCCATCGCCGAGGAGCCCATAGTCGGATCCGACTCGCCGGTCGAGTTGGACGCGGACAAGTGGGTGTGGCTCAAAATAGGGACGCCCCTTTTTGGATGTTCCTCGACCCGTTTCATAACTACCCATAAACAGTTTTAGTTGGAATTCACCGTTATCCATGATCTTGGGGCAGGCAATGATTCTCCCTAGAGTGTCCATGACCCTGTAAAAATGGGGTCATGAGTCATTACCAAAATAACGGGGTCATGGACCCCATTTTTTGAGGGTCATAGAGACTCCAGGTTTAAGTTGCTTTTTTTAGCCTCCAGGTGGTTTTAAAAGGGAAACGCACAGGAGCCCAACCACCCAGCCCTGAATTGAGGTTTTGGATTGGCAACGCTTGTTTTTTTGATTGCATGGGCAGGGGTCCGAATTCTTGGGGCCTTACATGTCCAGCACGGGGGTTGACTTGGGCAAATGGATTCTCTCGTGAAAAACCGGGCTGCGAGGAGGTGTTTTTTTGCGCTCCTCCAGTCAAGTTTGTGGCAAGGGTGAATCTTTCCCGGAACCTGTTAGTCGATCCAGATTTGACGTTTTGGAGTGAATTCCCAAAAGGAGGTATCTAGAAAACGGCCCCAACTTCAGTTTCAAGCAATGGGATCAAGCCCGGGTCTTACCAGCAAAAAAGGGTATCCTCAAGCGAAGGCCCGAGAAATCAATTTTGTCCAAAAAAGAGGCTTGGCCGAAAGGGAAGCCGTATTGAGGGGCACCGAATCGGGTTCTACCAAGCAGGTGTCGCTTGCAGAAATGGGCAACCAGGTGTGTGTAGCATCCTGAAACCCATTTATTGGATATACATATATATATATATATATATATATATATATATAAATATGCGTATGTATATGCTTATGTATAAATACATATATGTATATATATATATACATACATGTATATATATAAGACTTGTGTACCTGTACGGTCGAGCAGCGAGTCACCGAGCCACGCGGACCGGCGGACCGGCGGACCCAGGCGGCGCGGGAGACTTGTTCCCTGTGGCTCTTGGCCCATGGGCGCCTACTGCTGGACGGCGAGCTGCTGCTGGATTTGCAGCCCAGCGACTCTGCCAGGCGCGTTGAGATTTTCGCGAAGGGGAGGCTTGGCGTGGCGCAGTTGAGGGTTCTTCCTCGAAGGGTTTGCTGTAATTGGATGACCCCATGTTAATCAACCCCTATGAATAGGGTTTAGGAATCAGACCACTTTGGAGGGGATTCATGTTTTATGAAGGGTCCTGGTACTTGGATGTTTTCATCAGAATTGAAGTCCCCATTCCGTTGCTTATTTTTGAACATTTCTGAAGGAATGGGGACTCAAATTTGTTACGTAAGATTTAGTCAGAAAACGAGTTGGAGCGATGGAGAATCGGAGATCTACCCCTTTTGGCATGTCAACCCGATTGAAAAGAATCACAACAACTACCTGGAGTCTCCACGACCTTGTAAAAATGGGATCATCACCCTTGTTTTTTTGGGTAATGATCCACGACCTTGTAAAAATGGGATCATCACCCTTGTTTTTTTGGGTAATGATCCACGACCTTGTAAACATGGGGTCATCACCCGTGTTTTTTGGGTAATGACCCCATTTGTTCAGGGTCGTGAAGACTCCAAGCACCCCTTTTGGGACGGCTAAGAGGCTCATGGTGGACATCGTCCGCTGCGAGAACATGCCGGCCCTCGCCCCACCGCCTGCGGCCCCGACGAATCTCCGGCTCTTCCCGCGCTGCGCACTCACAGGCGACTCGTTCGGGAGGAGGGTTTCAGAAGAGGCGAACCCCCCCAAGAAAGTTTTTTTGTGGGTTTTACATTGGTTTCCGAAAAAGACTCACACCCTGAGTTCCTGGACTTCAAGCTTTTTGGGAACATGGGGTTTTCTCAGAAAAACCTGGGCTACGAAGGGTGCGATTCAATTTCGCTCTCCAGACCTCCAGATCGTCTTGGGGAGCGCAACAAGGATTCGGATAAATTGTCCATTTTGGGTTGGGTATCAACTTCACTGGTGGTGGCAAGCTTTTATTCTGTTGCTTGGTTCTGCGTTTTTGATTGTGTTGGTTTGGGTTTTTGGTTGGGTTTCTTGGTTCTGTTCATTTTTATGGCGGTGCTCCAAAAATCAAAGGGATTGCTGCCATTCCGAGGGTGTCATTTTCTCCTCTGTGTCGAGAAGCAACACACGTCGTCGCTTTCTTTGATAACTTTCCGCTCAGGAAGTGGGAAGGGCAGTCCGCGTCAATGTTTGATGGTGGAAGCTATTTATTTCTGATCTGAGGAATCGTGGGACCTCAGGCTCTGTTTGAGGCTTCACATTTTCCCTCCACCGGAGGGTCGCATGATGCTTAAGGTAGGTTAGGGTTTAGGGTTGGGCGTTGACCAAGCCTGACTTGGATGCTCAACCCACGGTAGGTGAAAAACCTGGGCTTAGTTGGGGCATCAGCTATGGTCGTGGCCTTCCACAGACCAGTGGCTATGGGGGAAAAGGTGGAAACTTTTGTTTTTCTGTTCTGAAACTCACGTGCCCAAAGCCGATCTTTTGACCTTTTGTTTTTCCCCTTTTTTGGCCCATGTCAAAAGGTGAACCTGGGCTGACATGTTTCTGGGTAGAGCCCTTCCCAATTTCACAGCAGTGACTCAAGGTGCATGTCATCCCCTCCGACTGTGGCTAGCTAGACATAGCTAGACCGTCAAAATTCCAACTTAAACATAGATTCCATATTTCTGGACCCCGAAACGTCAGATTTCATATTTCTGGATGGGTACTCCCGGGGTCCCTTCAAGGTGACCTGATGGGTGAACTGCGGCTGTGGCCACTGGACACTGTGGCCGCCCTGCGGGCGGCGGTGAGGAATTTGCTGCCACAGGACCGCCCTGTCCCCTCCTGTCCGTGGGTCCCCGCACTCGGGACACTTAGGGAACCACCTGACAAGTGGTTGGCATGAATCCGCACCTTCTCTGATGTCCAAAGGGTCCCTAATTCAAATTCCTGCCCACAGAATAGGCAGGGCTCATTCTAGGTCCCCCAGCATTTGGTGCCCTTTCTCACAGTTTCTTTTTTGGTTGGGAGGGTTCCCCTACTAAAATAGACTACAGAAAGAAGTTGGTACCCTTCTTCTAACCTCTCTACCGAAAAACCTAGGGAAACTTCAAAGGAGGGTTCTTTGGGTGGACGGTCGGGTATGCGGTCCTAGGGAAAGCCTGCCCTTTTAAGTCTTTTCAGGGGTGGTCAACAAGTCAAAGGAAAGCTGCAAAATGTCGAGGGTCCCCCAATTTTGGCTCAGAGTCCGACGTCAGATGTCTCTTCAGAGCATGGTGACCTTCCAAAACCCATCCGCAACCAGATTTCCGATTTCCCTCCCCCCCACCCATGTCGCGCGGCCAAACCCTGGCTGCAGCTGCCTCCAGCCGACCTGAAGTGAGCCCCGGCCCCTTGCCCTTTGACCTCTACACCCAGCCAGTCCCTATAGGGCTCCTTAAAATAAATTCATTTTGCAACCATGTGAAACATGGCTTTTTCAACACAAAAATAAGGGGAAACCACCATTTACAAGGCTATGTTCAGGTGTATAACGTAAGGATCCCAATCCCTAGTTCCTTGCCTCCCGCTGCTGCTGTCAGTTCTTGGGGCCTACGAACTATGATGTAGTTGGAATTTATTCCATTGGACTGAGTACAAGTAGTCCTTGTAATTCCAAGTAACCATACCATTACGTGCAAATTGTGCCGTTACATGTTGATGATGGTCATGATTAGCTGCTATAAAATACATAGGTAATTGTTGATAATGATGAAGCAGTAAATAGCCCAGTTCTTGCCTTGAGGCCACGCGACTGGCCGTGCAATGTGACCAGTGCACCTACCCCAGCCCCACCACAGCCAAACCGCCGCGCTGGCCATTCATGTGTCCATGTCCGCCCTCCATATCCCTTGCGCCCTTGCGCAGAAGACTTCACCCACTCAGTTGTTGGTGCTTCGGCCAAATGTGTTACCTTCCTTTACGGCTGTTCCGGCCCCGGCCCTAGTTCCTCGTGCCCAGTATGCGGCTGTAGCTGTGGCGCTTGGAAACTCATGTACCCTTGAAGTCGAGGTGTTCATGGGTTGCTATATCCAAGCCGAGCTTTGTTTTGGGGTGCCAGGCTCACCATACACATCTCCGGGCCTTCAACACGCCATCTCTGTGGCGGAACCCGTGTCCCTAGAGATCGGACATGGGCTCCATGATTCAACGGGTAAGACGACGCCATTTACTTGGGGATTCCTTCTGTCTGCTTGCATTCTATAGTAGTTTGCTCAGTGGCTTAGCCGAAGCATTATCCTTGGATTTTTGGCCGAGATGCCTTTGCTTGACCCAAAGGGCCGTGTCATGAGGGCCCTGGATTGCCCATCTGAAGCCAGATCCTTGGTCAAAATGATCTTCCCAACAGGTCGGCAACAAGTGAAGTACTTTGTCAGGATCCTCAGGATCTTGGGGTGCGAAGTTGGGCATTGATCAAAAGGTCCTTTGCATGGGGTGACCGGTTCCACGAAGAAAATTACTTTCACCACTTGGGAAGCTAAGAACCTGATTTTCCACCAAGAAAATGATCAACGGCATGTCTTCAACGGCCCTCTTGTCCAGCGAAGCGAGGAGGGGCCCCTACAGCTGCTACTGGGAGCGCTTTGGCGAGCGACTCAGGGAAGAGAAACTAGCTTCCATGTGCTTAATGTGTTTTTTCTTCTTTTTCCCCTGTTGGGTTTAAAGGGAATCGATGTTACTACTGGACATACTTTCTTCTGTTTGTTTTTTTTCCAGGGCGAAAAAGCAAATGGAGGGCAACCCTCAAAGAACTCTCCAAGCGGTAAGGGGAAACAGCCTTGGAAGGGGGGAGAAAGGCTAGACAAGGCGCAGCAGATGGGGTGAGGGAGGGTTGTGGTTTGTGGGTCTCCAATTAGGTCCCCCGACCGGTTAAAGTGCGGAGCGGTAGGCAGGGGGTCTACAAGGGCACCCCTGGGTTTACAATACCCAACGGCGTCTCTTAGTGGGTAAAGGGTAAATCGAAATGTGTGGCCAGCCTTTGGCCTCGTGATTTCCAGTGGGGATGTCTAAGGGCTTTCGCCTAAAATCACAATTTAACTGTTTCAAAAAAATGTTTATCAACTTGCCAGGGGCTTCTAGAAGCTTTTCCTAAAATAGTAGTAGTAATAATAATGATAATGATAATAATGATAATGATAATAACACTGAACACACAAACAAAAACAAAAACAAAACGTTGAGTATCAACTACTTAGAAAAAGGTACAGAACCCTGCACCCTCAATGAACAACTCCACTGGAGGTCTTGGACAAGCCCGACGGTTTCCCAAGGCGAATTTGAAGGCCTTGGAGATCCTACCCACCGTTCTTAGTTTTTTGTTTTTTTTAACGATCCAAAAGGGGGTCCCACAATTGTGAAACGCCCACAAGGAACTTGGACCAAAACCGAGCATGCGGGTGATGTGAGCAACGGTGCAACAGGGTGCCTTTTTGTGTTGAAGAACTGCTGGCTTGGTCCTTTTGTGAGGACGCATTTGTCTTGCGTTTCAAAGGTGACCTGTGACCGGGGGGCCCAGCTGTTTTGTGCATATGGGTGTTTTTTTGAGGATGCCCCCCAAATGGTGGATTTCCTTCAGGTTTCCTTTTAAGACCACCAGAAAAGGTACCATCAAAGAAGACGAGATGCACATGATCGCTCATATCGCTGGCACAGGAATAACCCCCCTGCCTGGGGAAGTTGTGCCATTTCGGCCCTACAAAACACCCCGGAACAGCTCGCCTGGCATTAGCTTCCATTTGATTAAGATCATATTTTCCATGTTTGTGGCGTCAGAGGGAATCTACCACTACTGGAAATATGTTTGTCTTTGTCCGGGGCGAAAAAAAAGTTTCAGAGGGACAGCTACGGCCCACAAATGGCCTCACTGGTGGGGAATGTTGCTCTCTGCCCGACATGTGTGAGAAGAAAGTCATGACCCACCCGGTCAAATGTGTTCGCACTTGCAAGGCGTCTAATTGATTGTGACAATCTGAGGGAATGATGAAGCAAATGATTGATTCTGGTCGAAGTAGCCCGACTTCACTTAAATCTTCATAGACAACCCAGCCCAAGAGAATCCATACGATGAATCTATTAGTCGTTTTCACTGAAGGCGATCATTTGACTTCGACCTGAAGGAACAAAGTGGAACGAACATCCCTGGCTACCAACAGTATAGTGGCCCACTATACCACTGCTAAACCCTAACCCAAGCCTAAGCCCGACTGCAAGCCAGCCTCAGTCCTTTGCCAATCTACCCTTAACCAACCCTAGCCCCACCACAAAACAAACACCTCAACTGGGGACCAATCCCCCCCAAGCCAAAAAACACAACAAACTTACGGGCTGTTAGTAGAGTCCTAACCTTAAATCCACCTGAACCCGCAATCTGCCCATCAAAACGGGAATTAACTCATAACTTTGCGGCAATAACCAATTTCTAAGGAAACTTAGAGGGTCCCGGCAGCCACATCAAATCAACCCACAGTAACCCAGCCTCACTACAACCAACCCTAAGCCAACTGGACTCACCCTCTCGAGGACGAGTGCCTTGCCGGCCCCGTGTCTTTGGCCAGTGCCGGCCTGAGGCGAGGCTTGGGATTCCTTCAGACGCTTCGATTCGGACGCCCAGAAAGAAAGTCCAACTGGGAAGTATTGCAACCCACCCACGATCTTGGAGTCTCCTTCTGACCCTTGAAAATGGGTCCACGACCCCTTGATTTTGGCTGATGACCAACCATTTTTTGAGGGTCACAAGGAGACTCTGGGATTATGGAATTGGTGAGTTCCAACTTGTTTCGATTCCATCCCACTTCGCATCTGGGATGAACCTATGGTGCCATCCGCCCATTTCCTGGGGTGTTGGTTTAGCGGTTGGGCTCCGTTTAGCCCAGAAGTTAACAACTTTGAGCAGGGGATGAGGAAACGGACAGCTCACTTATACAACGCCCAAAGGGTTGCTTGGTACCTGAGGATGAACGGGGCCAAGGGGTCATTTGATACATCCTAGTATACCCAGAACCCTTCAGGGACTGTTCGGGAGGGCTTGCTGTGTCATCAGAAGCCAGGTTCTCGATGACTGATACCTACGATTTCTGTACGAGGCCACAGTGAAAGCCAAAGTGGACTCTTAGCCCCACAACCGAAGGAGTATTGTGCTTTAAAACCACATTACTTGTAGGTCATGATGAGAAGGAACATGCGTGTCTGTGTGTGTGTGTGTGCAATTAGTTTTGCCCTTGAATGGCTGCATCGCAAGGGTAGCTCATACCAGAGTTGAGTCGACTTGCCCGGATCAACGATGCTTTTCACTACCAAACATTAAACTTCTGGGTAGTCGTTTGGGGATAGTGGAAGCCATTTCTAGAGGGGTAGATGCCAGAAGATGAAGGGTCAATTGGTCCCATTTGACATTGAGCTTGGGAAGGGATAGTCATCAACCTCTGACTCTTACTTGGATGTTCAACCTTCTTTATCAGGTTCTATCTGGTCATCAACCTTTGTCTTGGATGTTCAACCTACTTAGTAGATTCTAACCACGGTTATAAGTTATATGTCAAGCAAGGTTGTAACGCACCTACTTACCTGACGTGGGTACATTTAAGTAAGTGTCAAAGCAGGGCATCCTCAGAATTGCGACTTTCCTCTTCGTTGCCCTTTGAAACATGTAATGTTAACCCCGGATTAATAAACCGCTGGTTGATTTTGATTGGGGGGTGTCCAATTCCTTTTAGTAGTTGGATTTAGACCACTTTTGGAGGGGTTTTCACCCCCCTAAGATCCTGGGACGGGTTCTACTTAGATCCTGGGTCAACATGTACCCAAAGAGAAAACAACCAGAATATTTAATCCCCAAAGCAAAGGCTTGATATGCCAAGTGGTCATTCCCTTTTTGGGAGGAAGAAGACGTCAGCAGCGGGAGTTTGTGGTTCAAGAGGATCCTTTCCTTTTGGTTTCCCTTTGAACAAAGGTATCCCCAGGAAGCCACGGTTCAGGGGGCCCTTTCCTTTTGGTCTCTCTTTGACAAAAGACAAAACACAAACAAACAAGCTTTGGTTCAGGAACCCCCCCACAAAAGAATCAACCCTCCCCAAAAGAACAAATGAAACCCTGCGGAACTTGGAAAACATCGGTTCAGGGAACCTTCCCCCCCAAAAGAAACAACCCTCCCCCCAATCAAACAACAAATCACAAACGAAACCCTGCAGAAGCCATCCATCGAAGGGACGGGCTGGTGCTGGACGTGGTGCGCTGCGAGCCTCGGGCGCTCTTGACCGCCTCCGCGGACGGGGACCTGAAGATCTGGGACGTGGCTCGGCGGTCAGGAGTCAGCACTCGCGGGCTGGGTGTGGCTCGGGAGACTCTTTTTTACCCCTTTTGGGTGGGGGAAAAAAGGGAACCTGGAGTCTCCTTCTGACCCGAATCAAAAATGGGTCCATGACCCATTTCTTTATTTTGGGTAATGAACCCATTTTTACAGGATCATGGAGACTTTAGGAAACAACAGGAAAGCCACTCTGACTTAATGAGAGGGAAGTAGATGGCACTATTTCTTTTGGGCAATGGCGGCTACAAAACCCAAACGATGGAATTCTGCTTTCACCCAACTGTCCCGAAATCGTTTGAGAGACTGCAATATATCAAGGGTATTAAAGGGAGTTCACCAACCATAAATGTGTGTTTCTATAATTCATTGTTAAGTTGATTTTTTGAGACTCCAGGTAGATCTTCTTTTGTTGACTCATCTAGCAAGGAAATCCATAAGGAAACCTATGGTCACTCCCCCAAAAACAATGGCACACACAGGACACATGCTTCTGACCCTGCAATATATATATATATATATTATAAAAAAACAAAAACAACTTGGGTTCCCCAAAAAAAAGCGGTGGGTTCATGTCTGGTTGAGCAGGTGCTCGCGAAAAAGCCGAGGACCGGGGCACGGTCCTTGCCACGCTGCCGCAAGGCAACGGCCGGCTTTCAGCTAGCCTTGCCCCACCCGAGAAAAATTGCAGCTGCCTGGACCCTCAAACCCAGAAAAATGTCGGAGAGTTCACCAATTTCACAAATTTGGGGTAAAAAACCAATTTCTATGGGAGGTTTACCATAAATTCTGGGTAGGTAAGCCATTGTCCAGTTGGAGTTTCGAGGATGCAGCTACGATTTAGGGATTTGGCCATGAATTTTCAGGGGGAAGCCACCTAAAGAGTGATTGGTGGACACAAATCCCCTAAATGATATCAACCAAAGGGCCTCTAATTGAATTCATGCCCATTTGAGATTTGTATGTGACAAGTTCCCTTTTAACTTTCAATCATACCCCCCCAAAACTTAAATGAAGATGATGTCCTTTTGTGGAAAGCTGCTGTGGATGGTCTGCGAAATCTGCGAGTCTCGCACAACGACAAGAACAAACATGATTGAATCCATTGTTTTTGGGTATTCAAACAAGGGAATCGTATCATTCCGCGGCTTCTTAGGTGATACAAATTTATTCATCTACAGCAGGGAGCCTTCTCCAAGCTTTGGCGAGACTCCCTGATAAGGGATTTCCAGGTTACCCCAGGGCTACCCTTGGCAAGCCTCTTGAAGCCCCAAGCAACGGGGAGAATCATGAGGCCGGCAATTCAGTTTGGATGGGAGTCACATGCAGAATCCGGCCCCCCCCCCTTGCCCAAATGTTCGCGGCAATTTGTTTGCCGCCCGCACCCAAGAATCATTGAGCACCCAGGATTGATAAACCCCTAGGGAAGCTTGACCCATTCAAGAGAAAGTTTGTATCACGTTTAGGGTAAATATGTAATCCAAATCTGCAAGGCTCATGAATGCAGTCAACATTGCTTCATTGTCTTTTTGGCTCCAATCGGTTGCATTTTGCGCTTACATTATCTTCCCAGTGGATCCATTACCTGGTTTTGTAGCTATCCAAGGGAACTACCCTTTGAAAACCAGAAGGAGACTAGCTACTATAAAACTATATAGGTAACTGGGATCCACTGGGTTTACTAGGGTTCACCAACTCTCAAAACATGCGCAACCCTTTCCACGAGACGGCCAAAGAAAGTCCAGCTCGTGATTTTACACCTTCCCACGCGAGCGACCTGATTGCGTAGGGTCAAGAGGCATGACCTGCGGTCCTTGCAGGACAGATCAGGGCTCCTCCCAACCAACCCCTCTCACCAATCAGGTCTCATTCGCCGTTCTTAAATGATGGTTGCCCTGGTTACCTATAGTGCTGAACTCTAGCTTTGAAAAGACCTTTTGCACCTGGACCCTCAAAAGCAAGAAACAACTTGTTCTTGCAACCCGCAAGTATGGAACTTGTGAATCCCCTATACCCTACTCGCTATGTGTTGATTCCAACCATTCCCTCCATCATCATTTTTTTTTAGAAACCACCCATGTTCAGGAACTTGCCCCCCAGGGGCAGCTCCAAAGGAAGCAACCTGAATGATTCCATTCGCCCGGAGGCGAATGGGTGAACTCTGTGGACTTCCACGCAGCGCGGCAGAAGCGGGCCGTTTCTGGTGTTGGCGCCAAAGGAACCCCGCCTGGTGGTATTTAAAAGGACCACGAGGGGCCTTGGGGCAACGGAAGAGGGCCAGGAGGTACCTAGAGTCTCCTTGACCCCTAGATGAAGGGGTCATAGCCCCTTAATTTTGGCAGGGCTCCTTAAAAGATACATTTTGCAACCATGTGAACATGCTTTTTCCACCAAAATAAAGTTTGGAAACCACCATGTTCAGGTGTATACTGCATCCGGATCCCTGCTTGGCAAATGACCAACCATGTTTAGGGGTCAGAAGTAGCCGGGCCGAGCGACAAGTCCAGGCCGAGACGCTGATGCTGGCAGCGGGGCTCTTTGACTGCACGGTGCGCCTCTCCAGCTTGGAGGACTTTCAGCCGGGGGCTTCGCTCGGGCGCCGGAGCGGGGTTTGCGAGATTCCCCGTTTCTCCAGCTGAACTTTCTGGTGCGAAAGGCTTTTGCAGATGTGATTTCTTCCCCCCAGCCAATTGGTCAGTCCCACTTACGCTCTTTAACTGGATGGTGCGAGAGATGGGAATGAGAAATGGAATGACCCTTAACCATCCAACTGGTGGCTTCCTATAGAATCCCAGGTTCGTTGCCTCATTCCCGAGCACAAGCAAGTTAACTTCCATTTGGTGAAGAATAAATGTGTGGTTGTATGGTTCCCATTTTGTTTAAAAGGGAATCTATCACTGGAAATATGTGTATATATTTTCTCCAGGAAACTTATGCAAATGGAGGTTGATAACATGGCTAGAGTATGCCTAGAGTCTGCAAGATCCTGAAAGAATAGGGTGAGTCACTACACAAAAGAAAGGAGTCATGAACCCGTGTTTGAAGGGTCATGGAGACTCCAGCATATATACCGCTTGAACCTATGAATCCCTATGTCTTTAGGGACCCTACAAACCACCCGGGATCAAACGCACATCTGACTCTTTGGCAAGCTTTCCGGCAGCTTGGTTTGCCCTGATGAGGGGGCGGGGGGTCCTCGCCTTGGTGTTCGGACGTGAAAAGATGAACATTGCTTGCCCCGAATTTCCCCGTTTCTTTTTCACCCTCAACGATTTTACGTCTTTTTGGTGGATTTGCGCTAGGCGGCCAGTGAAGTTTTTCAGGGACCAATGACTCCCTCCCTTCCTTCTGTCACAACATGGCCTTCTTTGAGCCGGGCTTTCTTGAGGGGTCGTCGGGTCCTGGGCTTTGGTTGTCACATGGTGTCCCATGGTTTCTCGGTCAGGAGCGCCAGAACGAGGGCGAGCAGGGAGGCCGCGTGCTGCGGGGGCACGAGGCAGGTCCCGAGAGACATGGTTCGGTTCTCGGTAATTGGCGGTTTGGAGGTTGGCAGGTGGCTTCACATCTGCTCTTTTACAAGAAATTGTGCAGGGCCTCAGTATGGCCAAAAGAATGGGGCACTGCACCCATCCTAAACGTTGCTCAATGGGTTATTGCACCCCTAACATTATTATGGTTGGTGAATTCCTCTTGTTTATGGCTAGTTTGAGGGTCCAGGAAGATGGTTACTGACATAGCCTTTATGACCCCGACAAAACACCAGGTAGGAACCGAACCCTTCAAAAAGATGTTTCCATCGACATGACCTAGAGTCTCCTTGACCCTTAAAGAATGGGGTTGCCCAAAAGAAGGGATCGCGGACCAATTGTTGAAATTTTGGTCTGATTCGGAGACTCCAGGTGTTGGTATTATGCAGCCCTTGAGGGGTGGACTGGATTTCTTCTATCTTTTTCCAGGCTGAGTTTCTTCTTGGATTATCTTGCCCAGAGTCTCCTTCTGACCTAGAAAAAGGGGTCATACCCCCTTAATTTGTTGGGTGGCCAACCATGTTTGATTTGGGTTAGAGTCGGAGACTTTAGGAACTACCAAGACGAATATCCGCACCCATTTATGGCAAGGGGATTGTCCCTTACTATCCAAGTGCCCGGGTTTTGAGGACGTGACTCCAGTTAAGTTGGTCACCTTTCGGTTTTGGTCAACCCCAATGTGAGTAAGTAAAGGGGATGACTAAGCCAGTTTTTTGGGAGGTCAGATATCACCATCTGGCAGTGGCTCAAAATTAAAGAGCCAGGGTTACGCAGCTTTTGGTCCATGTTTCCAATTACCAGGGCAAGCCATTTTTGGAATTCCATTTTTTTGAATTCGCCACACCCATCTTTTTTGTTTGGGATGACTAGACTCTCGGCTGAGTCCTCAGCTTTTGGGCCGCCGAAGCCTCCGACTTGCAGGGCCCGGTGCTCTCCGTGGCCTTCTCAGAGGCCGAGATAGAAAGAGATGGCGTCGTCGATGCTTCGGCGAAAAAAATGCCTCCCGAAAAGAGTGGTCTCCACTCAAAAGCAAGGCCAAAAAGAAAAATGGGAGAAAAAAACAAAACAAAAAAGACAGGAGCAGATAATTTGTCTCACTTCCTGAGTTTCTGGATTTACTTTTTGGGTCTGGACCATCTTAGTGGTAAATAGATAGAGGTTTGGACTTGTTTGGGGGCCAATACACACAGGAGTGAGCGTAGGGGATTCTGCAATATCTTCCCATATCGTAATTCACAGCACATGGGTGTTACCCTAGCTCCCCCGTGTTCCAGCACTTGGAGCAAGTTACCCTCAAAATAGGCAAGTTCCTTTTCCTTCAGAGGCAATCTCCAAATCAGCCCGAAGTTAGCAATTTCTCACTGGTAGTAGAAGTTCAGGATGCTATCCGTTTGCTTAGTGCAGGCTGAACACCCAAGCGTTGTGGCGTGGAGGGTCCGTTGTGTCGATCCCAGACAGATCCCCCTTGCAGATTCGTATGGTTGTTTTACTCAGAGTGAAGGCTGAATAGCGTTTCCCTGTTTCAGACGACCGTTTTGTTTGGGGTAAATAGGGGCGAAAGTTTTAAATACTGTCTGATTATCCTTAAACAGAACTGGTAGATCACAGATAGTGCTTTGGGGTGCCTTTGGTTGTTTTCAAAGGGAAACCATCAGGCAACCTGCAAATTTGGGGATCCCCTAGGGTGGATGCCCTGCTATATTGCAAGTACACCACACTAATCCATGTTAACTTGCAGCAAATTTCGGGCTGCAGGGGGCGTCCCTTGTTCCTCTGCAAGCATTGGGGCATCCACTTAAGGCCTTCGTTTAGTCAAGGTTCAAAACGGTTAATTAGCCATTTGTTTCTAGGCCCAAGGGGGCAGGACATCATTTGGGTAGCGATTTATGTCCACCAAGCACTCTCTCTCTCTTTGTCTCTGCCTCCCTCTCTCTGTCTCTGCCTCTGTCTCTCGCTCTTTCTATTATCTCTTGAGGTTGTTTCAACTATTAGAATTCACCTCCAATTGGGGTCATCCGTAATGTGGACGGACGAAATCCTGCGCGGCATTGACACCATGAACATTGACACCATGAACAAACTTTGTTGGCATATACAGGTGAGTCATATGATTCGAGGGTTTCTTAGCTGGTGCAAGATTTCATCCATCCGTATGCTGACATGCGTTCTTTTTAGGGGGATTGTTAATAAATTGTACTTTCCCATTTGGTTTCCCTTTACAACCACCGGTGATTGCACCCCCAAAATTATGGAATTGGTGAATTCCACTATTTTCGTAGTAGTTTTTGCGTCTCCAGGGTTTCCCTTGCTGGTTTCCGCGGTACTCAAAATCCCACCGGCGGGCGCCCAGCCCACCAACTCCACGACAGGACGGGCGCCTAGTCGCCTCGGCCGCCTTCGACCACAGCTGCCGCCTCTGGCGGGTCTCCAACGGCCTGTGCCTCCGGAAGTTCGAGCACTCCGAGGCGCCATGGGAGATTGATTTGTTTTTCTTCTCCGGCGGCTGCGGCATCAAATGCGGGCAGGAAAAATGAAAAGCTCAGCCTTTCCATTGGCTGAAAATGAATAGTTATTCCCGGAGTCTCCTTCTGACCCTGAAAACATGGGTCCATGACTCCTTGATTTTGGGTAAGGACCAACCATTCGTTAAGGGTCATGGAGACTCTAGGTTGTTGTTTTTCTTTTTTGCTGGTTGGTTTTAAAGGGAAGCGATTTCGTTACTGGACATAGTTGTCCATTTGTTCCAGGGGGCTTAAGCTGTCACTGTAAATGACGTGTCTTGGCCTTTTGGTTTTGCAAAGCCAAGAGGCGACAAGTGAAGCTTTTGCAAGGGGTCGGATCTGTTTGTCCAAGAACAAACATGTAAACTGGTGTACAAAAAGGTTTAAACCCAAACCTTATCTTAGCCTTCCATGCTTCGTCTTATCCTTGGGCCATGCGTTGCTGCGAAACAACTGATCACGTTTCCCTCAGTTCAATCCCTCGCAGGAATTGAGGCCCTGCCTGACCCGAGGGTGTGGCCTTTGGGCGAAGCATTTGGCAATGGCTCACTCCCTCCGTTTTGAACTTCTTTCCTCAGTTGTTCAGTAGCACCCTTTTTCCTTTTTTTGGTGGCTGCAACACTAAGAATGGTCTTCCTCAAAAAGGGTTCCCCTTTTTTTCCAGGGTCACTGAACAACCGAGTTTCGGGTCCATACTTTTTTGGGCCAATGCATGGTCGCGCGAGGGCCTGAACTCCGCGGCAGTGAGGAGGGCCGTTGGGACGGGCCGAGCATCTGAAAATGTCTGAGGTGACAAATGGTCTTTTTAATGGAAAGGGCAAGGTTTTTGGGGGCAACTCCCGGGCAAATCGAGAAATGTGTCGACCCCAGATGGAAAAATCAATTGCTTATTAGGGGGGTTTTCCCTCTAGTGATGATCCCCAAACCCCAGTAAACTGGGGTTCACAGAGGCGAGGGCAAACCGCTTGTGGATCCTGGAAAAGTCACCGGGTCTTGCCATGGATCCGCCAAGGCATTATCAAATGAGGAAATGCTGGAACAGCCTTCCAGAAAGCGTTCGCGGTCCGAGTTTGCTGGGGTTCGCAGCTTTCAAAGAGGTTTGGAGAAGTCCGGAGGGTTCCAGGTGGTTGCGGACATCACCTGCCTGTCTCCATGTTTCTTAAAAATGGGTCCATGACCCCTTTCTTTTGGGTAATGACTAACCATACTTTACGGGTCAGGAGGAGACTCCAGCAGGCACCAATCTTCTTTGTTTGGGGTTTTCACCATGATTCATAGTTCTTCATAGGCGTCCTTTTTAGCTTAGTTTGAAAAGACATATATGGCACTGCATTCCATTTACCAGGGACACCCAGCTATTTTATCCCAAGGACACCTATGGTTTCTTCTCCATTCGATTGCTTCTGGGTGGCCTCACTGCGCCCGAGTGTTTTGGTGGTCGGGGGCCGATCCGATGATCAGCAGGACAGTGGCCGGCGATGGCCTGGGCGTGGAGGTCTTGACGTCCTCTTTGGACCGCAACCCGGTCCAGCAGCGCAAGAACCATCTGGCGTTTTTTGAGGGCACCAAGAACGCAAAAAAAGCAACTTGAATATTGAGTTAAATCTATATAAATTGCTGAAATTAATATTTGTGGATGTTCCCCTGTTCTGGATGTATTGGTCACTTCCATTAGCTGAAATGATTACTTGTTTTCTTTCCCTGTTAGTTGTAACGGGAGTCTATCACTCAAGCAAATGGAGGGTTACTGGATGGGTGAATTCCATCGTTTTTCATGGGTAGTTCGAGGGTCCAGGTACAAATAACATGGAACACCAAAGCCAGTTCCAACGCGTCCCGTTTTAAGACACACCCATCTAGAATCAACCCTAGAATAACAAGGGTTAGTTGGCATCAGTTTCCATGGCGAGCGTCCAACCCAAGAAGGGCGTGCCGCAAAGGAGAGAGTCTAAAGATGACGGTCGTTGTTTTACCCTTTTTGGGGGGAGGTTTCCCCTACTAAAATAGACTACAGCAAAAAAAGGGTAACCATATTCTAATCTCTCTACTGGAGGACCTAGCTATTCTAGAAGTGATGTTTTTGTTTTTTGTTTTTCCGGTTCTGTGCCAATGTATGGGGGGGTAGATGAGCTAAGATGGCTGGTAACCCTTTCAAAGCTCAGGAGGGTTAAGTGGATGTTCACGGGGTCGACTGGGGGGTTGCTTGGACCATCTGAGTTTTTGGAGAGGTCCTTTGCCCAGCCATAGATTTATAGAGGTTAATCCAATTTACATTTTGTTGGTGACGAAAAGTGACATCTAGCACACTGATATTCATGTCATATCAGGGCCAATCCACAATCATGTTTTAGTTTCAGTTGATCAGTCGCTTGGTCACAAGGTTGGCCTTGTTGGGGTGTCGTCAAGGAAGACCAATTCAGACTCCCCACGGATTTGGGGCTTTCGGCAAGTTCGCAAGTGATTGGTAACCTAGATTAGATTGTACGAGCCTTTTGCGTTTGTCCCCCAAGTGGGGTTGAGCCTGTTGCAAGTATGTTACATGTTGGAAACCAGCTTAACGGGTTCCGACATCCAAGTTCCCTTTTGTGCAGAGGCTGTTTCTTGATTAGATTGGTGGGGTATGCCTTTGAGGTGGGTCGTCATCCTTGGAAATGGATAGTTCCCCCGTACAACGGCAGGTTTCTGTTTCACAATTGCCACCGGGCGCGTTGGGCTTTTCCTCCAAGTAGTCAGAGGACACCAAGTCCCAGACCTTTCCAAAGTGGAGCTGATTCCCCGTAGCATCGAAAAGTCCCGAGTTACCCTACCATCTAGGCGTGTCTTCATTTTGAGGGTGTCCCGTTTTTGGGGTGATTTTGAAGGGAAACCAAGAGGAAGCTGCTTTTTTGGAGGTCCCCCTATTTTGAGACGGTCACGGAAGGGCTTCATTCGTTCTCCAAACCAATCCATTCCTAGAGTCTCCATGGCCCTTAAATAATGGGCGTCATTACCCAAAAGAAAGAGGTCATAGGCCCATTTTTAACTGGTCATGGAGACTCCAGGTTTGTCTAAGGTGCATGGAAGCACGTGCTTCAGTTGGCACGCGTTGACGCAACACATATTTGTCAAGGTTTCAGCACGGCTCAAAGGCGAACTCCGAACGCTTCGTGAAAAGTGTGACACAAAAGAGATGCACCGCAACTGCCTGCAGATCGCCCCGTCTAGGGGTACCCTCCCCCATTCTTCCAGGGATCCTTCTTTCTAGAAAGCCCCCAGAAACCCAGGGAAAACGGCCAGTATTTGAAAAGAACGATGGTTGAACAGATTGGGGAATCATCAATACCAATTTGCAATGCAGGCAATTGTGTCACCGCTTGGGAGATAGACCCAAAGCGGCCGAAGAAAAAGCTGCGGGTTTCCCCGGTAATTGGATGACCGCCACACTTCGTCCGTAGTATCTCTGATGAGCGAGCTCCCTCAGCGGGGGAGTCCCACTGAACGGCCTCATGCACTGATGGTACTGTAGATGGATGAACTCCTGTATCACGTTGAAACCATGGAAATCCAGTATTTGTTGGTAGTTACAGGGGAATCATCATTCCAGGGTTTCTTATGTGGTGCAGGATTCGTCCATCCACAGTATAAAGCGCATGGTAAATTGTGCAGTCGTCCGAGTAAGGAACAGCCCGGGTTTGGGCCACGCGAAACGATGCGGACGCGGACGTGGCGATCTGCGACGCTGACGCGACGTTGGAGCACCCGGAAGAAGTGACTTCCGCAAAGTATGCGCCCAAGGCGCAGGCGGGTTGGCAGCTATGGTGGGTGCCTCCGCTTTGTTTCTTGGAGATAGGGCTGGGGTTTACTGGGGAATCAGACCACCTTTGGAGGGGAACACCCCCCTATTAATAAACTGGGGTTGATGAATATCGGGTCAATCTTAGGTCCGCCTTAGGTGGTTCCACTTGGTTTCATGGCGTCAGGGCCATGCACAACTTTTCACTTGGAAGAACCAAAAGTCGATGGGTGGCACAGCTGAAGGAAGAGGGAGGGTAGGCCCTGAAAAGATAATTCACAGGAATTCCTTCCCATTTTTGGAAGAGATCCCTGGAAGGACAAACACCATGTTCCAGGGTTGTGGGATCAAGGGGTTTATCCCCACTTCTGTGATACAAGTTGGAATCTCCCCCTTTATATGGGGTGTTAGTCTTTGGGGTTAGGCCCTTTTTGTAACGTATCACAGATTCGTGGATTCCATTTCAACCACAGCCCTGCCATGTTCAGAATGGTGTTCTTTTGCCTTCAGCTTAAGAGACTGGATCGCTTAAAGCTTCAGGAGGTTTCGCTTGATTCTTTGGGAGTGGTGGCCCTTGTTTGGCCGCCGTGTATTGAAGACGAAGCTCTGCCGACGCGTTCAACGGTTTAACGACCTTTCGGTGTGCTTTACCTTTTTTTGGAGTTGGTACCCCCACAAAGGGGTTTTGAAGTGAAACCAAAGGTGAACCACCCATGTTGGCTCCCCTCTGAGATGCATTGTTTTCTAGAAGAGTAACTTGCCAGACTCAACCTTTGATCCTGAGAAGATGTTTTCTTCGATCTTTATCTTTGCCAGAACTAGTTCCCCTCTTTATTGTTTTGCTTTTTTGGGGGTCCCCTTTGTTTTCGACCAACCAGGCAAAAACAACTCTAGTTTTTGGCCGGGGTCCTGATTCCAGCCAAGTTTCTTTGTTTGTTTTTGATGCCGGACCCACAAAAAACCCTTCCCCTCGGAACTGGTCGGCCCGGCCAAGAGCCTCGCCACGTGTTCCACGAAAAAGAAGCGGCGCCCTTCAGCCGGCACGTGGGTCTGTCAATTTTTTTGAGGGTACCCTTTGGTATTGAAGTGAAACCAACAGGAATCCCAGGAACACCATGGGGCCCAGCTCAAGAACGGACACACCCACATCCAGGATATTTCTTGCCCTTGGCCTTGGCCTGGGCAACATGAACCACATCTGTCGATTTTTTATGCCTTCCCCGTGCTCTTGAAGTCTTGGCCTGGGCAACATCAAGAGTATGCCGAATGCTGAATCGACTACTACTCTAAACGAGTTGTCCATGGTACCCTCAAAACAAAAGACAAAGACGTGTGTGTTCGCCTATGTGTGTTTCTTCCTTCATGCGTGTCTGCGCGTCTGTGTGTTTGTGTGTTTTCGTGTCTGTGTTTGTTTGAGGGTACCCTTTTTGGCTTGGTTTTAAGGGAAGCCAAAAGGAAGCACCTAACTACAGCTCGGGGGTTGTAAAAATGAGGGGCCCTTGTGGGCATCGCCTGGAGCAATGGTGCCACATATCCTTTCATGGAGAGTAACTCTTTCCTGTCCAGTGAAACCAAAAAGAATCGAACAGTTGTTGTCAGGCTTGTTCATTCACTTCTAGTTTCTTGCCAGGTTGACTCAGCGACCAGTCAGCCTCTTCTTGTGTTTGGGGCCGTCTGCATTGTGTCTGGTTTTTGATGGTACCCTTCTTGATTGGTGTTAAGGAAAGCCAAAAGGAAACCACCTATGTTGGGGGGGGGGGGGGTAAAATCAAAGCAAGAGCCACTCATATTTGCGACTTCTGGGATACATATACTGCCCGATTCCCCTTAGTGGCAGAGCACCGCCAAAGAACCGACCTGAACATGCCTTTGATACTCCCCTTTGCCTGGACCCTCCAAATTTCTTCAACAACAGTGTATTGCAAATTGCACACAGTTACCGGGTGATGTCCTTTGCGTGGGTAGATTGAAATCTTATTTGACAGGGGCCGAAGGAACATTTGGGTCTGTCTTTGAAATGGTGGTTTTCCTTGTGGTTTTCTTTTAAACCCACCAAAACGGGTGCAGTTCCCCACAAAAAGACAGACCCAGACATTTAGTTTCAACCAGACATGGTTGCCGCCTTTTGACTTCTTGAAGAATGGTTCTGGGTAGATCATTGTCATACCCCCAACAATGGCGGTTTTCATGTTGGTTGCCTTTTAAAACCCACAAAAAAGGGCCCTTATCGAAGGACCGCAGGTTTTAGTCCTTGGTTCCCTCTAACATCAGCATAACCCATTTTGGGTACTGGACCCTCAATCTACCCACAAAAGTTGGAATTCACCAATTCCATGTTTTTTGGGGGCAGGCAAAATCATTCTCAGTTTCAAGTCGAAATAGTGGTTATTGGGTCCAGGTACCTAGAGTCTCCTTCTGGCTTTTGAAGAAAGGTCGGTCATTCCCCCAGAGAAAGGGGTCATGGGCCCAAGTTTAAGCATGTTAAAAGAGCCAGATTCGCAAACAAAAACTCCATGTGATCTCCCCAACCACCTGGATTTTTCCGGAACCCTCCGGAACCCTCCGGAATTCCCTGGAACCCGCCAGAACCCGCCAGAACGTTCCTGAAAGCTGTTCGAAGCCTCCGCGGTTCATTCGACGTTTCGCGTTTGTTTGGTTTCTTTCTTTTTCTTTGTTTTTTTTCTTTGGGTGTTTTTGGGGGGTGTTTTTTTGGGGGGTGTTTTTTGGGGGTGTTGTTTTTGGTTTTTTTTTGGGGGGTGTTTTCTGTGTTTTTTCCTCCCCCCGTTTTTTTTTTTCGTCAGGCGGCGATGATCATCACCAGCTGCACGGATCACAAGGTGCGGCTCTGGGACGCCTCCGGCAAGCTCCTCCGCGTGCTGGGCCCGGAACCTCGGAGCCCCGGAACCGGCGGAGTGGGGCGACTCGTGGGGTGCGTCCGTTTTGGGGTGGCGGTTCAAAGGGAGGCGAAAAGAGTAAGCCACCCATTTTCCTGTTTTAGCACGAAATGGAACTTGCCGGGCTTGGCGGGCCTTTGGTGTGTTCTTCCTTAATGGCTTCTCGGAAAGATAGTGTTAGCGTCGGATCCGTGTGGGGAGTAATTTGTGCCCTAGAATTAGGGTCCTTCGTAAATTCATGCCTGTCATTAGTTTACCAGAAATGGGTGTGTCTTTTCCTTCTTGGGCATTTGGGATGGTTTTAAAGGGCAACCACAAGGACAACCACCATTTTGAGGGTCCCCTTAAAGACACCCAATCAACCAGCATCGAAAGGGAATCGGTACCTTGCGGGTCATGCGCTGACTGACGATCCCACACCAATTCCTGAAGGCCCTTGACAAAGCCACCTGTTTTTGACGACCCTCCCCCAATGTCAATACAACAGTTGGCTTGTCACTGGAAGTTCTGACTAAACGTTGGTTGGAAAGTACCCCCATTCTAATTATTTAGGCCTTATCAAGATCCCCAAGCCAGCCCCGTTCCAGAGGTTCTAGGGAAATTCCCACGGAATGGTTCGGGACTGGCTAGCTGAGGATATTAGCTTGGCTGCTGTTGGAGCTTTAGGCTTTAACGTTTTGAGAAATTATTAATCCTGCAACAATTGACACTTGTTGGGCAGGGGGTAGTAGACCTCAAGCCAACTATTCATTACTTTAGACCCCTACATGGGTGTGCCCTTTTTGAGGGTACCCCTTGTTTGGTGGTTTTAAAGGGCAACCAAAAGGACAACCACAGTTTTTGGGGAGGGCACCCATCATTTTCTTATTTTCCCTTCTTGGTTTTAAAGGGAATCGATTTCACTACTGGCAATATTGTTGTGTGTTTTTTTTCCAGGGGAGCTATTCGCAACTGGAGGTTGATGGGAAGTCACTACTGGACATATTTGTTTGGTTCCAGCGGGCCAAATCACTACCGGAAATATTATGTTTTGTTCGCTTCTTGCTGTGATTTTTTAAGTGGTGAAATCACTACTTGAGATATCGTTGTGTTTTCTTTTCCAGTGGGCCAAAAATCCTTTAAAACAAGAGCATATGTTGTTGTTTTGTTTTTTTTCAGTGGGCCAAATCCTTTATACATAGAGAAATATGTATATATATATATATATATATATATATATACAATTTAGGGGGTTTAGGGGGTTCCAAATCCTTTCAACCAAGAGCCACCGCCCACATTCAGCGCTTTCATCAGGCGGCTTCTCCGTGGCCGCCACCTGCGCGGTGTTTTCCCCCAGCGGCCGCTTGTGTTGCGCCAGCGGCGCCAACGGAGAGGCCCCGTGGGCGGCCTGGGTGAGGGATGGCACAGCTCCAGGCAATTTGGGGTGGACCTGGACCCCGAACCCATAACATATACATATACAGTTGAGGGCTTGACCAGCGTTGGACTCGGGACAAACAACAAGAAGGTTTTTGCGGTCGGATCTTGTTTTGATGGTTGTTGGGAAACATTGGAACCATTTTTGCTTGTTGAGGTTTAGTGGGGAATGCTCACTGAACTGCTAAAATTTGTTTTTTTTGCTCCCCTTCCAACGTCAACCAAGTAATACTCAGGGACTGGATACCTGGAGTCTCCTTCGAAACAATGGTTGGTCATTCCCCAAAATACAGGGCTCATGACCCCATTTTTTAAAGGGTACAATGTGGGAATTCGCCCCACAATTTGGACTCCTTGAAAAATTCCAGGTTTAGATGTACGCTCACCTTGGAGAACCCTGGGGTCTCCTATACAAAAAGACAAAGCCGCTATGCGAGGTTTCAGGGTAAACTAAATATGGAACAGAGTAAGAACATATCATGCTCTGTGTACCCCATGGTCCAAGTAAGAAATGGTGCCATCTACGCTCACCCTAAGCTGGCTCATGTATGGAAGATTCCTTTGCTTGGTCACGTGCGTTGGTACTGTGGATAGTTGCGGAATTCATTTTGGACCGCCTTTCAGAAACCCTGGAATGATATGATGCCCCTGTAAATACCAAGAAACAAGTTTCAACCATGGTTTCATTTCGTGGTGCAGGTGTTCAACCATCCACAGTATGCCCCCCCCAAAAAAAATGATGGTTTCCTTTGGGTGTCCCTTTTTAAGGAGACCAAAATGCAGCACCCTCAAAATCATTGCGAGGCCCAGGTGATGTTTTTTTCTTTTTTTTGTGAGGTGCATGGTGGTTTTTTCGGCCTCGTCGGGGGTGTCCAGGCTCGGCTCTGGGACGTGGAGGGCTCTGAGCTGCTGACGCTCCACGCCCACCGCGACGTTGCCACCTCGCTGGCCTTCTCCAGCGACGGCCAGCGCCTTCAGAGCAGATGAATTCGCGGGTCATTTTTGTTGGCGGAAACACCAGGGAAAACCCAAGGGAAAACCTAAGGGCGCCAAGAAAGGCTTAGGGAACCTCGTCCTTGGATTTTAACGGAAAACCAATCGGCAATCAAGATCACGAAACCGCATTGAAGGACCCGCAACAAAAAAGCACCTTTCGAACCACATGGATGTCAACCCACGTAAGTAGGTTATAACCGAGGCTGCAACTGGGGTATAGGTCTTGGCATAAAGCAGCCATGGCTAGAAGCTGTGCTGATATAGGTTGAACACCCAAGAAGGGGTAGCCTCCCTCCAATAATCTTGGAAGTGGTTTTCGGGGCCTTCCTCAAAGAGAAGGCAGTCTTCCAAAACCCTCCTGGAGACTTCCATTGTTGGAAGGAGGGCCTCTCACTTCCCATAAAAAATGGAATTCACCAAGTGCATGGGCAGGGAATAATTCCATATATATATATATATATTTGGGGGGCGGGGGAATTTTTGGTTAAATCCAGGTACCCAACATGTGTTGCCCTGGTTTTCATGTGACCCATGGAATTTGGTTTGGGTCCAGGCAGAGGCTCTTCGGTTTCCGTTAGGTGCGTGGTGACGACCAGCAGCGACGGCACGGCGCGGGTGTGGGACATCGAGAGCTGCAGAAGCGAGGCGCTGCTGGCAGGCGCTGGAGACGCGGAGAAGCGGAGAAGAGGGGGGGGGCGATTTTTATCTTCCATGTGCTTCCAAAAAGACCAGAAGGACCAAACATGTGGCGTCCCCAATAAACTTGCATTTTCTGAAATGAATATTATTCAGTTCTTGTTCCCCCTGGTGATTTTAAAGTTGGAATCGAGTTTACTACTGGAAATATGTTCTTGTGCATAGCGGACCGTTTACATAGACAGTGGCTGCGAGGTGCAAAACAAAACTGAACATAGTTTCTCATTTTTGCCAGGGGACTTAAGCAAATGGATGGGGTCGGGAAGGGAACGAGCTCGGATCACTATGATATAATTACGTGCTCTACTCGGGGATCCAACATTCAGGTTTTGGAAGTTTTGTAGCATGTGCCGATCCCAGTAGATGAGTTTGTCTCAAAATAGCGGATCCCCCCAAAGTGGCCGGTTCCCTTTTGCTTTGGCTTTCAAACCATACAAACGTGATACACACTGAGATGACCAACTATCTCTTACCCTCCCGCCAGCAAACATGGAAGTGCACAGGGCTTCTTCTCAAAAGAGAAATACTTTTTGTGCACTTCTATGTGGGTGGTAGCAGACTTTTGAATGATGGAATCACTATACTTTCCTTGGGGATCCATAGGTGTATTCCCAGAACCCCGAAAATTGATTCCCTACCTGAGAGCCAGCAACTGGATGAGCAGGAGATAATTAGTTGCGCTAGTTGGCTTTTAGCCATGGTTTAACCAACTTAAGGTGGTTGAACCTCCAAGCAGGGATGGGTCATCGATCCCTTTCTTATGTTGCCTTATGTGGTCTTCAGAAGCAGCAGCAAAAGCCGGAGGACATGTTTGGGGGCTGGCTTTTGAGATCATCTCTGATTTCAAGACCCTCCGGGCCCGTTTGGGACGGACCTTACTCTTCCATACCAAACTTGCTGGTCTCAGTAGGGAATCAAGTTCAGGTTTTTGGGACTGAACCAATGATTTAGTGGATGGTCTCGGAAACTAACAGGCTGTCTCCAAGAAATTTTATATCGACTGAACATGACTCACAATCTAATCATCTTTTTTTTTGCATGGGCCAAGGGGACGGTAATCACTGGACCCAAAGGCTCCGACAAGAAAAGAGCGGCTGAGAACCGCCTTTTAGCTCGGGGCCAAAACTATGGTGGTTCTGGGCCCAATTTGGTTAACAGGGCGCCTTTTAAGGGGGGATCTTGTTCTCCAAATCGTGGCCCCCCCCCCTAATGGCGGGGGTTTCGTTGGGCTCGTGCTTCTTCAGGCCACCGAGACGCAGTCATGGCCGCTTGCTTCCTCAGCAGAAGTGACCTCGAGCTGCGGCCGACAAAAGTGGCTAGGGATGCGTGTTTGTAGAGCATGGCACCCTTGATCTTCCAGGACCGTGAGGGAGAAGGCCTTTGGCGGATTTTCCTTTTTCAACCAGGGCCAAAATCAAGAAGGACCTTGTTTTTGCGGGCCCCTGGAAGACCAAGGAATGTACTCCCCATGACCGTAAATACCTTGAAGGACCCCGTGTGTTGTACCCTTTCCTTTAAGTAGCCTCGCTTGCAAACAGAACAGCAACCGCAAACATGGCACGTATGCGCAAAAAGGCAAACAAAAGAGCATGAGGATGACGTTTGCGACAGGTTCGCGAGAGAGGGAAAACAGAAAGAGAGAGAGAAAGAGACAGCGAGAGAGAGAGAGAGAGAGAGAGCTGCTTGTCGTGAATCTACTTTCTGTTTCCTAAGCAGCGCACTTTGCTGCTGCTGTTGGCTTATCGGGCAAGTAGAACTCGGGATTTCCTTTTTACCACCGCTCTGCGCGCATGTTGGGATGTCGACTTGCGCCCATTCTCGCTCCTTGCTGTCACGTGTCGTTGCAGAGATGCTGATCGATGCGAGTCTGGTGGGACACGTTCTGTGTGTGCAGCAGGGCCTTGAAGCTCCAGATCGTTCGTCGTTCCAGCCTTGCCGCAAGGACTCGACGAAATGACTTGACATTGGTTCAGCCAGACGTCTTTGATTTGCTTGCAGGCACCCACGGCCCAGTGCTAGCCTCCGAAGCAAGCTCCTGCCACGTGCCTGCCGCGAGGTAATGCCTTGAACCGGCTAAATCGTAGGCTGGGCGGAAGCTGGTGAGCCCAATAGCCAGCTGCTTCAAACGTCAGGGAGGGTACGGCTGCAAAATATGGGCGTCCAAAAGGGCCTGACCAAAATTCCTGACCAAGTCGAAAAGGGGTTCGCATGCGCTTTAAGTGACTTTCGCGATTCCCTGCCTGAATTTTTGCGTAGTGCGCAAATACTCCTTATGTTCAGCAGCCCTGCACAAAAGTAAGCTTGGCAGGGTACACGCAAATGCTCAGAGCGCTTCCCATTCTGAGGTTTGCTCTCGTGCTTCCCATTCTGAGGTTTGCTCTCGTGCCTCAGGCACACCTCTCCGCAACGAGTCAGGGAGCCCGGGCCCTTCCCGGAGCTGATGGGGCAAGCGTCGTATGTAGCATTGCGTCCTTTGCGCGTGTGGCGTAAGGCACGCGGTGCGTTCTGGCTGCGGAGGTTCCAATTGGCAATGTCTGCTGGCATGAGAACAACGACAATCGCATCTTCAATAGTGACTGATTGAGGGCTATAGGTCAAGGGGGCCAAAATTTTGAATTGCAGTTTGAACAGCCACACATCCTACTCTCCTTCCCCGCACGAAATCCCAGCTTGTGAGTAGTCCATCGTTCATGGGATCACCTCTTTTTTTGGGGTGGAGCAGCATTCCCGGCGCTTGCTATGGCAACTATTTCGGGGGGAATTCCCGGGGTTACATGGAACGCCACTGGCATTTCCGCAACACTTCGGCTCAAGCCGACATTTGAGCAGATAGCAGCCTCGACAAATTTGAATTACGACCTTGGCCACCATAAAGCCAACTTTGTTTGGTTGTATTTGTGGTATTCGCGCAAATTGGATGAAGGATCCTTCCACGCCAATCAAACACACATGTTTGGGTGTTCGAGTATCACCTAGCAGGGCACCCCCACCCGGTCTGGTAAATCATTGCGTTGCTGTTTCAGGTTCCAAAATCGTGGGCGGTAGCCGTCAAATGTCATTTTCGGTTGTTGTCAAAAGCTGAGATAGTGAACCACACGTGTTGCTTGGATGCCTTCTTGCACGCAATGGACTTGGCACAGATTGTGACGGATGACTCAGGCGTCTTCGTTGCAAGGGGTTCCCATGGTTTCCCTTCTGGGCGGTGCAATTCACAACCATAGGTGTCCTTTTTAGGTCAGTTTGGCTAGAGATCGATGGCACTTGTTTAGATTGGCTTTGTTCCATGTACATCGGTTTTTTCCAAAAGGTCATCTATGACCAAGACGTTTTGGGACTTAAGTAACGAAAAGTGTGCTTCCTTCCTGGGGCGACGCGAACGCGTTGATTCCAAGATTGGTCCAAAGCCACGACTTGTATTCGTGACTCATAGCCATTTGACTGGATCCATTGCTATGACTCTGAATCCGTTCAGGGAGGCTCCGGGTTATTTGAGTATGCTTTGTTGGTTGCACGCTTCCGGGGCAATCTTTTGCGACCTCATAAAGCTGCGACTTCATGATTCCTCATCAGACAATGTATGGAAGGGGGGAGTTACCACCTCATCAAGCGGTCCCTTGACCATGTTCCATTTGTGCAAAACTCACACAGTGGGCCATTTGAATGTTGGCGGATGCCGACCACTGTGGATAGTAGCCAGCCAAACAAACGGAAGATTCGCTCTCAAAAGAGCTGAGGCTCCAGGAAGTCGAAAACCAGTCTTCGGATCGCAGTTTCCTGTGAGTCGAGGCGAGCAACGCGATGGAAAGGACGGCAGGTGAGAGCTGGTGGTCTTTGTGGATCAGGGCTTGAAAATGGGAAACCTCACTTTTTTCGGGGAGGAAAAGTGGGTGGTACTCATGACAGCAAGGGGCCCAGGATGGGCCAGGTTTGCAGCTTGAAGCTGGAGAGGCTCTGTCAGAACTGGAGGTCTACTCCCAAACCATCAGGCCGAGGGAAATGTGGCATGTAAACTACTAGACACTTTATTAGGCACCTGGACCCCAAAGACATTCCAACTTTCAAATGGGGTATTGCAACGCAAACTTATGGTTGGTGAATTCCAACTTGCTACCATGGCTAGTTCGAGGGTCCAGGTACCTTGCTGGTAGTGCTTCGGGGGCATTGACTCATTGCCCCCTGTGAGATTGCCTAAAGGGCGGGCGTTGAAACTTGATAAATCGAACAGGTAGGTGAAGTTAAAGGGCATTCATCTAGGGATTGGTCTGCCTGGAGTCTCCATGACCCTTTAAAGATGGGTCCATGACCCCTTTAATTTGGGCAATGACCCCATGTTTTGAGGGTCAGAAGGAGACTCCAGGTAACGGGAAACTGCTTTGACATCTTTGAGTCATTGATGCCAGGTTTGATCAGCTTCATTATGACTGATTGTGTGTGTGTGGACGTGGCTGCTACTAGCTTCATGGTCTCGGGTGAGTCAAACTTTGCCTTTTTGTGTCCCAGTGTTGACCTGTTTTTTGTGCGAGGTCGCTTGGCTGTTCACCTCTTGGGTTTGGGCAAATGAGTTGTGGGTCTTTAGGTGACAAATGAAATGTCATTGGAATGTCCTGACATAAATCCAAGTGGGTTTGTTGACACGTTAAAGTCAGAGTCTGGAGTTGCTTCCCCCCGACCATGCGGGTGTCTAATGGCGGGGCCAATGAAATAATAACCCGCAACTTACTCTAAGAATAGGATATTGTCCCCAACATGATGGGGTGAATTCACGTTCTTTTTTTATGGGGTAGTTTGAGGGTCCAGGTATCTTTCATGGATTTGTTGTTGAGTTGCGGCGCCTTGCAATGGCGCTGTGCGATTTCGCCGGCCAGGCCATCCCCGGAGGCGCGCGGGGCGAGATCTTTGCACTACGTGTTCAAAGTCCTTCCACTTTGGGGTACCTGGAGTCTCCATGACCCGGAAAAAAATGGTTGGTCATTGCCCAAAATCAAAGAGTCATGCATCCATTTTTGATTTTGGTCAGAAGGAACCTCCAGGTAGATCTCTGGAGCGGTGTGGTTGGCACTTGTCCCTGATTGCTTTGTCGCCAGCGATTTTGAGCGTCTCCATAGAATTCTCCACGCTGGGTACCCTGCGGCTTGAGGCGAACGAAGAACAGGATCTCTGTAACTTGCTTGGGCACGTCAGTTGCTCACTTGGAAGCTACAGCAAGTTGTGCGTCTTTCCATGAGAATCTCGGATCAATCATTTCACTCTTGGATCTTAGGGTTGGTTTGCCAATCACCTACACTACTGCGGTTATGCCGTTAGGCAAAGACCTTCCACACTGCACAACACTCCACCAAACCCGACACCCGGCAGCACCCAGCCGAGTGAGCACAGAGCCTGCAGATGGCTAGCAGTCAGCCCCCTGTGACTTCGGGTTTCGGGTGATCTTTCCGGATCCGCCACGGCCTCGTCATGATCGGCATCGTTGGGGACTCCAACACCGGCAGCCCGGTGCGGTGGCACGTGCGGTTATTTTGGTCCATTTGGTGGGCGTCCCTGTGAAACAACCCAAAGAGTCCACCGCCTTTTTCTTGCGGCACGCAAGCGACGCAAGTGGGCTTTCAGAGGCCTTCCGACCCTTAAAAAAAAGGGTCGGTCGCCCGAAAGAAAGGTGGGTGGCATGAACCCATTCAAGGTCAGAAGGAGACTCCAGGCAGGAAGCCTTGGTGGTGGCAGGCTTCGCAGTGGTTTCCAACGTGCACCGGATCTTCAACCTGGACCCTCAAACTACCCAGAACAAAGGGATTTCACTCACAATTTTGGGGCAATCATCCATTTTTAAGGGAATGTTGAGGGTCCAGGTAGTCGGTTGTGACCATGGTTGTATTTGTCAACTTGCGCTTGTCGCACTAAGAAACCACGGTTGTCATATTGTTTTTCACCATGGCTAGAACACACTGAGCCGGTTTTGCACCACATCCAAGAGGGGTGGTGTTTGTTTTCTTCCATTGGACTTTAAGCTTGTTGGAAATGGTGGCAAATGCACAGTTTGGACTGCCTTTGGCCAATCCACTCAGGAAGTGAGCTGTGGCGTTGTTGTTGTTCTTGCTGGGAGCAGCTTCAACCAAGGCAAGTCCACGCTGCTCAACGCGCTCCTTGGGCATCGACTTCTGCCAACCAGCTGCTCATCGCAAGAGGGCGGTGAGTTCAACCGCCCATGGCTTGGCTTAGCTTTTAAACTACTGGCCTTCAAAGTAGCCGCGTCCGGCCGTGCTTCGCCTTACTCCCCAACCTGAAAAAGGGGTAGCCTGAAGAAAAGAAGACCCCACGTGATGGTGTCCCTCGGTTACTCTCTCCCTGCAATGTTTCCCGATCCTGTATTTCGTCATCCTTGTTTCCCAAGAACTCATCCAAACCTTGCAACGATGAAAAGAGGATGAGGACTCAGAAAGAAAGATCTGCGTGAGTCTCTTAGCCACAGCCTGTGTCCGTCTACTACAAAAATATTTGGAAAGAAGAAGAAAGACTTCCCAAAGGAACAGATACAACTAGAAAGTAGAAAGAGAAGACCCATCCCTTAGGTCACCGGACGAATCCTTCATTTGAATGAGGTTATCCCGCTCATTCCGCACCTACTCGTATCTATTTCCTATGAATGTGATGTCGTCTGGGAGCACTGAAGATACTTTATGCTTCATGTTTTTCCATTATCACATCACTCATCCTTCCTTTGAGACTATCTGGGCCGTTGGCCATTGCCTGAAACAGGAAGGATGCCCAGAAAGAATGCGGGGATTGAGTTCCCTAAAAAAACACATAGGGGTTAACATACCCCGTTTTTCAGACTCCAATTTCCGCCATGGTTGTTGTTTAAACGGCTTGTAGCTCACAGAGGGTTTTGGTTTGGGCAACCTTTCCCACGCTGAAGGTTCATTCAAGAGGGAACAGTTGTTTTCTTTCTTTCTTTTCTGTGCATGGTGAATTGTTGTAACTTACCTAGACTCATTGACGAATTGATTGCCCCTCCAAAGGACACCACCATGACGGTCCAACGATAAGCTTTGTTCAGAGCGGGTCGCGCTATGTACATGTCAGAAACAACCAGAGGGGGTTGACAAAGGAAACAATAAATGGGTGTTAATGGTCCCTAGGCCCTAGGCTGGTGGAAAGATAGATCCTGCTATTTTCTACTTCAGGCCTGGATTCTCGATTCTGCCAAGGACTTGTTGATTCCCCCAAGGTAGACGTGAGCAAACAAACAGAGCCGTGGACAATACCGAGGCTACAAGTCCTGCACTTCCGCCGTGACCAGCGTGCGTTTGGTGGCCGACGGCGAGCCCACCTTGTCCTTTCGTTGGAAGGGGAAGGGTGAACACGTGAGGCGGGCACAGCGGAGCCAAAAAGGTTTGATTGCGAGGCAATTCCCTTGGAACTCGCCTGGAAAGTGTGTTCCTGGACCCTCAAACTCCCCATAAAAGAGGGAGTTCACCCTGTCATTTTGGGTTGCAATAGCCCATGATTTAAGTTGGAGTTTGGTTTGGGTCCAAGTTCAGCCTCAAACACACACAACGCCCTGGACCCTCAGAATTCCCTTAAAGATGGGGTTGTTGCTCCCCAACATTCTGGTGATCTTTCTTTTGTATGGCTTGAGGCTCCAGGGCCCAATTGGCGCTTCACCCTGAGGGGCCGCAAGGAGGTTCTGAGCCGCATCAAGGCACTCAACGAGGAGATCAGGGAGAGCGCCGAGCACCGCCGAAATCTTCAGCGCGGAGCTTTGTTTTGCTTGACCCCGACCTCCGGTGGTTCCCGTTACTTTTTTGAGGGGGGAGGAGGAGGCGGAGGAGGGGGAGGAGGAGTGGGAGGGGGTGGGTGGTTTGGGGGGTGGGGGGGGGGCTGGACACCTTTAACACAAACTAGCTGGAGTCTCCTTCTGCCCCTTTAATAAGACTGTGTCCGTGACCCTTTTCTCAGAACCTCCAAATGTGGCAGTTTCAATGGGAACAACAAGTACATTGATCAACTTTTCGGGGCAATCCAGTGAGCCGAGCCCGGTAATGACCACCATTTTTCAAGGGTCAGAACTCCAAGTGCCCTGTTTGTCCAAAATAATCCACTGGGATTTTGGGTTGATCCATCGCGACATCAAACGCTGCGGCAATTTAGTCCGAATTCCCGAGTTAACCAGGCAGCCAGGCATATTTGGGTACCTAGACCCTCAAACTTTCCATTAAAAAGTTAATTCACCGCACAATTTTGGTAACAACTCATTTCAAAGTCAGATTGTGAGGGTCCAGGTATGTGTCTGGGCCGCGCAAAAACATTGGTGGTGTCCTGCTGGTTTTCCTTTGAAACCACACCAAAACCAGTACCCTCAAAAAGAAACAGGGTAGTTTGAGGGTCCAGGTAATTCATTTAGTCTATTGTCAACTTGGCAGGGACTTTAGAGTCTACCCAAAACAAAGGGACCTACTATTAAAGGGTCAGAAGGAGACTTCAGGTACGTATTCACCACAGACCACACTTGGTTGATAGGAAGGGAAGGGCAATGACCCCAAGCTGAGTCAAGCTGATTTCCTTCAAATCCCCGGTTCCGAAAGCTCCGAAAATAGGTTCCCGAACCAGCAAGTTTTAGACGACCACACCCCCAAAGTAGGCCCGTTCCATTGAGGGGTCCTTACGTGGCCTTCTTTTGGGGGCCCCACTCTACTCTCTCCTCAGTTCCTGGACTTTGCAATTTTCGGAAAGACGATTTCGGTGGTAAACCCAACAAAAATAACGTTTTTTAGGCCCATCCACTCGCGAAGTGAGGCTAAGCTTGGTCCCCTTTTGGAGCGGAGGGACATGCAAGGGCCCCTGATGTTGAAACAGGTTTCTGTCACGGGGACCTTGTGGAGTTGGTTGGAGTTGTTGAGTTCTGGTAGTAACCCAAGTGGTACCCTCACACTCCCAAACGTACTCCACCTACAAATGAGCGGAGTTTGTTTGAGGGTAGTAGGGGCAAATGAGCCGTACTCAAAACCCAGGTAAGTGAAGGTTCGTCAGGGAAAGTCCCAGCCAGAATTAGTTGCAGCCGCTTTTGTAGTTTGTTTTGTTATTTTTCTTTTTTTCTTCACTATTTCAATACCACGCTTCAAATGGGGAGTGGACATATCAGGCCTGCTTAGGCATTCGACGCGTACGCGCCTAGGCGCACCGTAAGCCACCTCTAGAAAAAGTCGGCTGGGAACTTCTCGGGTAGCCACAGGGTTCCTTTTCACCCCTTTTCCAAGGGATCACGAAAAAAGCAAGTGTTTTTGCAGTAAATTGGGGGCCATCCTCACAACTCCCAAGCTCTAGTTGGGTACAAGTTGGCAGACCGTACATTTCTTCGGGTTTGAAAGCTTTGTCTTTTTTCCTGCACTTGGATGATCGCGACATAAAGTGGTTATGATTTAGAATGCCTTGCTATTTGGTCATCTACGCGGTTTGTAGTTAGGCAACGGAAAACCCACCAATTGGGGGCGGGGGGGTGCCCCAAGTTTCGCACATACTGTCACATACCCAACATTAAATGTAGGAGTGTTGCTCTCAAAGTGCCACCGCGGTGGTGCGTTTCGTGCCAAAACTCGTACGTGCGCACCTACTGCGGCGGGTGTCCCCTTTTCGTGGGGATTCAGACAACTTTTGGAGGGAACACCCCCCTAATAGTGGGACGCGTTCTACTTAGATCCTGGGTCAACAGAAAACGCGTGGGACGCCAAGGACGCCAAGGCAGTGGTGGACCTCTGCGTGTCCTGCCAGCCCAGCAGCGCTTTGAGGGACTTGAAGATCTGCGATGGGCCCTTCGGCCTGGGCCGGAGGGTTGCGAGTTGTGTTGTGCCGCGAGTCTCGCAATGAAACCCATCGGAATGGAAGATCTGCCATGATGGGTGTTTGCAGGGGAATTCGGAGTCATATCATTTCGTTGCCACCCATAGGGAGTTCACCCCATATTTTTGGGGCAATCACCCAGTATGATGGGCCACTGATGGGTAGTTTGAGGGTCCAGGCACATTCAAATAACCTTTCTAATGTCATTTGTAGTTACGACCTTTCGAAACTTGTGGCAGTAGTTGCCCAAAGCCGTTTCTGCTGATTGTTTCGTATCAGTTCTCCTTTACTTCCATCTTCTTGCTAACATTCAGGGCCAGTTCACTGGGCAAGTCGAACCGAGCTCGTGTGGCTAGAAGAACGTGCTCGCCCATGAACGGTGTCTTACCTGGACCAGGGTAGTTGCATCCCAGGTTTGACTGCTTGCCTTGCAAGCTTGCAGGCATGTTCACTTGTTGCAAGGAGGAGCCGTTTGGACTGAAACTGCTAGGACGACCAAATTTTGCCTCAGGTTCTGGACACGCTGAGAGTCCTCATTTTCCCCATACTCTGTCATTTGATTTTTCTGTATAGTAAGCAGGAACCAAGGGGCTTCAACCCTTTGAGAAAGAAGCGGAACATGTTTGGTTATTCTAGGTAGAGTGGATCATGCGGGGGGCATTTACACTGCGTCTCCATTTGCCGCTTTTACCAAGCGCCGGGGTTCATGATCTTATTTGGTTAAGAATATGGTTTATTTTTCCCCTGTTGGTTTTACAGGGAATCTATCACTGCTGGAATCATGTTATCACTGTTTCCAGGGGACGAAAAAGCAAATGGAGGTTATCCAGAACAGATTGACTCTTCGTGTAGGGGGTGCAATTTTGGCCGGGGCTCCTGACTCCGTCTTCCAGGCTCTCGGTCGGCGAACGTGTTGGGGGGGAACGAGGTCCCTGCGTCTGGTGGATATGCCGGGGCAGGATGAGACAGACAATGTGGTGGTGAAGGATCCGTCAAGTGACCCAGCCGTCTTAGCAGGGGCACCCCGTTTAGTACGGAAATGAACCCGAATTTCATATTTTACGGTTGACTGAATAGTTGGGTCCTCCAGATTAGTCGAAAGTTTACATTTCCTGACCTTCCAAGTTTCTCAGAAGCCCTTTTTGGGAGGCCATTTTGGGCAGTCCTTGGTTGGGGGAAGTCGAAGGCTGCAGGAACAAGCAACAGCTTGGGCTTGTTTGGCTGTTCCACTCAGGAAGTGAGTTCCGCCCAGCAGGTAACCCAATCCATCCTTCAAAAATGAACCGCCGGACGTATGGAACAGAGATGGGTGCCTCACCACTTTATTGTGGACCCGAGTTTTGACGTGCCTTGCCGGAGTCGGGGTATGTCATTCTTGAGGCTACCCCTTTGTTAGTTGTTTTAAGCGGAAACCAAAATCAACAAGCGTACTTTTGGGGGGGACCTAAAACAAGACACACCCAGGTGGCAGCACATTCTTAGACGAAAGACAGGGACCCGAACTACCCATAGAAAAGGAGTTCACCCAATAATGTTAAGTTGCAATAAGACATCTTTAAGGGAATTGTGAGGGTTTAGGTGGATATAAAGCACATATACTAAATGGATGCTCGCATTTCAACATTTTATCGGACAGGGTTTCCCTTTTCAATCGACTAGGACACAAAAGAACTACCCATAAACAAGTCGGAACTCACCAACCATAATTTCGGGTTGCAATAGCGCATGTTTAAGTTGGACGTATTTGAATAGTTGTTTTGTTTCTTTCTTTCTTTTTCCTCTCACGGGGATTAGGGGATGTTTGGGTAAAAGACACGAACCATTTGTTTGGATCACATGTTAGTAATGAGGAGCCTTGGGCCTTGGGCTAAATTGGTGTGAACCCATGGCTTCCTCAAATCATCCCGGATGCCTCCGCTCAGCGCGGCCCCCAGGACTTGATCTTTCTCGGTTTTAGACATCACCGCTTACGAGTTCCGTTTCGGACTTTTCCGCTTTTCAGGTTTGGACCAATGGTTCCATTTACCAAAGCCATTTTGGTTACCTATTTTTGACCCACAGCCATTTGGCGGTAAACAAACAGCTTGGACTGGTTTTGGCCCCACTCAGGAAGTGACCACTCTTGTCATGCTTAAGCATGGCTCATTTGTCCAAAGCGAATCGACGGGATCTGACCTGTGTGGTTCCCCCGTCTAGGTTCCAAAAGGTCAATTTTGTCGTGTGGCTCCTGGGTAACTGAGATAAGAAAGAAACAGTTGTCCGGGTAGAAATAATCCTAAAGCCGACCCGCTCAGCCATTCACTCGCGCTCATAGACTCGCCTATCCAACCTACTTTGCAACTGGGTCAGCTTCACTGAAGCGACTAGTAAGTGGGTTAGAACCTGACTTGGCAGAACACCCAAGGCACCCAATATAACGAGCATTTCATTCGAGCATGACCACACTGTTCATGGATGCGACATCCTCTTCTCGCACCATGAAGTAAAGCCATGGTGGAAACCACACCGTTTGTTGAAAAACCACATACATTTGGAATCATAGCATTCCGTTAGTTTTCTGAAAGGTGGTGCGAAATGGATTTCGCAACCATCCACAGTTGTATTTAGATGCTCTGGTAGCTTGAGAGTCGACGTAGCTAGAGCCTCCCTGACCCGAAATAAAAATGGGTCCACCCCCTTATTTTGGGCAATGACCCCCCATGTTTTAAGGGTCAGAAGGAGATTTCAGGTAGACGTTTTCTTTGTGTGTTGCAGCTGCAGCTTAAGTCGAAATCCATAGGAGTGCTTCAACCAGCTCCTCTCCATGTGCCATGGGCTCATCGTTTTGGTGAAGCACAGTGCTGCGCCTTGATTTCACTGCATCCTGGTGCTGAACCGTCAGACATCCGGGGGTTGTTGCCTTTACACCGAAGGTCATATTCTGGTGGCAGATCCGATCCATCTGAAAACTGGGGGAACCCTCTTTTTTCGAACCCGAAATTAGTTCTAGCCGGGCCCACAAAATTCCAACTTGGGGCGAATTCCCTTTTTTAAAGGGTAGTTTGCAATGTCCAGGCAGCACCTGGGCGCATTTGTGTCGCGGCTTAAATTTTAAACCATCAATGGTCGGATTGTGATTTGAACTCCACATACCTGGACACTCAAAATTCCAACTTAAACAATAAGGGGGCGAACTCCCTTTTTTTTATGTTCAGTTTGAGGGTCCAGGCACCACCTGGAGGGTGTGCCACAAAAGAGAGGGAATCCCTCAAACCTTCCACTATCATGAGAGGTTGAACGTATCTGCCTAAAATGGCTGGGATCGTCGCCCAATCTTAGGGATATCACCCCGGGAACCCCACTGGCCGTAGAGCAACAACTGACGTATACCATCGAGTGGATGCCATAGCTCACCCAACTCGTTGTTTACCAAAGATGGTCCAAACCCAAAAAGTCATCAGTCCAGGAACCCAATGAGTGAGGAACCCTGCTGCCTAATGTGGCAGCCTGGACCCGAAAGAAATTCCAACTTAAACATGGGGCGGATTGCACCCCATACTTATGGTCGGATTCCCTTTTTTATTGTTTGAGGGTCCAGGAACTTAAACATTTTTTTGAACTCCAATCCCTTTATCGGTGGTTCTTTCGAGTCCAGGAGGATTTGTGAGTCATTCGAGAGATTCGGCGTTGAATCTATCTCCTTCAAGGAAGCCCAAACAACCATTTCCAGGTGGTTTCTCAAACCGATTCCTTTGCAAAATGGCAGTTGGGGAACCCCCCCCCCCCTCCCTTATTTGGAAAAAATAGTGAAACTTTGGGGCTCCAGCTCATTTCCGGAAAACCAGCAAGTGGGAGCGTGTCTTGTTTTGGGGCTTCCCCAAAGTGATGTTCAATGTTCCTTTGGTTTCCCGTTAACACCACCAAAAATGGGCAACCCTCAAATTTTCAACCTAAATTGATGTTCTTGCAACCCACAATTCTGGTTTGTGATTTCCTTTTCTTTTTCCTGGGTAGTTTGAGGGTCCGGGAACTGAAAGAACAAGCTTTGCAACCCAAAACTATGAGGTGAATGTTATTTTTCTAGGAATTTGGACCCTCAAACTAAAGGGGATTCACCCCCGCATTTTGTTGGTTTGCAATTTGCCCCATGCTTAAGTTAGAGCTTCTTTTCGGGTCTATAGTCCTTTCGGGTACCTGCACCTCAAACTACCCATGATGCTGGGGATTCAGCCCGGGCAATAATCCATGTTTTAGTGAGAGTTGCGAGGCTCCAGGCAGTTCTTTCGGGTTCAAAAAGGAGACGCCACCGTCTTCACAGGGTGCTTCGGGTCCAGGTAGTGCTTTCGGGTCCAGGTAACCTCCAAAACAGGAGACCACCTCCCGTCTTCAGAGGTGCGATCGGACTCCCTGGCGGTGCTCTTGGACGGCATCGCGGTGCAGGCCTCACTTCCTGAGTTCATGAACTTTAAGCTTTTTGGGTTTGGACCATTTTAGTGGTAAATAAAAAGTTTGAACTGTTTTTGGGCCATCCACTCAGCCAGTGAGAGGCGCCTCATCTCTTCTCGACACCTGGGGCAGTGACCTTTGTGATCTCTCAGGCGGGGCGAGGCGGGCGAGGCGGGCGGGCGAGGCTGTGGAACCTCCTCACTGCCCGAAAGAACGAGAGCCATACCAAAAGGGGGTGATACCCCGCAAGTTTGGCAAGAACCAACATTGTTAGGGAGTTTACCCAACAAACCGACTTGGACTTCACGAATTCCCATGGGTTTGGACTATTTTAGTGATACATACACATCAATTGGGTGACTTGTTTTGGGCCGACCAAACAACCTCCCCTCAAGCGGGTCAGTTGGAAGGCCTCCATTGGTATCAGTGGAAAAAGAATCGTCCCACTGCCCTTGGCAGGAGGTCTGTAACAGCGGGAACCTATTTGCTCGTATTTTGCCTTAAGGTTTGGTCAGGAAAAAGCAGGTGTATATTACGTCGCCTTTGTAAGGTTTGGTCAAGAAAAAGCAGGGGAGTTGTTGTTGTTGTTGTTTTTTTTTTTTTTTTTTTTAAATATGTTTGGCCACCCAAAGATGGCGGTTTTCCTCATGGTTTCTATGTAAGACCTTCTTAACAGAACGCGTACCCAAAAAACACCTCACAAGACCACTGTGTAGGGGTCTTGCTCAACCACCCGGGACTCCAAAGAGCCCCCCTCCCCCGGTCAAGCCCTCATGTGGGTCTGTCGCATCGAACTTATAGACGAGGCTTCGTCCACATTCGGCCATGTCTTTGTGTGCGTTTGGTATTTGGAAGTGGAACTGGATGAATTTCATGCACAACGACAATCGCGTACGCTCAGTTTGTCCCGTGTTGTTTTGGGCGAGAGCAATTATGAGCGGGCATTTATGTTGCTTGGCCTTGAGGCTAAGCCCCCCCTTTGGGCTGGGGAGGTCGTGCTCTGCGGTTAGGTAAGGTCCCTTGCCCCCCGTACCCCGGTTGCCAAGCGTCGTGTTCGGAGTCCCGGAAGTTTCGGGGGAAATGGAAACCGCAAGATGGGAGGTCCCCGCCTGTGGCAGGCTCAGCCTGGTAGGTCTGTTGCCAAAACACCTAAACTCAGTTGCAACCAAAGCGAATCGACCGGAGCTGACCTTTTTGGTTTTCATATATGATTAGATGTTCAAATGTAGTTTGGTTGTATTCACCCTGTCCCAAGCCACAAATTACTTAGGGGTAATGGCTACATAGCCCTAAATCATGCAAGGTTGCCCCGGTCTGGTGCGAGCAGTGGAATGTAGTGGAATCCATTCTTTAGTGGTGAATGCTCCAGGTGGATGCTCTTCGTCAAGACGAATCGGATGATGAGGGGACAGCGGCAACTGCCCATGCCATCAACGACCTCAAGAAGGATGCATTGCCAGACTTCACTTGCATTCACTTGCCTTTTTTGCCCTATTGCCCTTGCGGTCTTCCTTCATGTTCGTTTTTAGCCAAGCAGCCGTCTTTTTGCGGGGTGTTTGAGAGGCTCATAGTTTGGAGACCCCTGCAGAACCACCCTGCTTAGTGGTGAATATATCCCTGGTTAATACTGTGGATGGTTGCGAAATCCATTTCGCACCACCTTTCTGACAGAAAGGAGCCCAATAAGCCCTTGTGCAGCCCCGCCCTCCTGACCTCCCCGCCAGCCCCCATGAGAGTCAGCTCAGTCGCGAGCAATGTGAGCCCTAGACTTAAGGAGAATCTCTACACCTGTCGTACGTCATAGGAATCCACATGTTGAACCCACTTAGTAGTTGTAGCCATGGGTACCACTAGCATTGAGGGGCGAGGAAATGAGCAGGGGTTATCGATTAACAACGAGCAAACGAGCAAAATGGAGGTTTCCAACCACCAGAGAAAGCATACCCGAGCTATTTGCCTTCTCTGAGGGTCGTGCAGACTTTTTCGGGTCCTCCGATGAAGAACTCCGACCATATCCCACCAATCCCTCAGGGCCCTTGGAAACAACCAGTGAGGGCCCAGAACCAGCGAATTGGAGCCTTAGGGCTTTTGGTCTGCCCATCTTGGACATTGTTAGTCAAGGCCCTAGGTGAAGTGAAATGGCCATGGTTCAATACCACTGGTACCATGTTGGAAAGGTGCACCACCCATTTGAGTCTAATTTAGTCGGGATTGCGATGTTCACTGGGGTACGGGATTTTAACCCATGGCCGTATGTCCAAGTGAGTCTTCTTCTTCATGTTTGCAGTGTCTCGCCTTTTTCTCACCAGGCGGTGTCAACAAGCAACCCAAACAAAGGGGTCTTTTTTGTTATTAGCCACCTCCTTGTTGAGCCCCCTAAGGTTGTATCTTTGGGTATGGAAGCCAACTAACCCCAGCTACCCCAGTTAATTCTTCGCCTCGGCTACCTACTCCCAGCACCCTCCAAACCCCATTGTACCTGATGTGCCCACTTTTGGGTGGTTGCCATGCTGGGTACCAATTGACAACCCTTGGAGGGTGCTGCTCGTTGGTTTTGTGGTTCTTTCCTTAAAAAATGGGTCCACCCCTTTATTTTGGGTAATGACCACCTTTTGTTTGAGGGTCAGAAGGAGACTCCAGGAAAACAACTTACTCGCTGTTTTGTTTTTTCCTTCGTCCGGCTCAGCGATTCGGTGAGGAGCTGCTTCAGTACTTGGCAAACCGGGACTGTTTGATGCTCTTCCCCGGCTTTTTGAGCGACGTGAAGGCAACGTTGATGCGATGCAAGCGGTAAGAATGCTCGGTGACTTCCATTGATTTTCCCTTGTTGTGGCTTTTAAGGGAAGTTATCACTATAACTTCCATGACTTCCATGTGCTTAAGAGTATGTGTTAATTTCCCTTGGTGGTCTTAAAGCGAATTTATCACTGCTGGAAGTATGTGTTTATTATTGTTCCAGCTTAAGCACATGGAAGGTTCCTATTTTAGCATACTTTAGTGGGAACTGGAATCTACGGCTCAGCTACTTGAGTGGGGTGGGGTATAGTGGTAACTGGAAGCACTGCACGAGGGGCTGAAGCCATTGAGGGTAGTTTTGAGGATCTCTTGGAGTGGTCACAGTTTCAGAGGTTCTTTTTGTTTGTCATGGACCCTCACAATTCCCTTAATTATAATAAGGTGTTTGCCTCAAAATTATAGGGTAAATTCCAGTTTTCAATGTGCAGTTTGAGGGTCCAGGCATTTGTTTAAGCCACTGTGTGGAGAGCAATTGTGAGGATGTTTTTTTTGTTGCCCAGAATCACGGTTTTTCCGAGCCGTTCTGGTAAGGGTTCCCATGTTGGGCTGGTTTTCAAGGGAAACGACCAGGACACCAACAATTTTGGCAGCGATGGGCACTCGCGTCACTAGTAGCGATATATTGCCATAAATGTTTCAACTTTGAAGTCCGCAGGCGGCAACGTTGCAACTTTTGTTCGGAGGTTTTGTTAATTGATGCCTAAGACTCTGATTTCCAAAACCACTCAACACCATGACCCCGAAAAGGTTATGTTGCTTTCTGCGTGCCTGATTCTAACCTTGTGAACTTTGGAGCTTGGAGCTTCTGCGTTGTGGAATTCCTAAAAGGGGTAGGTGCAAGGGGGTTAGGTAGCTAAGAGCGCGTTTTGGGTCTTTTTTTAGGGTTCCTTGGTGTTCCTGAAAGAGCCGTAGGGCGCCTGAATACCCCTTCTTGGACACGACCCCGAGCTTGCTTCTTAAAATTGGGCCCGCGTTTGGTCGTTTTTGTGTGATCTACTAGAAATCTATCCAAAAAGGGACTTTTGTTTTTTTTCTACGAGAAGCTCCAGTTGTCGGTCCCTTGAGTTCTCGTTTACGACCGTGTTTCAACCTGAGCCCTGCATAGGATTACAGAAGAGGCTTGGTCCCCGGCAAACGAGACAGGTTTTCCCGCACGGCTGAAAGCTATGTGGTCTCTGCCCAAATTTAGTTGCAGAGGGCTTCGGAGCGGCTCCGGGCGTTGGAGATACCACCTGGGCGGGCTGAGTATTTCTCAAGATCGGGCATCGCCCATGTCCGAAAATGGTAAAGGTTTCCTTTTGGCTTCCCTTTGAATACGAACCACAGTCCGTTAGAAGTTGGTTTCCCTTTGTTTTCCTTTCCCTTCAACCAAAAGTGGTCTATCTGGCTGTGTCTCCAACTAAGGGGACCCCCAAATTGATGTCCTTCTGGTTTCCCTTCACACCATTCCCAAAAGGGTACTTCCAAAACGCCACCCGGACCTCCAAGCAACTCAGGTTGGCCAATTTCAGGGTCCAGGCGCCCTCAAAACGCCGCCGCCGCGCCGCGCCGAGAGGTGCTGTGCGTCTCAGTGGACCCGAAGCTGACAGGGGGCCACGAGTTCGGGCAGCTGGTGGAGGCCTCGGTGCGCATCGGGGCGCCGGAGCCTCCAAACAAGGCACTCAACAGGAGCCCTGTTAGCCCCTAGGCCTTATTCAGGGGGGGCCTTAACGAAATGATTGGAGGGAGGGGTCCATAACGAATTTAAGGTGTTCTTCTTCTTCTTGTTCTTCTTCTTCCTCTTCTTCTTCTTCTTCTTCTTATTAGTCGCCCCAGGTAGCCCCAACTGGGATTGGAGGGCCCCTGGCCACCATGCGACGTTCAAGCCACATCAGGGGGGGAGATTCTGACATGGTCATAAGATGTCATAAGCCAACTTGGCCAAATAACAAGCAGAACAAGGCCCAACCATTTGCCACATACGCTGCCAAACAAGGCCCAAAACAAGTCCCTGAAATAGGATTCACATTAAATATAACCCACTTAAGTCACTTAGGGGACTTATTAACCAGATATATTGAAAACCACCCCGGTGTGTGACCCGTCCGAGTACTTGGAGGTTCAGCCCATTTAAAGTAAACATGCTATACCGAACGTGACTGACTGGGCGTTAGCCTTCTTGGTTGGAACCCACCTGTGGATGGACGAGCGAGTCATCCGCTTCTCTCGCACCACGGTTAATGAGAGACCATGAGCCGGAAATCATAACATTTCCAGAACGTTTGGTACAGTATTTACAGCGGAATCACTCATTCCAGGGTTTCTTAGTTGGTGTGAAGGAGATTTCCGTACATGTGTGCTTCCTTGCACCATCCAGCCGGGTTGCTCACACACACACACACACGGTGGTCCCAGAAAGGAACACTGTGGTTTTAAGCATCGCCTTCTGGGCCCACACGTGAGGTTCCCTCTTTTTGTTGTTTCCTTGGTGAGTCCGGATACCACCTGGGCTCTTGTTCTTTTTCAGGGGTTAAACGTGCAAAACCCTACACTAAGTGTAACTCTAGGGGAAGCTTCCCCATTCTTTCCAGGGATTCTCCTTTTCAGAAAGCCATCAAAAATCAAGGGGGAAACAGCGATCGGTTTTGGAAAAGAAGGATGGTTGAAAAGAATGGGCTCAACGCTGGGGTCATGGACCTAACGGGGTCATGGACCAAAATATGAGACATAATCTAGGGGATGTGCACCCTAGCAATCAAATTTACCCTAAAAGAAGGAGGGTCGCGCACCCATGACTTTTTGATTCGGGCCAGAAGGAGACTCCAGTAGAAGGATGGTCGAAAATTGTGACTCAACCCTGCAGTCTCCTTCGACCAAAAAATAACGAAGGGGGTCATGAACCCAGCCAGTATATCAAATTCGGGTCACAGCCACATATCCGGCAGCGTTTCGGAAAGGCTGTGGCGGAGCTGCACGGCATCATCCAGGATCTGAAGGCGGCCAGACAGGCCCGGCCGCCGCGAGACGCACTGTGCGCGAGAGATGGGGGTGGATGGACCTGGGGGGGTTGACCAAGATTCCAAGGTTCCATTTAGGGCCCCAATTTTGACCATGGCTCACTTGTTCCCTTTTGTGGCTGAAATATCCAATGACCTTGAGGACCGCAACTTTGGTTCTAGGAAGCCATTTCCATTTTGACACACACGGAAGTTTTTTGGCCAGACATGGCAGTTGATTCATATTGCATTTAGGTGCCACCAGTTTTGGTAGCTCCCATGTGTGGCAAAGTTTGGTTTGTGTGTTTCCAACTAATGGTCATCCCATGTTTACCGGACCTTTTCATCAACCTCCAGCTAGGAATTTACAACCCCAGGCTGAGGTTGGGGCGATCGATCCCCAAACCTAGGCACTTGCCTGACCCGGTGGTGTTTTTTGTCTAGGCATGGTTTCAGCATGGCAGTGTTGAGCCCCTTTTGCCCTGCCTTCCTTTTCCCCTTTGACCAGCAAAGGTTTACTGCTCGCAGTGTCTAAGTCTGGACCCTGAATTCCAAGTAAACAAACGTGTTGCTGCAACCCCAAGTTGTGGGCTGCAACCGGATTCACCCCATCATGTCGGGGCAAAACTCGTTTTGTAGTTGGAATTTTGGAGGGTTAAGGTGTACCCATCCGAGGTCCTAAGCCCAAGGGCTGGGGGAAGGCCGGTGCGGTGCAACGGGTCAACCGCTCAACCGGTCAATCGGTCAACCGCCGACCGGGGCAGGTGAAGCTCTGCAAGGAGATCTACGAGACCATGGTAGCCACTTGCCGAAGCAGACATCGCGAGTTTCAATTCGAGCCAGTTGCGAGAGAATCGGGTCTCACCCGAGTTCATGAACTTTAAACGTTTTGGGTTTGGACCAATTGCAAAATAAACCAAGTTTGGGCTTTGGAAAACAAACCATGGAAAATAGGAAACCATTTGGTACTTGCACATCACCAGTTTGGTTACTTTTTTTGGGCCAGTCCACTCAAGCGAGTTGGGACCTCGCCTTGAACTGGGTCAAGGTTTGGGACCATGGATGGTATGCGAAGTACATATTTCTTTCGCACCAATGAACTGTAAAGCACCGACCAAACAATATTGGTTTCAATTGTGTGGCTTCTTAGGTGCCGGAATTTTTGTCCATCCACCGGTCAGTCATATATCTAAAATGGTGGTGGTATATAATAGATTAAAAACCCCAGGTTGAGTGTTGTTTGTTCGCCAAGTGACGGATTGGTCAACGCTTTCCAGTGGTATCACAGTGGGGAGTTCCCACTAGCACACGTTCAGTGAGGCCCCTTAGCTGCCCCAATTGGAGTGGCTTGCAGGGGGACTTCAGCTGGAAGCGCACACGCACACATTTCATTTGAGCTATACTAAAAGTTTGGTCGATTGGAGAATGATCATGAGGACTATACAAACCTGTCCCATCATTTGGGCAGCCTCCATGACTCAAGCATGGTTGGTCACTACCCAAAATAAAGGGGTCATGGACCGATTATTAAAGGGTGAGAAGGAGAGTCCAGGTACTTAAACAACCCCTTTTGCACCATGCCCGAAAGGCTTCCCTATTAAGAGGGTCCAAGTAGCGCCAAAAGTCAATGTTGTTTTTTCTTACTTGAAAGTGCACCTCATAGGTGTCCGCCCGCAACGAGTCAGCTGGGGCTTTGGGACCTTGCTCAGGATTGCTCTGAGCCCTTCCAGAATGATATGACCAACCCTCTAGGGCACTTCCTTAACATGAACAACCCACCCAAAAACAAAAGCAGGCCTTTTAGAGGAGTCTCCTTTCTACCAAACCCAGTCTTGCATGTTGATTTGGAGAGTAAAACCGTGGGTTCCTTTGCCTTGTCTCGCCCGCAGCATCAAGAGTTTGTGTCAAGATGTCCAGTTGATAAATTCCCGAAGGCAAAGTCAAACCTTTCTTTGTGCAGCCAAAGGCATGCCTGGACCCTCAAGCTACCCTGCAAAATGGGCGATTGCCCCCAAATCATGGCATGAATCCCCTTTTGAGGGTCTCAAGCCGGGAATTCACCCACCAGAATCGTGGGTTGCAATAACTAATAATGTATATTTTGGCATTTTCTGGGTCCAGGTGTCTTGCTTCCGAAAAGCGAAAAGCCGACTCCGTCGGCTGCGACCCGCGGAGCCGCGGGTCCGCGCAACGCCTCGCAAGGACCGGCTGGACGTCATCGGCCGAGTATATCCCGTGCGGGCGGAGGAGGTGTCCTGGACTTGAGAGAGCGAGGGGGGGCGGGGAGAGAGTTCGAGTGGATGAACGAGTCATGCGCGAGTCTCGCACCACGAAATGAATTCATGGTTGAAACCACAACACTTGTTGGTACTTGTTGGTATTTGCAGCGGAATCATACTGGGCTGCATAGGGAAGCTCCTTGTTGTTTGGTGGCTTCCGAAGATACGAAAACATCTTCAACCCCAAAAAGGCTTAATCATTTTCTACCCTTCTCTTATTTCCCAGAGGGTCCAAGTACCTTCTAAGGAGGTACTTAGACCACTCTTTACTCCCAAAAGCCATTCTCTTGAGGTACTTGGACCCTCTGGGTGTGGAGACCGCATCAAACTCACACGACTTGTGCAGCATGTTTCCTTTCACAGGGGCCCTTTGTTTTTGACCGAATAGCTCGGCAGTCCCCGCTGAATTCCGTTTTGTTTGGCTTCACTAAAGAACGTCAACTGGTACCAGGGCCACCGGTCACTGGGAGGCCAGGTTCCCAATTTGATCTCTGAGTTAAGGTCTTGGACAACGACAAGCAGGAGAAGAACATGCGTCAAGCCACCATGGCGGTGGCCGCCGCATCCTTCCTGGCCCCTTGAACCGCGAGCCGAACCGAACCGAACCGTTCGCCTTTTTCCCGCACCGAACCGAACCGAACCGAACCGAACCGAACCGTCTTCGATTCCTTTCCGCCGGCTCGGCGGAAGACGGTTCTTGTTCTCCGGCTTCTTTTCTCACTTCCTGAGTTGGTGGACTTTAAACTGTTTGGGAAGATCATTTTAGTTGTAAATAAAAAGTTCAAACTTTTTTTGGCCAGTCAACTTAGTGAGAGACTTGTCTCGCAATTGGTGGCTTGGATTGGCGGTTCGCATTGGAAGATCAACCTTACGAATTGAGATACCATGACTACTTTGCCACGGTATGCGTCTAAATGGGTACCCCAAGACTGGTCCCCTGTTTTTGCAACCTGAAGAAGGATTCGGTGGTTTGGGATTTGAACCTCTGGTTCTTGCAGAGGGTAATGGGAAACCACTTCCTAACCACCAAACCATATGTTTGCCCAGTGGGGGTTTGGTTTATTGTCATTGCCCAAGCAAAAGGTTTACCACGTAGCTTGCGCTTGCACTTCACTTTCTGAGATGTTGAGCTTTTTTTTGGGAACCACTGGTAGTGGTAGACTTTATATGAGTCATGGTCAAAATATGCGTACATCACTTTAGTAAAGAAGGGTTGGCAGAATAAATTTGCAGAAAGCCTCGCAAAACGATAGAACGCTGTAAAACGATAGGGCCCCCATCAAGAACCTCAACACCTCCTTGACGAAAACAAGTGATTTTGACGGTAGCTCATATGTTTTGCTTTTTCTCACTCTGAGCCTTGGGGCAAAAAACATGGTAATGTGGCCTTGCACTCAACTCAGTTGTTCAGTGGCACCCTGTTTCCCCTTTTTTTTGGTGGCTGCCACACTAAAAATGATCTTCCCGAAAAAGGGTTCCCCTTTGTTTTCCAGGGTCACTGAACAGGTGAGTCAATGTGAGTAGTCTAAGGGTTGATTCCCTATTCCCTTCACAGAAACCACGCATTTTCCCAGGACTTTGGCCCATTTGAAGAGAAGCATCCAGGAGAGTGGAAATGGAAGGTACAGTGCCCAAAATGGGGTCTTGCAATTGGGAGAGCCCACAAAATGCGCGCATTTAGCTTCAGGTTTTCCATTTCATTTCTTAGTCGGGAGTTTCCCTATGCAACAGCCCAAAGGCATGAAAACACGGTGCTCCTCCGGAGATTTCCTGGCCCTTTGTTGGTTGGGTTGAATTCGGGTACCTCACACAATATTCCAACTCAAACCTGGGCTCGCGCAACCCAACTTGTTTTGCATAGTTTATTTCCTCTGGTTGCATTCGGGAACCTGAACCCTCAATCTATTATTGTTGTATATATATATATATAATATGTATATGAATTGTCCACACTTCCTTACATCTTGGTTTCAATCATTTTCATTTTTCAGGCGGGGAATCTGGGTGGGGTCCAGGTGAGCCGCCATCAAAACCCGGGTAGATGAAGGTTAGAAAGGGGCAGTCCCAGCCACAAGTAGTTGCGGATATTTGTCTTCTCAATTCTTGAAGCCTGCTTCTGGGGTTACGACCATTTTAATACCGGGTTTTGAGCAAGTGACTCAACTGATAATTTCCCGCCTTCCCATGCGAACGACCTGATAGCGTAGGGTCAAGAGGCATGGCCTGCGATTTTTGCAGGACAGATCAGGGATCCTCCCAACCCGCCCCCACCGATCAGACCTCATTTAGCTCGATCGGCTCGGCGAAAAACGGAACCCGCGCAGGTCACCATCCCCCTGGGCGCCTGGGGCGTTGCCATGGCCTGCGCCGTGCGCTGTGCCGCCGCAGGCGCCGGTTGGGGTGCGAAGGCTCCGAAGTAAAACCAAAGGCTTCGGAGTTGCCGGTTTGTTTTCTTTGTTTCTTTTTCTTGGGGTTTCTTGGTTTCTTGGGGTTTCTTCACTTGCCTGGATTTTGTTCCTGGGGTTTCTTGGTTTCTGCACTTGCCATTGGCTTCCTTCGGTTCCCCCTACTTTCTTTTGGTTTCCTTGGACGAGAAATAAGTTCAGCTTCCCCCCAAGAAAGGGGGGAGGTAGGTTTAATATTTAGGAATAGTATTTGGAAACCGAAGCCCATTTTAGCAGGTTCTGTATTTTTGACACATACCTAAACTAGGCAAGTTCAGATTTGTCCCTGAAAATCCACCGGAGGTGACTGGGTCAAGGGGGGACATCCAACATATTCGATCTTGACTTTACACAGGGTTTCCTCCATTCCCTTTTTTTAAACCTCCAAAAGTGGAGCTTCAAGGGAAACCACGAGTCAATTGATCAACTGTTGAAGGGGATATCCACCCCTGATATAATCTTCCATTTGCTCAAAAACATATTTTTTCCTCATGGGTTTTGAAAGGAATGTATCGTTTTAAAAGGAAACTATCACTACTTCAAGACTGGACATACTAGTTCTCATTCTTTTCCCAGAGGGACTTAAGCAACTGGAGGACATGATGAGCTGTTGTTGGACAAGCAAGTGGATTACAACTATGAGGCTACCCCAGTAACCTTGGTGATGCGTTGGGTTGAAAGGCCAAACTGCCTCGCCCCCTCCCCCCAAACTGCCTGGAGTCTCCATGACCCGTTAAGAATAGGTTGGCTCGCGCCCAACTATTCTTTCAGGGTCAGTCTCGGAGACTCTAGGTGTACAAGCTTTACGATGCCAATGACACCGGGTAGAGTGAGCCGTTTCGCGAGAAAATGGAGAACCATTGGGCGATTTTCCCTGTCTCCATGGGGCGGCGGGGGTTTCCCTAGGCTTCCTTGCCCCCATGAAAAGAATGGCAAGGACCCACTAATTTGGATGATGGAATTCCTTAATTAGGTAAAGGATGGTTGACTGGATGATGAAGTTCCTTAGGTAAAGGGTTGACCCAATTTGGATGATGCAATTCCTTAGGTAGAGAATGGTTGACCCAACTTGGATGATGATATTCCTTAGGTAAAGAATGGTGACCCAATTTAATGATTGAATTCCTTAAGAAAGAATGGTGGTTCTAGAACCCCTTTGATGAAATGGTTGAAATGGTGGTAACTGAACCCTTCTTTGGGGCGACCAGGCACCGCCTTGGGCGTGGGGGTAGTGGCCTCTGCAGTCAATGCGCAGACGAAATGTGTGCCTCGGCTGCAAGGCACCAATCGGCGCAGTGGAAAAACCGGAGGGAGCTATGAAACACCTACCCGGAGTCTCAACACTACCCATACAAAAAGGGGAACATTCACCAAAGCCATATTTTGGGGTTGCAATCATTCCCATTTTTTTGGGTATAGTTGGAGGGTTCAGGTACAGCCAAACATCGACGGAGGGGGAAATGGTAAGGACCTCTCTTAGGCCCAAGGGGCCGCAAAAGCCGAGGCCTATTGAGGGCCCAGAGTCTGGAGGAATTCAGCCTAGGGGGAGATACTGTGGACGAAATCCCGCACATAAGAAACCATGGAATGATTTGACTCCCCTGTGAATACCATCAAACAATCATTTCATCACGGTTTCCAAGAGGTGCAGGATCTTGTCCATCTACAGTACCTCCTGTGGTTGCCTAAATGATTGACTCCCTCCGATTCTGGGAAGCAAACTTTTGCGGAGCTCACCGATTTTGGGACGAGCGAGCTGGGGCCCCATCCGGATCATGCAGGTTTTTGTTGGGGAATCCTCGTATGAGTTTGCCACTCAACTGGGTGCATTCCGACGTTTTCCCTTTTGGGCCTTGTCCATGTGGCCCATTTCACATGTGGAACATGTCCTCAAGGGCGCATTGTGGAACCTCCATTGTGGAACCTCCATTGTGGAACCTTCCTGATTTGAAGCGACGCAAACTATATGTTCATTTGCCCTTAGCAGCACAAGTGGGGGTCTAAGTCTGGTCAAGCTCGTTGGCCGGGTTTTTGCAGGGACAGCCAAAGAAAACGGTTCGCATTCGGGTGCTCGATGTTTTTGTCTCAACTCCTCCATAGGATCCCCGAACCGCCACCAACCTAACCAAGACCCACTCCCCAAGTTGGATTGGAATGCCTTTGGGGTAACCGAAAGACCTTGAAGGCCAATCTGAGGACATGTGTCAATAGAATGGGTCAAAAGGACAAAAACACTTTATTGGACATGAGTTTGGTGGGGATGTAGGTCCACCAATCACCTCAAAGAGGTGGTGCCTTATTGAAATGTTCATAAGGTGTCCTCAGATAGATCCTCGCTGCGCCGCCTTAGGACCAAGAGGAAAGCCAGGACAGGGAATTCCTTCCGACCGGCGTGGGTTGCCAATTTGGTTCCCTTATGAGGCGGTTCCCTAAGTTGCTACCGGAGTCTCTAGGACCCTTAAAAATAGTTCCATGAATTGTCTGTTTTGAATAGTCTTGGACACTGCCCCCCATCTTTTTTCCTTAAACATAGTTCCATGAATTTTCCGTTTTGAATATCTTTGGACAATGACCCGATCTTTTTTCAGGGTCAGAAACAGGCCCTAAAATATGCGTTGGGGCCAGGCTCGAAGAAGCGGGTCGGATCGGGTTTCTCTCGGTTTCGCTTTGCCGAAATGTCGAAGGTTGACCCCATATGAATCAACCAAATGTTCAAAGCTGATGATTCCCCTCCAAATGATGATTCCCCACTAAACCCAAAGACACCCCCCCCATTAATAAACTGGGGTTGATTAATATGGGGTCAACATTACCAACTCGTTAGCGATCAAATTGGAGCAACCCTAACCCAACACCGAACGGAATTCTTCGGAACCCAACTCCTAGCGAGTGGGCCTGGCGACTCATTCAGGTTCCTTTCAAAGGGTTGGTGATGTTTGTTGTTGAGCCTGTTTTTTTGAGGGATTTTGGGGTTCTAAAGGGAAAGCACAAAGAAAGCCAGCAACTTGGAGGTCCCCATATTTGATCTGGACAGTCTGGTCCCCCAAGGCAAAAGGATATCGCCTTTCAGGACCGCTTTCTTCAAGCCAAGCAAGCAAAAACAGCCGCCCTATTGGTTGAAAGAAAGTAGTCCCCTGCGCAGTTTGCGGGAGCGGGTTCCCTCGTGCTTCAAGAACCTTTAGGCCTCGACGCTGTCCAACTTTATTCCTTCCGCAAAGCCTAATCCTAACCTTTGGAGTGAGGTGGTCTGCAAGGACCAGTTGTTTGCCTCTGTTTAGTTTAGAACTATGTTCAATCCAAACATGAAGGGAAACCCTCCAAGTTATGCTGAACAAACTAAGCCCCGAAGATGGGTGAGGTTGAAACAAAAGCATAGTACCCAATTCGAACCGGCATGTATCTGGGAGAGAAACCAGGCGGGGAAGTCTTGGAGGTCCGCCAAACCCGGCAAATTCCAGACAGTTCCTCAGAACCGTGCAACCAGACAGACCCTGCTCGCCTCTCAAGGGAAACCCAAAGAAGGTTTGTAGACTAGCTGTTGAAAACTATGGGTATCCTCAACAAGAGGTTGGGAACAAAATCACAGCCTTAGTTGGTGGTTTGATTTCGTGGTTTGCTCCGGATTTGACCCCTGGGTCTTGACGGTAAATTGGGAACCCACCCCACGCCTTCAAACCAATCCAAACCCAGCATCAAACCGGCCATTTCTTGATTGCTATTGGGTTGGATCTTTAGACTTTAACTTTTCGGGAATCAAGGGGGGTTCCATTAAACCCACAAAAAGTTAAACTTTTTGCAGAGGGGTCAACAGCAGCCAAGATTTGAGGTGCCATTTGGTCCAAAACCTTAAAAAAGGACACCAATAAGGAGGCTCCTTTCTGCTTGCAAGAGGGAAGCTGAGTTTTAGCAGGACACGCTTTTGGTTTGGGGATTTGACCTTCTAGTCGTTTCGGATAAATTGGAACTACTATATTGGCAGCAATGAGGAACACGCCCTTGTGGTTCTTGCGGATAACTGGAAATCCGGAACCAAAATGAACGAAAAAGAGTTGTTGGAGGACCGTGTTTCCCTTGAGGACAAGTCGGAAATCCCAAGGAAGAGAAACGACTATATTGGCAACAATAAGAAAAAAACGCCCTTGTGGTTCTTGAGGACAAGTGGGAAACCAAAATGAACCACATGGACCAAAATGAGTCGGAACTCCCAAAGAAGACCCCCAAACCACCTCCAACCTACTATATTGGCAGCAAGTTTGGAACACGCCCTTGTGGTTCTTAAACTATACCTTTTTTTGGCAGCGATGAGGAACACGCTTCTTGAGGATAAGTGGCAACCCCCCGAAAACCAGACCAATCCACTCCACCACAAAAAGCTGAGTGCAACCCAACCCCACCCCCCCCCCCCCCCCCAACGCCCCCCCCCCCACCCCCCAATTCCCCAAGGACACGCTGGGGGGCGTGCGCTGCTTGGGCGCCTCCCTCTTTGGCGCCATGGGCGCGGAGCTGGCGAACCAGCGTGTCTCCTTTCAGCGCACTGCGCCTCGGATGGGGAGGGGAGCTGCTCTTGTTTTTTGATGATCATCTTAATTATGATGTTTATTGTTATGATTGTTATTATTATTGTTATTATCATTGTTTTTAGTATTGTTACAATTATTTGTGTTGTTGTTATTCTTGATTTGTGCCATCCCTGCGTAGGGCTCCTTAAAAGAAACATTTTGCAACCATTTGAAACATGTGGCGTTTCGAACACCAACATAAAGTTGGAAACCACCATTTACAAGTTGCAATGTTCGATCGGTGTATTCACTGCATCCGGATCCCTGCTGCACGAGTCCTCCGTTTCGCATCCGTTTAGACCATTCCCTTGGGGTTTCTGAAAGGCATCCGCCGTGGGTGTGTCTTCAAATGGGGGGACAGGGGCCGCGGTTGGGATTGGACGCTCTTGGGAGCAATATGGGTGTGCTTCCTTTTTGGAGTTTGGACCCGTTTTCGGGCAAAACTAGGGAAACAGAAATCAACCTATTCCCTGGGGTTGCAAAGTTGCATGTTTTCTGTGAAAGGCGGTTTTTTGCCAGGAGTAGTTTTGTCCAAGCTCAGCTGATATCATTGAACAATTCGGGCGCCGCACGTGCTCAGTTCCCACAAAACAAGCGGAGGGATTACCAAAGGACAGGCTGAAACACATAGATTCACCGGTGTCAAAATTCACGGCACAAAACGTGCTTTCACGCTGAAAAACAGGCTTTCACGCTAATTTCACGGTATTTTCAAGGTGATTTCACGCTACTTGTGCTTACATCACGGACCGCTATGTTCACACCAAAATTGTTGTGTCAAGACATGTTGGGGTGGAACAGGCTTTGTAGAATCTAAACGTGGCAGCAGTATGAATAAGCCATCAAATACCACGCCATGGCTCTTTGCAGGCGCAAAAAGCAGGCTTTAGCTGCAAACAACAGGCAAGGTGCAAAGGACGTTTAAAAAACAGTCGTGGATTTCCAGGGTATTGTTTGATTTCAACGCTGTTCTGAGAAACACTCATATCCACCTGGACCCTCAAAATTCCGTCTTTAAAATGGGTTATTGCCCCCAACATATTGGGCGAGCTCCCTTTTTTTTCATGGGTAGGGCCCAGGCGCTCGCGCTGGTGCGATGGTTGTGAAGACGTGTTTGGCTCGATCGCGTGATGCCTCTGGGATTCGAGTTTGGTTTTCCGAGGGCCCAGCTGGTCGAGGAAATGCAACGAGCCAAAGCCATGCCCGAAATTGCTTTGCCCAGCGGAGGTAACTAGGCATTTCCCAAGTTTTTTTCTTCAGCTCAGGGTGGTTTCCTTGGTTACCTACTGTACAGGTAAATGTAGTTCATTGCTTTGTTGAAAGCGCCGTTGCCGAGGCCGCCAGCATCCTGGAGGGCAAGGCAGGGATTTCCGCCGAATTGCTGACAGAAGCAGGCGGTACGTGTAGAAGCCCCAGAAGAGGTGTCCGGCCTTTGTGCTGAGACATACAGGGCAGAAGACGAGTGCATTTGGTGAGTGGTGCGAAATGGAGTTCGAAGCCATCCACAGTTTCTGTTGCGGTAGCTGAAAACACTGGGGAAGCTTTTGGACACCAAACATGTTTACCTCAATGTTTTACATGATGGTTCCCTTTGGATGGGTCCTTAAGATGCTTTGGACCGCGAACGCTTTCGTTTTTTTCCCCTTCGGGAGGTCTACGAGGACACCCTTCTGGACGCGGACGGGTGTCCGGTGTACATCGGGGAATTCGTGGGAGACGTTCCCCACGGACAAGGCAGACTCCACGCTTTCCTTATGATGTTTCCGGGTGGGTGGGTGGGGATTCCCTAAGGCTCCCCTGAATAATCCTAGAGAACCTCAAGGAACCTACCCGTTAGGGATTCCATAATTTCCAGTCAAGACCCGTGGCAAGTTCCACATTTTTGTTGTTGCAACCAAAGCGAATCAACCGGATCTGACATTTTGACCGTTCCTTGTTTTGGTCCATAGTCAGGGTCCCGAAAGGTGCTCGCCTTTTATTTCTGGGTCCCTAAGGGCGACTGAGGAAACTGTATAGTGGATTAGTCCTCCCATGGGTTGTGAACTATAGTTCCTTGTGACGGCCGGGGCTTTCGGGAGCCTGTCGGCAAGCATTGTTCGTGAGCTTTGGATTCAACCAGTTTGCTTTCCTCACTTGGTTGCATCAGCCCTCCTTCTCCCGAAAGTGTGGGACACATTTATGGGCGTTTTTTGCACCCGCATTCCGCATCCTTGGGCCTTGCTGTTTTGCAGCGTAGTCTGCAACTGTCGTCTTTGGGTTTTCGAAGGGCTCTTGAAGTGGAATCCCCCCCCCGGGTTCGTGGAGAGTCTTCTTCTGACGATTAAAGCCGGTTGGTAGGAAAGGGGTGGCCCAATTTTGAAACTAGGTCTTCCAGTAGTGCCCTTTCACCCTTTTCTTGGGGAGGGTTCCCCTACTAAACTAGACTACACAAAAAAGTTGGTACCCTTATTCTAACCTCTCTACTGGAGGACCTAGGAAAGGGTCGGAAGGAGACATGTCCAAACCCCCCCCTTTCCTTTCTCCCTGCTCCTCTTCTCCCCCCCCACCTCCTCCCTTTCCCCCCCAACCACCCCGCAGGGCGGCTCTTCTGGAAGAGTACCAACTTCGAGGCCTTCATCGGAACCTTCAAAAACGGCCAGCCCCGCGAGGACGAGTCTCGGGTTCTGTCCAAGAAATCGTCGGAGAAACTCACGGCCGATGAGCCACGTCCTCAAAACCCGGGTAGATGAAGGGGAAGGGAAAATCCCAACTTGAGATGGGTTTTTGGCCGCCTTTTTCATTCTTTACCTGGTTCTATCGATTTTAATACCGGGTTTTGATTGTGGCTCAGATGGGCGGAAGTTCGTGCGGGCCCGGGGCACAACAACCATCTGCTTGAACATCATCAATCAAGTCCCTCAATTTGAGTGGGTGAACTGTCACAAAGACTTCTGCTGTAGTCTTAGGATACATTTTTTCATTTTTAGCACTGTCTGACTGAAAGTGAAGCAAACAATAAAATCTACAACTGGGCCTAACTCTATTCATGACTTGTAGGGAATCATGAAACAGCATGTAACTTCGAAGGGACCAGCGCTTGCAGTTACCGCAATAGTAGGTGACCCCGGATTAATAAACCCGTGTTTATTCATATGGAGGTGTCCGCCTCCAAAAGTGATAAATCCCCCACTAAAAGCAGGGACACCCAAATATTCATAAACAGGGGTTCTGCTTACTCCGGGGTCAACATTAGTATTTGACCAGGCTCTTTTGCGGTAACCAGGTCCTCCTGTCTACGCTCCAAACCATCCCCCCGAGAACCACCCTCATTTGGCCTCATTTCGACTCCTATTACTCACTTCCTGAGTTCATGCACCTTCTGCTTTTTGGGTTTGGACCATTTTAGTGGTAAACACGTAAAGTTTGGGTACTTTTTTGGGTGCCATCCACTCAAGTGAGCTGAAGCTCTGTTTCTTGAAGGGGGCCCTGGGCCTAGGCCTGAGACCCCAACCAAAGCAACTAGCTTCGCCGGTTGCTTCACGGGCAAGCTGCCTCCGAACCGTCAAATGCCGTGAAAACCCAATCTTTAGCTGCGCGGAATTCGCCGATCCTTTGAGGTTCCTGTGTGAAAAGCGGGACCCGCCTTTCTCTCCGCACAGCCTCTCTGAAGCTTTTGGGTTTCAAAGGTTCTCTCCGAAAAGCCCTCATGGCCTTTGAGAGAAATGGGTGCATTGTTTTGAGGGATCTCTCTTTTTAGAACTTCCAACATAACCGCATTGGTCAGTATTGCAAGGGAAAGCCTTAAATGGAAACCGCCCACTTTCTTGCTGTTTCGCAGGGACTGGGTTGGACTGACCCCCATAAACCTTTCCTTTATGCGGGAATCCCCAAAAGCGGCTCATTGAACCAACACCCGGACTGGGTGATTCCCTTGCTCTCGCACAAGCCAGAAAATGGGCCGGGTTATGACCCAGCGCATTTCTACCTGGAGTCTCCTGCTGACCCTTTAGAAATGGGTCCATGTCCCGTTTCGTTATTTTGGGGAATGATACCCATTTGGTTAAGGGTCAGGAGGAGACTCCAGGTAGGATCGGCTCAGAAGGAGACTGCAGGTAGGATCGATCCAGCCTTCATACCTTCATAAAGGACTCCAGGTAATCCTTCTCGAAGGTTGGATTATTATTTTTTCGGGGCCGCGGATTTGGGTCTTCCTTCGTGAGGGCCTCTTCATCAACGAGAAGGGCTTTTGCGTGGCCAAGTGCCAGGCGAGCCTTGGGAACCCATTGGTCCCATTTCCCTTCAATAAAAAGCTATATGGAATTGGGGACCACCTCCGATCCCCTAATTAGGGTTGATCCGGAGGTTCTTTGGCATTGAGGTGCTGGACTTTCACTTTATTACGGTCTGGATATTCGGTAACGGATCTTTGGACTTTAACTTTTGGGTTGACACAGAACATGTTTTCCGTATTGGACACTCAAGACGTGAAACTGTTTCCAGGCTCTACCTGCAGTCTCCATTTGGCCCGAATGAAACATGGGGTCCATGACCCCTTTATTTGGGTAATGATGGGGGGTCAGGAGGAGACTCCAGGTAGCACTTTATTGGGTCGTGGCAAACGCACAGTTTGGACTTTGTTGCGCCAATCCTCAGGATTTGCCATCCGGTTTAGTTGTTCACGGTGTGTCCTTCTTGTTTCGGCAAGTTCGACCGGCGCGATTCGGTCCAGGTGAGCGCAGGTGGGGAGGTGAAAGTAGATGGCGCGCAGCTGGATGAAGAGAACTCCCTGCTAGTGGAGGATCAACCGTTGGCATCTCGGAGAAACTATCTGAGCAACCTCTGCCTACCGTAGGGCTTGGGTTTCTCGCAATGGGGGAAGAGAAAGGCGTGCCCGAAACATGTTTTGTCCAGAACACCCCCTATTCTACTTAGTCCAACTATACAGGGAAATAAATCCACTGGGTGGGTTAGACATGATTGACCCTCCATGGAAGTTTACCGGGAAGACGACTTCTTGAAAGACTTCCCGCGTTTCCCAAGATTCCCAACCTCAGCTAAGGTGAAGAGCCGACAATTTGTCTTCCCGACTCTTCCCCCAACTATGGGGTTCATAGGCCCATGCTTGCAACCAAGCTCTTTGGTAGTTTGGGTTCCGAGGCTGTTGGGGGTACATGCCAGTTGTTGTTTTTTTGTTTGGGGGGGGGGGGCTCTGCATGTGCTTTCCGATGGCCGCAAAGATGTGCCAACATGGCATGGTGCTAGGTGTCCTTTTGGCTTCCATTCAAAACCGGCCAGGGGGATCCAACTGCACATTGGCACGACTCCCCTTGTGAATCACGGAGCTGTAATCTCAGAGTATACCAAGACATACCAATGCCTTTACTAAGCACAGTTGTTGTGTTGCGTTGCTCTTTGGTTGGATCTTTCACGCTTCAACTTGTTGGGAGAGGTGTTGGTTGCACTAAACAGCCAACCCTTGTAGCCTTTTGCGCGGGTTGAGGCATCCAGGTTGATAAATCGCTCCAGCTAAACCTAGTTCGAGTTACTACCCACCCGCGGACTATCTACCTTTTGACTTGCCCCCAAACTGGTAGGTCACATCAATTATGTCACGATTTAAGGGTGTCCCTTCTTCTACCAAACAAATGCATGGTAAGTTGGGGAGAATGACTTGATTTCCAACTTGTTCTCCCCCTTGCAATGTTCAACCGGTTGCTTCCAAACCTCACATCAACGACTAAACCACTACGGTAGAGTTTTTGACACACAAAGCATGGCATAGTTCCCAATACCCTCTTTGGCTTACATGGCCTTGCCAGTTTCTGGCTGACCTTGCCTCTGGACTGCTGCACAAAGCACACACTGCTTCTCCACTACGGTAGAAAGTTGATATTGGGCCTTTTTTGGTTTGCAAGTTGTTTCCCTTTTCTGGGGCCACACGCCCCAAGCCTTAAAACATGGTGATTGCTCAAAATTGATGGTGGTTTTTTTTTTTTTTTTTTTTTTTTGGTAGCTTGAGTGTCCAGGTAGTTTGTGTTGGTACCTTCTGCGGCACTTTACACCCTTAGCCAAGAAATCCGCCCTCCGGGAATACTTGGCAGGCTTGGCAACAAGCAGCTACCAAACTGCTAAACAGCATGGCTCCTTTCGCCCCCCAAGGGCCTGGCTTTTAAACACAATGGCCGTGTTTGTTTTTCGACGGCTTCAGGGAACCATCAGGAATCCACCCACTTTGGGGGTCCCCTATTCACCCAAAATATATGTTTGGACTTTTCGTGGCGACGCACACGAGTCGAGTCATTCGAGTTGCCCGCAAAGCCCACGATTCGCACGCACTGCCTCTTAGGAGTCGCTGGACGACTTCTTGGGGAGCAAGGCAAGCGGCAAGCGAGGGACGGGTATGGTTTGCTGATACACCCAGGGCACGAGTTAGCACTACAATTGGTGGTTGCCAACTGTCCGTCTCTTTAGGAGTTTAGATGTTTTTAGTTGGTTTGAGTGATTGCATTTCCATGTAACCCACTTTTAGCAGGGGATCTGAGAGACAGCCCAGTATAGCAATCTAAAGCGAAGGAAGCCATCCAAAGCAACACCCGAAAGGTAAAAGCGCTTATACCTATTTTCTTGCCAAGCGCCGGGCCAAGCGTCAGATTTACCTTTTCTCAAAGAACCGGCTATGTCCCCCAGTAATTAGTGCCCTTTCTCACCACTTTTTTGGTTGGGAGGGTTCCCCTACTAAAATAGACTACCGAAAAAAGTTGGTACCCTTATTCTAACCTCCAAAACTGGAGCTAGTTTCCCTGACTGATTGAGTGGTACCTCTTTGAAAGGGGTCGGTGGATTATTCTTTCAGCTTAGAGTACAACCTTTGAGTGGTCCTTTTCCTATCGGATTTTGCGGGTTGAGTAGATGTCGTCTTGGTGTGCTTGCTGCAAGGGTTTCTGGTGGCGATGTGGTCGACTTCATTGTTGCAATGGCTTCCGTTATGGCTGCAAGTAAAATAACGCTACCTGGAGTCTCCATGACCCTTTAAAATTGGGGTCATTACCCAAAATAAAGGGGTCAAGGACCCATTTTTAAAGGGTCAGAAGGAGACTCCAGGTATATTTGTGTATTGCTTAGTATCATCCTGGACCCTCAAACTACCCATGTCAAAGGAAATTCACCCCAGAATTGTGGGGCAACAACCCAGTTTTAGGATGGAATTTTGAAGCATATGGACTTTACTATGTTTTCACCCAAGCGTCCGCCCGCTTTTGGAGGTTCCTTTACCCCAATGGAGGGTTCTTTCTGATGCTTCGGGCAACACCTTGTAGTCCCCACTGTGAATGGTTGCAAAATCCGCTTCTCGCACCATCTAAGAATCCCTGGAATGATACAATTCCTCTATAAATGCTAAACTAAGCAACCCTGGAATGCTACGATTCCCCTGTACAACCACGGTTTCAATTGGTGCGAAGTGGATGACTCGCAACCATCCAGACGTTTTGTTGCGAGAGCTTGGATTGGTGCCACACCGGCTTCGGCAAGATGTTCGAAGAGGGCTGTGCCGTGACCTTCGAATGGAAGCACCCCCTGCTTGAGTGATCAATCTATCTGGAGTCTCTGAGCATTGAAACATGAGTCCATGGACCCCTTTCTTCTGGGTCCTCATGGTTTCAGGGTCCTGGAAGCTGTTAAACTCCAGGGACTTGGTAAGTACGTCACCATGACTTTTAGTGCCAACTGGCCCCAGTCTCCCCCCCCCCCCCCGGTTATATATACTCTACTTACGTAAGTAAAACATCCAACTTCATTTGCCTGGGGTTTGCATTGGACCTCGGGGTCAGCTTTTGGTGGCTCTTTTGTTTACCACCCACTACTACATCCCCCAGTAGTGCCCTTTTGCCGTTTCTTTTTTGGGGGAGGGTTCCCCTACTAAAATAGACTACAGAAAAAGGGTACCCTTATTCTAGCCTCTCTACTGGAGGGCCTAGACTACCAATTAGTTAGAGTAGGAACTTGTTGGGAGAGGAATGTGTGTGCCTGGAAAGGGTGAGCATCTAGCTTCAAGGTTAGTGGAATTCAGAATTTGCCATGGGTTTATTCGAAAGATGCTCCCCCAAAATGTCGACCATGGTGGCATGGTTACCTACTGTCCAAGTGGGTTGAACATCCAAGTAAGCTGAGCGCTCGTTACCACAAGTCACCGGGGATTTTTGGCATTGAGGGAAACTGGAAGTAATGGATGCCTGGGTACTTTCCAAGGAGGTATACTTCAAACATATTTCCCTCAGGATGGAAGAAGGACTTGCCTTGTTAGAGTTAGTAAGCCAGGAAGTAGGTCAAGCCGGGGTGGGTAAGTACCTGCCTTGTTCTGTCCAAGGTTATACCTGGGGTGACTGGGGTTGGTTGGCTGGCAAGCGGTTGAACGTCCCAGCAATCCCGGCCGCAGAGTTGCAGGAAGTGTCCAACGAGGTCGTCGACATCTCCAACGAGTCGAGGGCGGGCTACAAGGCGATGGCCGTGAAGTTTTGGCGGCGGGGTGGGGGGGGGGGGAGACCGAAATGCCGTGTGAGCAATGGTCATGTTTTGTTGTCATCTCCGTGGACCCTCGAACATTCCAACTTAAACATGGGTTATTGCTCCAAAAATATTGTTGGTGAATGGTCCCTTTTTTTATGGGTAGTTTGAGGGTCCAAGTACTTTGGTATCACAGAAAGCTCTCGCGTCGCGCGAGTGCATTGGATTTGACCCTTAGGGCACTTTCATGGAATGCCGGGGGGGGGGGGGGGAAGAAATGTGTTTTTTTTTGCAGCCAGCCTTTCAGTGCGTCTCTTGAATCCATACACTCACACTTTTTTGTTGTTGGTGGGGCCCGTGATAAGTGACATGTTTGGAGGGAATTCTGTTGACTTGCCCATTAGTTGCCAATAGCTTTTGCCCGCTGCTTCAAGGGGCAGCCAAGCGCATCATGCTTAAGCTAATAGTTGTTTGATAAAGCCGTGGCTTAAAGCTATTAGTGGACATTTGTTCAAGTCAGTTTCACGAAGTGGCGGCATGGGTTTTGGGGTATGGAGCTGGAAGAACCGCCTTAAAAGCTTATGTTGGTGGTATACACAATTACCTGCAAAACCCACACCTAGAAATGCCAATGAAGCTCGTGCAGATTGGTGGGAAGTTCGTACAGAGTGAACGGTTCTCCCGAAACACAAAGCAACGCGAGCCGCTTTTTTTTGGTTCAGGTACCACATGGTGTAGAATAGTGCTTGACCTTCCATAACCCCGCGAAAGCAGTTTGCCTTTGCTCCATTTGAAGGACAAGGATGAAGCTACCTGAACCCTCAAAGTTCCAACTTGCAAATGGGAGCTGTTGCAGCTAACATTATGGTTGGTGGAATCATTTTTTCATGGGTCTGCCCCAGAATTGGTTCCCCTTGTTATTATGTTGTTTTTCGGGGTTCCCTCCACCAGACAAACTCATTTTCTGCTAGGTTAGTTCCAGTCAAGGGATAGTTTGAGGGTTCAGGTAGAACTTCACGGAGGTCCGAATGGAAGTCCAAGGAGTGGGTTGCACTTGAGTGCTTCCGGGTCATGTTGGTGCCATTTTGTTTGCTGAAAACCTTCCAGCTCAGAGTCTTGAAATCCCGTTTCGTTCTTCCGGAAAATGCCGTTTTACTTCAAACGTAAAGTTCGATCAACCTAAACCAACGTCACACCACCTAAAGAACCCTATAATAAAATGGGATGCAACCCCAAATGGTACTAAGCCAACTAAAACTGGGACGGGACACTGGCAACTTTTTGCCGGTTCCGCTCGGTTTTCTTTTTTCACAACTCTCGGCTTCGGACGTGCCCGAAGTTCGCTGTTCACAGGGCATTTTTGGCAGCTTCCATTTGCTGAAATGGATAGGGAATCCCACCAAAGTTAAGGGAATCACACCAGAATTTTAGGGCAATCCCACAAAATTTAAGGGATTCTTGAGGTTGCATATTTTTCCTTGTTGGTTTAAAAGGGAATCGATTTCCCTCCTGGAACTATGTTCTCGTTTGTTTGCAGGGGGCCTAAGCAAATGGAAGGTAGGTGCTGCTGTTCTTGCTGTTGGGCTGGATAGACAGATGAAGACATAGATGGATAGACAAATAGACAAATAGGTATAGTTACATAGAGAGAAATACGATAGATAGATATAGAGAGAGAGAGAGCTGGATAGATAAATAGAGAGATCGAGAGAGATAGATCGATTGGGGTATTGCTGGGGTCATTATGTTGACTGTTTCTGTTAGATAGTGGTTGATCTTTAGACTTCAATGTTTTGGTTGAAATCACGGGGATTGCCCGCAACTTGTTAGACGTGATTTCGACTTTTTGCAGAGGGGTCAACAGCAACCAAGGGTTCCTACCCACCGATTCCATAGGGTGGTCCGGGTTTTTATCTTGTGAAGCATAGGGGGTGAGGCCCAGAGAAGCCGTAAGCTGCAACGCGCGCTATGGGAATTCGATGGAACTCCCCAGTCACAATTTCGGCATCTGTTTTCCATGAAACTTAATCATTATGTCGTATATGGGAAAAGTTGAACAAACTCATTTATACTGGTTCAATTTTCATGTGGTTCAAATTCCATTTGATGGAAGATTTGTGTAACCTTGTTCCAACCCCTCAGTCTTGGCCAGGGCTGCTTGGCCTCGGGGTCTTTGGAACCTCGATTGGGCCGAATCCGTGGAAGCCCTCGCGGAGAGGCTAGATGTTCAAGACCTGAACCCGGCTTCAGAGACTCAACTGTGAACGTTGTGTTGAGTCTTGCTGGTTTTGGGGTGTAGCTGGACCTCAAACTTAATGGGTTACTGCAACCCAACATTGTAGAGTCGGGGAATTCCAACTTTTCTGGGTAGTTCTTCGGGATCCAAGTGCCATTTTAGTACCGATCGATGTCAAAACCAGCCATTTGAGGGAAACACTATTTTGAGAACCTTCCTGCGTGGCACAGGTTTCTTATGTTTCTTAAGATCATCTTTTCGGCAGTGTATGGTAGATCTTCTTTGGGCGTGGTTGTTTTGTACTGGGATACATGCGAAAAGCAAGCCGAGCGAATCTGAAGTCAACTAAGAGTTCCCACATTTTCCTTGCCCAGAGGGTCCCTTGGTACCCTCTTAGGATGTACTTGGCTCAAAAAGGGGTCAGAAAGTGCACTAGGTATTTGGCTCTACGGTTACAGTTCCCGAAGGTCTCCATGGCATGGGGGTCGTTATCCAAAGTAAAGGGGTCATGGACCTACCTGGAGTCTCCTTCTGACCCTTGAAAAATGGGTCCATGACCCCATTATTTTGGGGAATGACCCCATTTTTGTAGGGTCATGGAGACTCCAGGTATAGTTAAAGGGTCAGAGGGAGACAGGTGCAGTCGGGCCCCAGTCAACGTATTCTCCGCTGTCGTGCTGTTCGACGCATTCGTCGGCCAGGGCCAATCCGACCCCCCCCCCCCGGAAAAAAGAAAGAAAGAAGAAGAAGCCTTGAGCCCAGCAGAAGCTCAAGCCAAGTCAACAGGCCTTCCCACTTCACTGTTTTTTGAGCACTCGGATTTTTGTAGGATGCTTGAAAAAGCAGTTGCAAGTTGGGGCGGTACTTTGAAAACCCGGCGGCGCACGTGGCATTGGCTTCCGCCTGAATCGGTTGCCGGGAGGCGATGCAAAGCTGACAAGGCGCCAGTGAAGCGCTTGGAGCTTGCGAGTCGCGCGAGTCACGTCCCGCTTGAGTTGCCGATGTCAGGCATCCCCAAGTTGTGTTTAAATTATCGTGAGTGTTCTAAATTATGAGTGTTTGACCAAACTTTGGACTGAGCGTCACTAGACTAAGACATGGCGATCAATCTGTTTCGTGTCGGCAGATGTGAGAGGCCCATAGCAGCCTCGGAGTTTGCTTCTAGAAAGGCAGTGCTAGGCTTTCTTTGAATCTACCTGAACCCTCAAACTACCCACAGAAAAGAGTGATTGCCCCAAACTTACGGGGTGGTGTTTGTTTTTTTGGGGTAGTTTGAGGGTCCAGGTCTCGATTACCACCGCGGAGCGCCGTATGGCGCCCGCTGATTAACCCCTGAGGGGTCCTTTTCCCGGCGAATGTGCTTCCCGCGTGGCCTCGAGGCTTCGCGTCTGGCTGGGTGCTTCGTTTTATAGAGAAAACGATTCAAGCCATAGGTGTCCTTTTTTGTTGTTTTGCTTAGAAAATAGAAGGCCCTGGTTTACCTGGTGGTTCAATCGTCTACCAGGGCCATCTATTTTCCAAAAAGGAGACCTATGATTCAAGCCGGAAATCCATGATACAGGTTCTTCAATCCAAGAAGCTGTTAAGAGCCTTTCAGTGCTGAGATATATATACTATTAATCCTGACCTGGCAGCAAGTTTTTCCGTTTACTGTGGACGGACGAATTCCTGCACCTGCTATCCCAGTTTCCGTCCGAAAGCAGGTATTTGTGCGGCAAGCCCGTGACTTATGTTATTTTTTCCTCTACACATCAGTAGGTTTTAGGGGCACAGTGCACTCGATGGGGTGGTTTGTCCACCAGTTTTTAGGGTCCAGCGACTCACACCGCCAGGTCAAAGATGGCCTTAGGGAACCACACATTTCGGTGGTAACCAAGGCCTTGCCAGCTGGTGACCTCCTCGGGTAACTGGGATGCACTGGGGGCAGTAACCACTCATTTTCTTGTTTGGCAGGGCGGTTTCTTTGTATACTATGCAGTGTGGAATTTCTGGGAAGACTTACACTGTCCTTTTGCATTCCTCCAAAAGTTTCCTTGATGGATTAGAAATGCGGGTGTCGCCAGGTTCTAAAGCTTGAAATCCGTTCCAGTGTTCCTCTCTTTCATTGCTATTGGGTTTGGTTCGCAACCTTAAACAGTTCGAGGAAACGCATTTTCCTCAGCAACCTGCAAAAAAAATGAGCAACGTCCAAAACCTCAGTGTAAGCAACTCCTCCACTTCACATGTGTCGTGTAAGCCCAATACGTGCATTGCGTAAGACTCGCGTAAACGGGATGACACGTTTAGGACATGGATCAGTTCGGCTTTTTCTGCAGGAGAAGTTGCCATCAAGTGTATTTGGCAGTATTAGCCTTTAGGTTGCTCACAAGCTAGTGTTTAATGGTGTTTATACATGTTGTTGTCGCTGCCATTGTATGGTTGTTTGACTCAACTATGGGTTTCTTCGTGCATGTGCTCATGCATAGTTATGCATGTTGTTACTTTATGTTGTATGAATATGAATGTCTTTATGACATATGTGTTCGTTGTTCATTTGTTTCGTGATGATTGTTGGTTTTTAATCATAATGTGTTGTTTGTGTTATTTGATGTAGGTAGTTTGGTTGTTTCTCACACAGCGTTTGTTGGTTATTCACAGGGGAAGCGCATCCTTCCATTGGGTTTCTTAACGGTGGTGCAATTCACCCTACATGTTGGTGACAAAAGCAACATTTGTTGTTGGAATTTTGAGGGTCCAGGTACTTTGTTTCTTGATGTATCCATGTCTTGCTCTGAAGCCAGAGCAGCGGAAAGTGACGGAGACGACATCCCGTCGCACCACCATTACCCACCTCACAAGCACCACACACGCAGAGAAATGCAACTCAATGGCTGATTGTATACTTCCATATGAACCCATGGCCATTTTGACTGTTCGGGGACGGATTTCCCACAATTACGATGCAACCAATGGTTGATTAACCCATAAACTAGGGGTTCATACCAGGGCTTTGTATATGGACTGTATATACATTCAGCCTTTGAGCAACACCATACGAAACACAGACACACACACACAAAGACGCAAACAAGCAAGCAAAGAAGACGAACACAGACAATTCAAAAACAAGCAACGGGGCAACCAAACAAACACACAAACAAGCAACCAAACAAGCAAACAAACAAATAAACAGACAAACAACCTGTCAACAACAAGAACGCAAACAAGCAAGCAAGCGCGCAAACAAGCAAAATGAACCAGGCAAGCACAAACGACAAGCTGCAAACACAATGGGGAAAAAAAACAGCTGTATTCAACCCAATAACGTCAAACTAGCCGACAAAGATGCACACAAACTAGCAAACTAGCAAGAAAGCAACTTTCATTTGCTCAAGAATAGTTTTTGCATTGTCGGTTTAAGAGGACATCTATCACTACTGGACATAGTTTCTCTTTTTTCCAAAGGGCGAACAAGCCAATGCAAGAAGCAGGCAATCAAACAGGCTTTTGCCATGCCGCGAAGCCCACCCCCCAAGAAAATCCGGCTCGCAGGCGCGTGGGGAGAGTAGGGCGGCATTGGCATTCAGGAGGAAGGCTGCCTAGAGTCTCCATGACCCCTAGAAACAGGGGTCATAACTCCCCAGTAACTGTTCAGTGAGAGTACCTGGAGTCTCCATGACCCTTTAAAAATGGGTCCATGACCATTTTGGGTAGCGAGCCCATTTAACCCACACCTTCCATTTGCGAGGTTTCGGCTTTCTTTTTTGGGGGGGTGTCCCTTCAAGGAGTACCTGGGCGCTCAAACTACCCAGAACAAAGATGGATTTCACCAAGAATAATTCGGGGTGCAATCAACAAATAGGTGCCATTTTGTTTCCATAGCCTTTGGGTGTTTGGGGGCCGGAAGTAAGGAGTTGGTCCAAGTTCCCACTTCTGTAGTGAACCTCGCCGTAGGAAAAATCGGTTTGCAGGCCTTCCATGGGTACTGTTGAGCCATTCCTAAACTTTCCTTAGGGAATGACCCCGAGAAACAACCATCCCCGATTTGGTTTCCCTTGAAGGAATCACTCCCTGGACCCTCAAACTACCCATAAAAAAGGGGCATCACCCCAGAGTTGTATGGCAACAACCCATTTTTGCGGGAGTTTTGGTAGGTTCATTCCCAAGACCCTGGGACATTCCCCGGAGCATCAGCAACTTTTCCGGTTTACCATCTAGATTAACCGAAGTGAGGCTGAAATCCGGGGTGCTACGGAGCGCGGAATCTCATGTTCGGTTTTGCTTTTTGCTGTGACACATACCAACGCTAGCGTGAAGGTCTCTTTTGGCGTCTTGGGTAGACTCCTATAACTGCTTTGGATAGCTCATATGGGTTTCTCAAAATGGGGGACCCCCAAAGACGTGCTGTGGATTGTATCGAAATCCATTTCACACCACCTAGTAACCCTGGAAAATACACCGGTAGAACGTTTGTTGGTATTTACAGGGATCGTATCATTCCAGGGTTCTGAAAAGTGGTGCCAAAATTCGCAACCGTCCACAGTATGTTGTCCTTGTTTTCCTTGCAAACAGGGTCCATTCAAAACCCGGATAAGTGAAGGTATTGGACAGTCCCAACCAGAAAAATCGGTGCGGATATCCGCCCAGTTCTTTGCATTGGTTTCGGATTACGACCATTTTACTTTGTAGTTCCCAGTCATCCCCTTAGTTTGATTTTAGCTTTTTGGTGTTTAGTGGTTGGATTTCCTCATTTTTCCTACAAGTTGCTGACTTTTTTGGGGGGGATCTCAAACCGGACAGACCAGTTGAATACCAATCGGTGTTGGTCCAAAAGTCATGAATCCCCAGCAGAACCAAGGATACCCCCACATTTCTAAACATGGGTTCTGCTGAATCTGGTGTCAACATTACCAGGTTTGACCCTTGAAACATGGTGTCATTTCCCAATCATGGTCCAGTTTTTAAAGGGTCATGATGTCATGGACTCTCCAGGATTACCATTTTAATACCGCTCTGTTTTGATTTTGTCACTGACCTGCGACCGGTTGGTTGACTCGCCAGCTTTAAGCGGACTAAAACTCTTGTCTTTGTTTCCACCAGCCTGTTTCTGAAAAACTTCCCGTGCTTCTTTTTGTCATCGACCCTTTCAAGGGAAGGGTCGACATGAACACTTGGGACAGGTTCTGCGGCACACTGTTTGCTATTGCAAAAGAAACCTCGAGGCAAACAAGCCGCTGCGGATGCTGAAGGCGGCCGGGAGAAAAGCAAACAGTCGGAGGTCGGAGACGTGAGAAGGCTTTAGACTTGGTCAGCTGCTGGGTTGGATCTGTAGACTTTAACTTTTTGATTGAAATCAAGTTGGGTTTTCCACTACACCCCCAAAAGGTTCCCCCTTTTTGCAGGGGGGTCAACCGCAACCAAGTAGACGAGGCTTGGATCTGATCTTCGCCCGCGGTTTCTGAAAAGTGCGAAATGGATGACTCGCAACCAGTGTGACAGTAGACCTTTTTGGCGGGACTTGGATCACTTTTGTTTTGTTGGTGATTTGGGAATTTGTGAAAGGTGCGAAATTGCTGAATGACTGCACCCAGTGTGACAGTAGACCTTTTTGGCGGGACTTGGATCACCTTTGCTTTGTTGGTGATTTGGGAATTTCTGAAAGGTGCGAAATTGCTGAATGACTGCAACCAGTGTGACAGTAGACCTTTGTGGCGGGACTTGGATCACTTTTGTTTTGTCAGTGATTTGGAAATTTCTGAAAGGTGCGAACAGGCTGAATGACTGCAACCAGTCTGACAGTAGTACCTTTCAGAATATGTGTTTGCCCCCTTGGTGTAGTGGGAATCCATCATCGCCGGATATTTTCGCTTCCTGGAAAGACGGAGCTCAGGGTCCATTTTTTGTTGAGTTGGTACCCCGTGTTTGGTTGAACATCGTAAACATGGGGGTTTTGGGCGACCCCTAGGACTTGAAGCCCTCATCGGCAACATCACATCCGAGTGCTCAAGAGAGATGATCTCTTGAGGTCTCACGTCCCCAGTTTGTTGGACTTGAAACTTTTGGGGTTTGGACCTTTGTTTTGGGTAAGCATCTCTGAGCCCACCCAATCAGCAAGTGCAGTTTTGGCCCATATGCCCCAGTTGAGGGTTGGGGCACACATTTGAAAGTGTACTTGTTAAGGCCATAAACCTTCACCAGTGTTTTTTTTGTTTTATTTCAGACTACACATTGAACTGAAGACCCCTTTGTTCTGGCTGAGAATTATGGGAAATCAGCCCCCTCTAAAGTCCCAAATGGCCATGGGTTCAAACAAAAAGGAGAGTTGTTAAACATATGGCCCATTTTTTGGACTCTGACAACCATGACAATCTTTGATACTCCGCGGAAAAAATGAAAAAGCAAGTAGGGTCGAGCATGGGCGCGTTCGGCATGGGCTCGCGAGGCTCCAGTGGCGCTGCGTGGGTTCGGGCATCTGCGCCAGGCCTTCTTGACGCGGATGGGGTGGATGGAGGGGTGTGAATGTTGACCCCGGATGAATGATCCCCAGTTTATTCATACCCAGATGGTGTCTTGGCACCTTTTTAGGATGCACTTGTGGGGTCAAAACGGGGTCAACGTATATCCTCACAAGGGACTTGGATAGGGGGATGTCCCTAGGTTTAGTGGGGAATCAGCGTTTTTAGTGGTTTATGGAGTCAACATTCTGGAATTTGTATAAGGGGTAGGTGCAAAGAGAGTGAGTGGTAGGTTGCTCACCCCCTACCTACCAGCAGCCGCAGGCTTTCCAAGCGCTCTTTACAGGAAAGCGCCAGCGTGTTCGAAAGGTCGGTCCAATCTGGGAGGTTTGGGACCTGAAACCGAGCCCGCAAAGGTTTGCTTGGGCAGAGCTTTAAGGCTTTAAGGCTTCGCCTGATGTGTTTTCCTCTGACCAGGTTTCCAGCTTCAGCGGGCCCATCGGTCCATTTCTCTTTGGGTGTGTCTCTGAGGCTACCACCCAAAAGAGTGCTGGCTGGTGTCCCCTTAACACCAACCAGCAAGGGCGGGTTCGGTACAAAGTGTTCCTTGTTACAACCAGCGCCACACACACACACACACACGCACTTTTCGCGCAGGCGAACCGCGAGCTGCGGATGCAACGAGAAAGCTCGCCGATGCCTCAGGGCCCCAGAGACGGCGTTTTTGACCAGGGGGTTCGGTTCGGGTTCAGTTTACGCCTGGGGAGCAGTCCGGGCTTTCAACATGGACGCTGTTTGTTTGTTTTTTTGAGCGGCCTGGACCCTCCACATACAGTAGTTCTGGGCAGTTTGAGGGTTCCGGTGGGCCTTTTCAGCTTGGCTTCAATTAACGCCAGTCTTGAAGACTGGTTTTGGTTTGTGTTTGTTCAGTGTTGACACATAGCCACATTTACTTTCTTTCTTTTGTTTGCATATCACAGTAACGTTAGGGTGTCTGGTCGCGGTGTTGAGTCCTCGAGTTTTGGGAGTTGGCCGAGAGACTATTGCTTTCGACATAAAAGTGCACCCAACAACCCGAACAGAGTTCCAACTTAAACATGAGGCAACTTGCAACCCAAGATTAATTTAATCGGTAGGTTAAGGGTCCGTGCACCTTTCTTGGCGGCTTTGTCCTTCTTTTTTGATGAACCGTTCGGGCCTTGTTGTGGCATTTTTATGTGGCTTATTCCCCTTTACACCTCTGGGTGCTGTCGGGTTTTGGCTTGAACTTGCCCAGATCCCTTTGGTTCATAGGCCGAAGCAGATGTCCTCGACTTTGTTGGATTGAAGCGGACAACACTTGCTGGCGCTCAGTTTGGAATACCCCTGGCGCGATGAACCGGAAGGGGTTCCCTTAAAGGAAGCCACACGGGCATTGCCCCCTGACAGCCAGCAAGATGAAAAGTTGAAAAGGAGGATCTGGACGATGTGCTGGCATTGCATTCTTTTTTGGCCGATCCACTCCGGAAGTCCACAAATGCTTATTAGTTCCTCGTCTGTGTTCCTGCACCTGACCCACAAGGTCCAGCGCGTGGAGTTGATGCGTACACAAACGATATCAATGACATTTTTGTCCGAGATCGGCCCAAGGAGAAATTGATGACCCTTGGTTAGCCGCATGTTTGGGGTCTCCTCCCTGACAGTTATTTCAGGGTGGACGAAAATCTGAAAATCAGCACATAGCTTTCTGTGTACCACACTTTGTCAATCGCCAACAAGGAGGGGTCTCTTGTTGCGCCCAGCCCCTGCCCCAAGGACGTGGATGACCTGCCCACGCCCTGCTACGTGGGCTACCGCTCGGTGATCGCGCGGAACGCCGAGCGCATGCTTTCGCGGGCGAAAGATCTGGGCTGCAAGCTGCGGCCGCACATGAAGACCCACAAAACCGCAGAAGGCTCGGCAATATTTCTTGAACAGCCTTTAATATACCCCAATTTATTAATACGGGTGTTCCTTGGTTTAGTAGGGAATCAGACCACTTTTGGAGTGGAACACCCCCCTGTCAATAAACTGGGATTGATGAGTACGGGGTCAACATTATAGAGTTTTATCAAAGGAAGTTTGGAAGGACCGTAAGCGCAGAAGACAAGTAGATCAGAAAAAACACACGAATGCGAGTGGAGGGGATTGGTCAGAAAGTGGAACCCTCTGCGGGCTTCAGATCCGACCTTGCGCAAGTGCTGCGCCTGCCACGCCAGCTGATGTCGCGAACAACTGCGCGCGCGCGTCCGTGGCAATGGGACCCGGGTCCAAGAGCGCTCCGAACGATAGCATGCATGTTGCAAGGGTCTTCCATGGATTGCGCGGTTCTGTCCTTTCTCGCGGATGTCCAAGCCGCGCGTGCACTTTGACAACAGAGGCATCGCGGTCATTCTGCAGTGCGGCAGCTGGACATCAGCGAGCGCCTGCAGAGCCGCTGGCCAAGTTTGCCAAGGTGCAGACAGCTCTAGCCTCCTTGGGCTTCAGAAGGAGACGGCTTCGTACTTCCACCGCGCGCCACTCAGGCTGCGGCTGCGAATTGCTGCTGCTTTGGTCACACACACACAGACGTTTGCAGGCTTGGACAGCTCTGCGCCAACTTCTACAGCTCACAATTTGCAAACCTCCGCCTGGCGGCTTTGCCGGCCCTACCGGCAACCATCTTGGATTCAAGCGCTTCAAGGGGTGCAGGCGCTCGCAGCACGCGTGGTCTCCTTGTTTCACCTGGGCGGCCTGAAAAACCTTTCGCCACGCGCAGGCGCTGTGCTGGCCACCGGCGGCACCAAGCGCTGCCTCGCCGTCTCCACCTTGGCAGAGGCGGAGTTCTACGCGGACCACGGCTTCGAGGACATCTGCTACGCGGTGCCCATCACCAAGGACGACTTGCCTGGTTCGTTCGTGGATTCGTCTTGCGCGCCAAGAATTGACATGCCCCTGAAACAAGACGGCTCCACAAGGACTGCAGTAAGAACCGTTTTCTGGCTGGGTCTCAAGCTAGGCTGAGACAATCCCAGTTGAGTCATAGTCAAAACCTGAAGGACCCTGAGGGGTTGGGGTGCATTGCCGGGATCTACAACTTCGAGCGGTTTTGGGAATGAGCCGTTCTGGATCACTTCAACTGAATCTGCAAGGGAAGATTTCCGGGGGGTCATTTGTCAGCCGGGCAATGTGGTAGATGTGAATTTCATACGTGTGGGCCTAAGTAAAGACACATATATAGACATATATATATATAGGCAGTTATTTGTTTGAGGGGTCTGCAACAGAGCCGCGGCGGACATTCGTTACAGACCTCGTTACAGACCTCTGTAACAAGACCAGCTGGCTCGTTACACACCCTCGTTACACGCCCTCGTTACACACCGGGCCAGTGAAGTGACTGCCCTCTTTTTGCCACAGCTTGGCTTGCGTCGAATAGCTGCAATCAAGCTGGAGCTGCGGAGGCGCTTTGCGTACTGTGCCTTGCTTTGCCTCGTTACAGACCTCGTCACATAGCCGTTACATACCTCGTTACAGACCCAACCCCAGCCCGGGCCAGCGACCCTGCTTTTTGCCGCAGCTTGGCTTGCGTTAAAAAGAGCTGCGGAGGCGTGCTTTGCATGCCGTGCTTTGCTTTTCCTTGTTACAGACCTCGTTACATAGCCGTTACATACCTCGTTACAGACCCAACCCCAGCCCGGGCCAGCGACCCCCCTTTTTGCCGCAGCTTGGCTTGTGTTGAATAGCTGGTGCTGCGGAGGCGCGCTTTGCGTACTGCGCTTTGCTTGGCCTCGTTACAGACCTCGTTGTACCTCGTTACAGACCCAACCCCAGCCCGGGCCAGCGACCCTGCCTTTTGCCGCAGCTTGGCTTGCGTTGAGTAGCTGCAATGAAGCTGGAGCTGCGGAGGCGCGCTTTGCGTCCTGCGCTTTGCGTCCTGCGCTTTGCTTTGCCTCGTCACAGACCTCGTTTCATAGCCATTACATACCTCGTTGTGCTGCGCTACATTGTGCTCCTGTTTCTGCTTGTCAGGATTTCTCCCGTTACAGACCTGCGCAACAAGGACCTCCGTTACAGACCTCCGTAACAAGACTCGTGCCGCCTCGCGCGTTACAGACCCCTAAAAAAAACATAGCCGTATATATATATATATATATATAAGAATAGATAGGAACAACCGAAGCAGTCAATGACTGTAAGTTTGTGGTGCATTCTTATGGTGTTATCTGTTTATATCTTCCAGAACATGATGTATATATATATGTATATATATTTATATAACGACCTTTCCGTTTGCATATCTGCACACGCAGACGTACATGGAATGTCATGTCACCGGGTTAAATTTTCTTCAGGAGAAGCTTCCGCGGGCCTTCGCGCTGCTGAAGCGGCTGCAGGCCTTCCACGTCTCGGTGGACCACCCCGCAGCGGTGGAGGCCTTGTGCGGCTTCTACGCGGCGCCCAGGCGCGGCCGGGGGTTGGCTTCGGCTTCGCTTGGGGCGTCGGTCGATTTTGGTTTGGAGTTTTGTTTGTTTTGGATCTTGCCGATTTTGTATTTCGATTTTGGTTTGGAGTTGTGTGTTGTTTTTGGTTGAAGGTCACAAACATGGGGGTTTCGAGCGACCCCTAGAATTTGAAGCCCTCTTAAGGCGACAGCGCACCTGTGGAGTTGGGACGAAAAGGTTGCACCAATGTGGGTCTACCCTAGTCCGGGTCCGGGATTTGGGAATGAACCGGTTTGGGGATTCCCAAATCAAGCAAACCATGATCATTTGTACGGGCGTGTGGCACCAATCCACATCCAAGCTGACATCATGCTGACATCCCACAAAGGGTTTCAATCCAATTCGTGCCACCATACATTGTCTTGCTGGCGCGGTAGGTAGGGAATGACTTTCCGATTCCACGTGTTGGGAATGTTCATGCATAAAGCAAACCAAAAGCAAAGCATATGGATAGTTTCTTTTCGGGGTCATTCCAGCGCATTCCCTGCTGGGAACAAGCAAGAAAACCCTCACCAATTTTAAGCCAGCCCCAAAGAACTCTCTCTTCTTCACCCCAATTTGACCCGCATCCCAGCCCACTCCCAACCCCAAACAATCATCCCAGCCCTTGCCCACTCCCACCCTCCCGCTTCCTCCCCCTCCCACCCTCCCGCCGCAAGAGACTCTCTGCCCACAGGTCCCCGACCAACTGAGAAAGAGCCAACAGTTCATATCCTAGTTGTGCCATTTGTCCTTTCTTCGCGAGTTTCAATACAACTAACTCCCAACACAAAGGGTGCCTTTTTTTCATGGACACTGGCGGTCTTGGTCGTGCAAAGTCGCTCGCACCGTGTCCAGTCGAGAGGAAAATGAACTTCCAATTTGTGGGAGGAAGGCATGCAATTAGACAACAACCACTTTCACGAGAAAACGTGTTATGGACCTTCATAGTGTTTGTGTTTGTGTGTTTCTGGAAAGTGCCCTTTTCGGGAGTGGTTTGAAGGGATGCCAGAAAGAAATCCGCATCTTGTGGATCCCCCCAATTTGAGACTTGCCCAGTTACAAAGTGCACAGTATCTCTGGTTGATAAGTCCCCTGAACTGTTGGGGGAATGTCTTCCCATGTCTTCTCCCAGTTGATAAGTATCCTAAGTAAGTCCCACTTGGACGACTTATAAATTGAGGATATTCAGCACTTACCAAATGGGGACCAGCCAACTGCAAGTGGCTCACTAAGCCTTGAGGAAAATAAGGCAAGAAAGAAACGAGGCGTTTTTTTTTGAAACTCCAACTGTTGAGGGTGGGTCCTTGAATTCAGGAAGTGGTCCGTCTTCCTCATGGTGGACTGCGGCTATGGCCGTGACGGCGGGGGGCTTGCTTGCCAACTTGCCGAAATTGGCTCGCAACTATAGTTCCCAAGAACCGCTTGAACAGACTCAAGTTGATGGTAAACAACACGGGGTTGGTGGGAAAAGGTGGTACAGCCAATTATGAACCCACCCAGAAAAAACACTTCAGTCGGTAAAAGTCTAAGGCCTTGTCGGTTGGGGTCTGGTGATCCTTGAGCTGGTTCGCCTGCTCGCTGGCTTGTTTCAATGGCCAGCTACCCAACATGCGTTCATGCATTTCCCACGTGGCACGATGGGTAGAATGTATGAATCCCATGCTCACCAAGACACTACGGGTAGTGGCTACCCTGCAGAACCACAGGTTTTGTCCCTCGGCCGCAATTGAAGTGCGAGTCTGGCAGTCAATTGCCATGTTACACGGGTGGCCGGGGGATAAGTTTCCCTGAACACATGAATGGAGGAACAAGCGATTTCGCCCATGAAGGAAACCAGCGGAAGTGAAGGCGGTATTGTCCCGGTGACCATGGGGTTTTGTGAGCTGCAAAGGATGGCTATCACCCTCAAACTGCCCATACAACAGGGATTTCACCCCACCAAGTTTCAAGGGAATTTCGAGTGTCCAGGCACGTGCATTTATAAATGCAAACACCCAGTGCTTCTAGGAACCATCACGGAAACCAGCACAAAAGGTTGCATGGAACACCTGGCAGAAAGTTCAGTTTATCCACTAGACTATAGCGGTAAGTGGAAGCGCTGGGTGTGTATGTATAATATGTGCATGTATGTTGATACGACATTATGCAAGGCTTATTGCACCGATGTTGAGAGATCAATTGCTCTGACACTAGGAAGCTTTTAGAGGCCTATGCCAACTAGGTTTCCTTCAGAATAAAGTAGCAACCGTTACAAGCATTCTGGCTATGTATCTATATATATATATATATATGTGTGTATTTACATTATATACACATCTATTGTATACCCCGATCGCTTTATATTGCACCATTTTGCTTCACTTTGCACCATACATATACATATATGTATATATATAGATTGATCTTCCCCTACAGGCAAAATGTCATGAGGTTCTACAGCCTGGCATTTTTTCGGATGATAGCAATCTCGATTCTAGCGCCTTAGCCATGTGAGAGGAACCGTGTGAGCCAGGGACCTGGGTGAACTTGTAAGTGAGTCACCCCATGACCAACTTGCAGCTGGGTTCACCTCAGTCGGGGGACTTGGTGGCTTACCTCGTTGCGAATCTGGGTTTCTCACTTGGGTGGTTCAAGCCACTTAGGCTATGACCATGGCTCGGCACCTATTTGGCTCCGAAACGGGCCATATGTTTAACCCGTGTCTCACGGGGTTCCCCCTACGTATATATATATATACATATATATATGTATATATATATATATAGATGCATTTTTCCCTAACACATCTGTGTCCTTTTCTTTTTAAGAAGAAGATAGCAAACCTATGCATATCTACATTTGTATATCTATATATACATATCTCCGCCACACATCCATTCCCTATGAACAAAAAGACATCCGGGCGTATGTCGCCGGTCTCCCGACGGGACTTGGGGACTTGGATGGGTTTTTGGCGCCAGCGGCTACTGTGGAGGGCTTCGCGAAATCCGCGAGTCTCGCGCCACCGAAAGGAAACCCCACGGAAGGATGTTGGATTTTCCCCCAACGGAGAAAAAAACCAAAAAAAGCACACAACAAAAGCAAAAGATGGTTTCAACTCCACGAGTTCTAATTTGGTGGCGACATGGATTTCGCAACCATCCACAGTACGCAAACGTCTGTTTTTTGAGGGGACATTTCTGGTTGGCTTTAGCGGAAAACCACAAAAAGAAGCCGAAGCCATGTTTGGGGGTTCTGGAAAAAACAGTACGACACCCCCTGAAATAGTGTGGATGGTCGCAATCCATTTCGCACCACCTTTCAGAAACCCTGGAATGATTGGATTCCCCTGCCAATACCAACGAACGTTCTGGTTTCAGCCATGGTTTCCATTTCGTGGTGCGTCCTGGATGTCGCAACCATCCACACTATGAAGGTTATAATTTACGTATATACTCTAGGCATTGGGGTCCAGTCAGGTTCTCAAAGTCGGAAGCAGAGGTTGGCTCCCTTTCAGTACCCACTTTGTGATTGGGTGACTTATGGTACAAAAGCAATATTGGGCCTGAAGAGCTAAAATTGGTCACCTCATTATTTCTTTGGGGGAGCCTCGCTTCAAAGGAACCGCCAAAAGCGAAAACCCCCCGGCGGTTCTCCGCTCGCGTCGCGTCCAGGGGTGGACCCCGCAGAGGAAGCCTCGGCGAAGTTGGCGCAGCGCCTCGCCACCTCGGGGCGCCTTGGCCTTCGCCTTCGCAGCTTCGGGGAATTTAAGGTGACCTTGAGGTGACCTTGAGGGGGGAGCTTGAGGTGCCCTTAAGGTGACCTTAGGGGGGGCTTAAGCTTTAGTTGTTAATTTGGTCGTCCTGAACGCGAAAGAAGGGCCTGGTCTTATCTTTCATTTGAAGTGCCATGGAGACTTCAGGAACTAGCCAGAAACAAGTTGGAAATCCCGAACTACTCAGAGTCTCCTTCTGACCCGTTTTAAAGTGGTTGGTCATAACCCGAACTAAAGGCGGCATGGAGCTTCTTTTTTTTAAGGGTCGTGGAGATACCAGGAACCACCCAGAAGCAAGTTGGAAGTCCCTCGTAATTGTGCAGTACGAGCCCGTTTTTGAAGTTGGAGTTTTTGCGAGCATACCCTCCCTTTTGCTGGGTTTCAAAGGGACACCCGAAGCAAGCCCGCGACTTTTAGAAGGTCATAGCCTTGGTTATGAGCCAGCTAACCCCCGCTTCCCGAGTTGCAACCTTGGCTAAAACCTGTCTATTAACTAGTTTGAACATCTAAGTAGGGAGTTATTGCATGTTGTTCAACATCCCGTGGTTTCATTTCATGAACATGTTACATGGGCGTTCTTCTCAGGCTCGATACAACCAATGTTGGGTCTAATGCAGGCCGAGGCCACTGCCTTTTTGAACCACCAGATGGTTTCTCGCCGGTTCATTTCAATTGGACTGTTGGTAGGTGTATGAAGTCTTGGGTGAATGTTGGAAGGCGTAATTACTAACCCCTGAACACCCGGATTAAATCTCGAACCAATTACTAACCCCTGAACGCAGGGGGCAGATAGGGTCAGGAATTTCCCCCCTGCTCCAAATAACTCACCGAAGTCATTTTCAGAGTTCATGTCCCTACCCCTTTCTCTCTCTCTCTCTCTCTCTCTCTCTCTCTCTTGTAAAACAACACGGTGCAATCTTCAGAATGTACCTTCACCTGTGATGTGCGGCAGCAGCAATTGTACCTCTCTATGTTTCTACCGGCTCACTGTCCAAAGGCTCAAGGCCTCGTGCCAAGACGTCCACATGTACAAGATGTACAAAAGGACATGTACCATAGAGGTGCATTCTTAACACCCCTCCTCAGCTTGTGCGATGTATTGAGCACATAGCTGAAATGTGGGACCCAAAATGTACACCAATCTAGGGGTTCGGAGTGATGTAAGCTATGCGTGTTGGCAACTACGGTGAGACGCCAACCAGCTATACAACTGTGCTCCTATCTGTGCGAACGGTGCACCCGAATCTGTCCGCTCAAATTATCACTGCACCATGGCATATCCCTTCTGTTCGTTGAGGATCTGCCTGTACAGCGCATTCCTGTCAGCCAAGTGTTTCAAATAGTGCGTCTGCACCTGTTCCTGCACGAATGCCGAATGCTCCGGGTGTCCCGGAATCTGCTTGTCCTCCTTTGTTCCCTTCACAGGGATGTTGCCAGATGTGCCGGAGGACATGTGCCTTGTGAGGATAGCCTGCCTTCCAGGCGTGAACTTCTGCAAACTCATCAATCCCATGATCTCCATGGCCATAGCCGTGACCGAATGAATGCGGCTTTCTGCATCAGCCTCATCCACTGTCCTCAGGTCGACGATTGAGTTGTAGGCCCAAACATGGCCCGTGTTCCAGTTGAAGATGTCATAGATCCGCGTCGCGCACTTCGCGGCTGTGATCTTGTGCATCGTGTGCAAGGCCAACTCCATGTCGTCAAACGTGTAGACGGCGTTAGCGTGCAGTTAGACCTGCACCAAGCTGTACCCCCGATTGAACGTCGACATATATCGACGCGACAGGTGTTCCTGGGTGTTGCGACTGTTGAGGGAGAGTGCCGCGATGTACACTTCATCCATGTGCGCAGTGCTGACCAAATTGTCGGACATATGCCACGCCAATGTGGAGAGTGCCTCCAATGGACATGTGCTCAGAATGAGGTACGGGATGTGGGGCTGCCTAACCCAACCTGCCAAAGCATGCAGTTTTCCTGTCTCTGATGTCCAAGAAGTGAACTCCTCCTTGGTCATGGCCATGTACAACATCTCATGATTGCGCTCTGCATGCATATTGTCCAACGGCTGCCCAGTGGTGTTGAGATTCACCACTGTGTACCCCAGCGATGTGAGGGACTGGCTGTCCCATCGATGCCCTATGGACCTCTCAGTGGGCGCCTTGGGCTCACTGATGTCGATTAGGGTGCACATCGAACTGGCCATTTGCATTTTGTTCTGCAAAACTTTGCAAAACATGCACTCAATGCAGGTAGGAAACAAAATGGCTGCGAGGAAACAAAAAAAAACACGTACTCTCAACTGTCGGACAAAAGATGTCAATCAGGTTGTGCTGCATTGTCAGCAGAGAAATGTCCATGGCCATATGTCCAAATGTGAAACGCTGCGCCCTGTGCTCATGTTGTATAAGCAGACAAGTGACAAGGTGCAGAGTTGTTACGATACCACAAGTACGTGCAATACTGTGGATGTCACTGGGTCGTATCTGTCGAACATTACGTGTGTTACATACTGTTCATCATGTGTGAAACTGCGGTTGTGGTGGTCACATCCGAGATGTGGGCCGGTCTGGAAGACCAACCTGGTAGAGGTGCTTGTGGAGTGTCTCTGTGTTCACTCCTTTGGTGAGGATGTCTGCTGGGTTGTGCTCTGATCTGATCTTGTGCATCGTGATCAGTCCGTGTTTTACTAGTTGTTGCACAAAGAGGTGTTTCAGTTCAATGTGCTTTGCTTTCTTTGATGTGCCTTCTCTCATTGTGATGGATTTTGCTGCGCTGCTGTCGGTGTGTATCTTTAGGTTCGTTTTGATGTCGAATGCTTCCTGTACAAAGTTGCGTATGTACAGGCCTCCTGTGCATGCTGTGCCTATGGCATATAGCTCTGATTCCGCGGAGGAAAGTGCTACTACTGCTTGTGCGCGTGATGCAAAGTGTATGCATGTGCCGAGGTAGTGTATTGCAAAGCCTGTTGTGCTCTTGCGTGTTGTTTGGCATGAGCCCCAGTTTGCGTCGGTGTAGATGTCGATGTCGACCGGGACTCGCTTGTCTCCACGCTGCATGACTGGTTGTATTCTGTGCTTGTAGTGCTGTGTGCCTTTTAGGTCCAGGTATCTGAGCAAGTGTTTAACTCTCTGGTTGTCGAGTTGTGTTGGTGCCTGTAAGGAACGTGCAAGTTCCTTTGCTGCAAAGCAAATGTCTGGTCTGGTGTATGCTAGCCATTGTATCTTGCCAGCTGTCCTTCTGTATGCTTTGTGTTCCTCTGTGTTCAGAGGTTGCTCTGTGTTGGTGTCTGTCTTAAGTGCTGGTTAACATGGTGTTGGTGCTGGGTTGCAGTTGCTCATGTTTTCTTCAGCCAGGATGTCGTTGACGTACTTGTCCTGCAGGCTGATGTCCACGCTGTTTCCGTTGTGTGTAATCTTCCTTCCGAGAAAGGAAATGGTTGTACCTGGTTGTAGTTCACCTGTGGGTCGTAGAAGAACCTCCTTCTCGATCTGTTCGAAGATCTTGTTGATGATGTGTCCTTCTCCAAGTAGAAGTAGGTCGTCGACGTAGATCATGATGTAGTTGGAGTCTGTTTTGAGTCGTGTTAGTCCAAGCTTTGTGAGGACTGTTGCTATGTGATCTTGCCACTGTTTGGGACTGGACCTAAGGCCGTACGTTGCTTTGTTGAGCCGCCAAACAATGTGCTTGTTGTTCGCATCGTAAAATTCTTGTGGCGGTCTCATGTGGATGTCCGTTGTTGCTGCTATGGCATGTAGGAATGCCACGCTGACATCACCTGTGCGAACTTTCCATCCTTTTGCTAGTGCTGTTGTGAGAAGTGTGCGAAGGATGCTGAACATTGGTGTTGATGCGTACAGTGTGTCTGTGTCTGCTATGTTTTCGGTGTAGCCTTTTGCCACTGTGCGCGCTCTGACTTCATCTCCTTTTGGTTTCAGCACCCACTTTGCTTCCACAATGTTTCGTTGTTGTTCCGGCGTGAGTGTTCTGATGTCAACCTCTGTGAAGACATTGTGTTCCTTCATTTGCTTGATCTCTTTCTTCATACCTTCTGCCACCAGTTGTGGGTCTAGGTCCTCCGTGTTGGTGTTGTTCAGGATTGGTTCTAGTAGTATTCTTTCCTTTTCTGCTTCCTGTTGCTCCTCGCAAGATGTTGCTTCTATTGGTTGTCCTGTTTTGTTGTTTACTGTGATGGCTCCAATCCTGAGCTTCATTTTCGGTTGCTCTGTTTGCTCTGGCCTTTCCTTCTGCTGTTGCGCTGCTTCCGTTTTCTGTTGCTTGCTTGTGCTTCCTTCTGCTATTTCATCTGCGCGTGTTCGTGTTGGTGGTGGTAGTGGTGGTCGTCTTGATGTCGTCGGTGAAGTCGCCATTGGTGATGTAGGTCCAGTATCTCCAGGAAGAAGTCGTTGTTTTCTTGGTGATCCATCCTGCTGCGGCGCTCGCTTATGCTCGTTTGTTGTGCTTGTTCCTGCATCTTGCGTGCGTGTGCGTGATGTGTCTGTTCCTGTTTCTCTTGTTGGTCGCGCTACTCTTGTTGCGATCGGTGCTGTCGGTGGTGGTATGTGCCATGGTCCTGCGTTGACTACATCCATCAACTGCTGGTTGTATTTGTGTGGTGCTATTGTTCTTCTGACTGTCCTTGCTCGTATGACTCTGTTGCTGATTCCAAGGATGTGTTCCCCTGTGCTCTCATCTCGACCCAACCAGATGCCGTCGAAGAAGCGCTGTTCCAGTTTTGGGTATTGTTTGAGTGTCGGAACCATGTACTGCACTGTTTCTCCAAACTCGCAGAGTGGAGTTTGTGGGTTCTTTTGCCACCTGTTGAAGTAGCTTGTGTGTCCGTTGCTGTGAATGGCATATCTGTTGAGGATGTAGGCGCTGTGCCTTACCATCCATGCCATTAGTGGGTGTTGCAGGTTGGTCTTTCTGTTGTAGTTCTGTTGGAGTTGTGCTCTCAGTGTCCTGAATTGTCCAAACAGTGTGCGGTGTGCTCTTTCAACGCTTCCTTGTGATTGTGAGCTGTATGTTGGCGAGAACCTCACTTGCATGTGTCCTACTCTGTGTGCTGTTGTTTTGATCAGTGCTTTGAGGTAGTCCTCTTGGTCGCTCTGTAAGATGGCATGTGTGCGGCCGCATTCCAGAAGGAATGTCTGCAGCTGTTGTACTGCGTGCTCGAACTGTTGTTGCTTGTCTCTGATGAGCACTGCCATCATCATGCCTGTCTGTATGTCGATTGCTGTAAGAACCGGGGTTGTTTGGTACGACGGGTCGTCAAAGCTCTTCAAGTACGCGAAGTCAAGTTGTACTACTGGGCTTCTGCTTGTTTGTTGCTGCTTGTGTGCGTCTGCTTTGCCTCTTGATTGTGTGCATATTTTACACCAACTCCTGTAGGGAAGGTGTGTGAGCTCATGTTCTGCTAGTTCTTGTGCTGTTGGTTGCTTCGGTGCTGGTATTGCTTTTGCTCTGTGTGCTTGCTGCTGTGCTTCTTCATCATCTCCTGGATGTAGTTGCGTGTCGTACTGCGCGTTCTCCTCGAAGTTGGTCGAACCTGTCCACAGAAAATCGTGGGATTTGTTGGGCTGCGTTGTCCACTCGTCCTCGATGTACTTGTGCTCGTTGTTGTCGCCGACCTTCGTAGATCTTGTACCGCGGAAGGGCGTGAGGTTCTTGATGTCTGGTCCATCTGTGGTGTTCTCCGGGATGTAGAAGTCCTGTCCTGCCGTGGTAGAACATGTACTCGTTTCCAAAGATGTCCTTCGCGAATCCAGTAGTCCGATGTTGGGGTCATGTGGTGTGGTTGTGGAATTCCTTGCGCTTGTGGTGTTGTCTTTGTTGTCAGTCTCATCTTTGGGTTGTAACTAATGACATGTGGAGTGATTCTTGTTGCTGCCTGTCTTCCTATTGCGGTGGTTGACTGTGCTGCCGTTTGCGGTTGCTTAGCCGCCATTTGTTGTTGCTGGGCCGCCGACTGCTGGTGCTGTTTCTTGATTCGGAAGACTGTTTCACCTTTCCACGAATGTGGGAGCGTTCTGTGTTGTTGCTTGCTGTCTAGTGTCTGATACTGTTCTTCGATGACGTATGTTGCGCCATCTTGCTTCTTGACTGTGGTTCGCCTGTAGTTTTCCAGTTTGTCGAGCGACACTGGACATTCTGTTCGTTCGGGTGTGAACAGTGCTTTCCTGTACACTCTGTGTACTCGCACGAGTTCTCCGCTGTTGTTGTATTGCCAGAGGTCACTTGTGCCTCCTCTGACAATGTCTGCTCCCGTTGGCGTGAGAGTTGTTGGTGCTATCGATGTGATTGGTGCTATTGTTGCTACTTGTCCTTGCGGTGTGTCCCTGACTTGTAGCTCCATGTTGTCCGCCATGATGCTAATGTGCATCTGTAGGAACAGCAGGCCATTCTGCTGTACCAGGTTGCTGTGAAAGCCTTTGCTGTGCTGCATGTTCGGTTGTTCGTCAAGTGTGATTTTGAACCCTTGTTGAACCAACCTTGTGACCGAAAGGATTGGTTGTTTGACGTCGCAAACATAAAAGGGTATCACTATGTGTTGTCCTGCGTCGTTTTGCATGCAGATCCATTTGTACCCGTGTACTTTGATTGGTTGGTTTGTGACTGTTCTGAGTTGTGGTCCTGTGTCCTCTTGTATCTGTTGCAGTGGGTAGTCTGTTGCAAACCATGTTGGGCAAACATGTGTTGCTGCTCCACTATCTATCATGAGTTGCACTGCTCTGTTGTCCATATCGCTTGTGTCTGCTGCTTGTATTGCTCCAATGAGCATGTCGTCTATGCCTGAGACGACCAGTGGTGTGGTGTTGGTTGGTGCTGCCGGTAGTGCCAACTGTGGTGCTTGGTTGTACGGTGTCTGGTCCTGGTTGTACCAGGTGTTGTCGTAAGTGTCCTGTGTGTTGTACCACTGAAACGAGGGGTCTGTGTTGTTGTAGTCTCCATCCGTGTCCAAGTTGTAGACCGGAACTTGGCAGTTCTTGGCGAAGTGTCCCGGTTGCCCACATCTGTAGCAGATGTTCATTGCTGTTTTCCCTGTTGCTCCTTTGCTGTATCCCTTTCCTTTGTGTTTTCCTTTTCCTTTTCCTTTGTGGAATCCTGTGAATCCTTTTCCTCCTCCGTATGGGTTTCCTAGTCCTATGGGACCCTGCTGTCCTTTGCCTTTGTAACCTGTGTTGTAGTTAGTGTTGCCTTTGTTGCCGTAGCCGCCGTAGCCCTTTCCTTTGTTGTATTTGCCTTTGTGCTTGCCTTTTCCTTTTCCTTTGTTGTTGGTGCTGGTCCTTGTCCGCTGCTTGCTGATGCTTGTGTCAGTGTGTGTAGTCGTGCAAATGCTGTTGATGCTCTATGGTATTCCAAGATCAGTGACCTGATCTGTGCGTACGTTGTGATTGAGCCTGCTTGTAGCTGTAGGTGTTGCTGCAGTGGTCCTTTTGTCTCGTTGAGCAGTATGGCTATTTTGACATTGTCCGGCAGTGTTGTGTTGTTGTCCCTTTCGTACCGTGTGACCTCAAACTCCCATGTGGTGTAGCTTTCTTCAAACTTATGTTCGTCGAATTGTGGCTTGAGAAGCTTTGTGAGGTAACCGATGCTTCGTGTACCTATGGGTATCGAGAACCGGATGTGGAGTTGTCTCCAGATCTCGAAGCCAGTGTTCGTTGCATGTTGTCTGCAGATTGTTGCTGCAGTGTCGTCGCAAGTGTTAACGAGGATGTAGTTGAGGTCGCTCCCAAGTTGCTTCCAGTGTTCTGCTGTGGCTGTGTCTGGTGCTGCTGTTTCGAGGTCGTCGTTGTCCAGTGTGTGTGTTGCTGTCTCAGCTCCTGAGAGTAGCTGTGGGTATGCTTGGTCTTGTAAGGTATGCTGTCATCTTGTACTTCCACTCCTCGAAGGCCTCATATGTGCCATTGAACCGTGGTGGTGGTATCTTGTATCTGTGCACTTGTGTGACTGCTACTTGTGCTGTGGATGCTTGTGCCATGCTGTGTTACTTACTGCCGTACACCTAAACCTGTGAGTGCGTGTTGGAGCTCACCCTGGGTAGTGTGGGTCGTGTACCAGGGATCACTGCTCCGCTACCATGTAAAACAACACGGTGCAATCTTCAGAATGTACCTTCACCTGTGATGTGCGGCAGCAGCAACTGTACCTCTCTATGTTTCTACCGGCTCACTGTCCAAAGGCTCAAGGCCTCGTGCCAAGACGTCCACATGTACAAGATGTACAAAAGGACATGTACCATAGAGGTGCATTCTTAACATCTCTCTTTCTTTCTCTCTCTACGTAATGCGATTTGCGCAACTCAATGAGTCATTTTTTTGACAGCATATTGTACTTTGCGGTATTGCTGGAAGTATGCCTGCATGAGTGTCTGTACATGTTTTGTGTTGCTTATTATTTCAGTATACGGATAATCTCTTTACCAAAACAGTCAGCACTATAGGTTTTGACAAGCGGTCATACATTTTTAATACTGTTTTCCTTTCGGGTGTTCAAGGGTGGTGTTTCATACTGCCGATGGTCACATCATCTGGCAGCATTTCGCACCACCTTTCAGAATCCCAACGGAATGATAAAGGATTCCCCAACATAAGTACCAACAAACGTTATGGTTTCATGTCGTGGTGTAGGCCCCCTGACATGCTGAGGCCGTAGTGTGGATAGTTGCGAGCTCCAATTCGCACCACCTTTCAGAAAAAGAAAAAAAACTGGAATGAATCGATCGTCCCCGTAAAATCCCAACAAACGTTATGCCTTGGTCTTCCAAGGGCCCGCAAAAACAGGGTCCTTCTTGATTTTGCTCTTGGTTGCCAAAGGAATATCAGGCAAAGGCAACTGCTTTTTCAGGGTGGAAGATCAAGGAAGCGAGGAACCATAACTTGTTTGTTGATATGATGTAGAGGAATCATCATTCCAGGGTTTCAGAAACCGTGGTGCGAGACTGGCGGATGACTCGCAACCCGTCCTCTTGGGCATCCCTTGGCTCCGGTCTGTTGACATGCTTGGAGTTGGTATCCCGTTGTTTTTGTTGGTAGGTTGACGCGGAAATCCAAAGGAAAGGCACCATTCTAGCCTGAAAAGGAAACAACAACTCCCACATGACTCTTTACAAACGGATCGTGCCAACAAAAACAAACACCAACTCCCACATTGTTTTCATATTCCGATGAGGTGGCTTTCTCTTCACTCCAAACAGGGCTCCTTAAACATACATGTCGCCCATTTGAAACATGGCTTTTTCCACCGGAATAAAAGGAAACCACAATTTACAAGCCAATGTTCAGGTGTATAATGTAAGGATGCCTGCCAAACAGCCGGGATTTTTGGCCTTCGAGGAACACCCAGCTGGCGGGGCTGTACACCCACGGCGGCCACTCCTACGACGCTCGCGTCCGCCCGCGGTTTGCACGTCGCAGTTTGGGGGTGCCGTGCCGTCACAGGCCATCTCTGGGGTAGACTTAGGATACATTTTGTTGCATTTTACCACTGACTCAATGTGAAGCAAAGAATAACATATACATTCTACAACTGGGCCTAACTCTAATCATGATCTATCTAGGGTTTGATTCTTTTTGGGTAGGATTTTGGAGTAGCAGGTAGGGAAACACACTTCTAGGGGATGATTCCAACCATTCTTTGCAACCATCGTTCTTTTCACCCGCCGTTTCCCTGGGATTCTGGAGGTTTAGAAAGATCCGGATCCCTAGAAAGAATGGAAATGGAAGGTGCCCCTGGGTGTGGCTCAAAATTAAAGAGCTGGGATTACGCGGGTTTTTGTCTTTGGTTTCATTTACCGAGGTGCCATTTTGGTACACGTCTTTGAGCCACAGCCAACTGAGTTGAAATGACCCGAGATAAACCATGTCTTGAGGCTTCCTTTAAGGGGACTCCTGAGATCATTCCCACATTCCCTACTGAGCACCAGCGAGCTAGGCAAAGGGTATGCCGAGCTCTCACAAAACACCTAGCGTGTGTAAATGGATGGATAAAGACAAGCGGGGAACCAAAAGGGCATGGTAGAAGCACCTGGAATAAGACAAGCACTCACCCAATATGTTAAACCAAAGAACTACCTTGGCCCTTAAAACATGTGTCATTCCCCCAAATAACGGGGTCATGGACCCATTTTTACAGGGTCATGGACACTCCAGGTAAGCACATACACAAAAATGATTCGAGCCTGCTCCCCCAAATCCAAATGGTCAGCTTCCCCAACATCATGTCTTGTATGTCTCTTGATTGAAAAACTACCCGCAATCAAACCCGCAAAGGGGGAAGGTAGTACTTCAGACCCCTCAAATTTGAGCCAGATACTGTATTTCAAGGGTCTTGACCTTGGACAAAATACAACCTGACACCCCATCACATTGGCAGGGGAAAGAAAAGACCATTTTTGGGAGGTGCGCGTTTCATGTTTTTTGTGTGTGTTTGCGGGGTGGTGTGTTTGGGGGATTGGGCATGGTGTGGATTTCGGCAGGGCGCTTCAGAGACCTCCGCGGATCCCGCCCGCCGCCGCGTGGCCGCGGTGGCGGAGGCGGAGGGAGAAGCCGTGGCCGGCTTCGCGGCCAAGCTCCGGAAAGCGCCCTGGAACCTGCAGGCGCTCGTGGACTGGGCTTGAAAGCTAAGCATACCCGGGGTTCAGGCCTGCCACCACTAAAGCAATGGTCCATTATTTTTCGTTCAAAATTCAAATTGGGCTAGGCTCCAGCTAGGTGCCCTTTCTCACCTTTTTTTTGTTTGGGAGCGCTTTCCCCTACTAAAATAGACTACAGGAAAAAGTTGGTACCCTTACTTATTCTAACCTCTCAAATCTGGAGGACCTAGGATCTGCATATTCTGGGGTTCCGGCAGGCCACCAAATTAACGCAATGGTTGGGTTCATATTTCACCCAATTCGTAACGCTGAAATCGTTCGGAAAGGATTGTCGTCATGTTGGGTCCTTTCCTTTGCTGGGGGTTGAACCGGTTGAACAGGGATGGCCTTGGGTTTGGGTGGCTCCTGAGAGCCATCCGGCGCTGAGCTTTTTAGATCTTTTGTTTTGGGGTGTAGTGGTTGGATTTGCCGATTTTTTCACCCACTAAAAGAGATCAATGGCTTCCATTTGCTGAAATTATGTTGTTTGTCATTTCCAACCTGTTAGGTTTAAAGTTGGAATCGAGTTCACTACTGGAAATATGCGTCTGTCTTTTTTCAGGGGCATTGAGGAAATGGAGGATAAGCATAGGTGAGACAGGATCAAAACCCGGTTCGATGAGGGATAGTGCCAACCACAATCGGTGCAGCCGCGTTTTCTAATTCTTTACAGATCGAGCTCATTGAATGCCAGGTTTTAATTATGACTCAGGTGTCCTTCTTACTTGACGGTTCCGGCCCCCTTGGCTTCTGTTTTTCAGTGAAGGAGCAGTTCGCTTCAATACGCCACCCTTTCAGCTTGGCTCCAGCCGATATACCGGAATTAGTTGTTGCCATTTGGACATGCTATACCCTTGACTCCGAGAGGTGTGGGTCCCAACATGGCGCAGGGAAGGCAAACGAGTTCCTTCCTTTTCTCACATAGTGGTTCAAGACATGCTTGCCCGGCGCCTGGGCTGCAAATATGTGAATGTGCAAGTGCTGCCAACCATTCACCTGATTGAATGGCTGCAGGAATAATCCGATACTCTAGAAATTGTTTTCCCATTCTTTGCGGGGATCCTTCTTTCCAGAAATCCTCTGGACAGCCCGCGAAAACGGCTGGTTTTTGAAACAGCGATGGTTGAAAAGAATGGGTGGGGAACCCAACCCTCGAGACACTCGAAATGCTTATGTGTTCGCGGGATCGCATATCGTCATCGGGGACCACAACATACTGCGCGACTGTTCACACGATGGAAAGCGCATGAGAGTTTCAGCTTTCGCCTTTGGGCAGGTAGAGGCAAGCCTCTTGCAAGCGTAGGGTGTGGCAAACAGCTCGCGTGTGTCAAGACAGCAATTCATGTGTCTACTGGTATAGGTTTCCCAGTGGCCGTGCCCACGAGCTTCAGAGGCACACGCAAGGCACGGATGCCAAAGTCACAGCAGTTTGTTTTAATTATTGAGTCACCCGTCAGTTTGGCTCAAGCCGATGTACCAGTATTGGCCGTTGCCATTTGGATATGCCATACCTTGACTCAGAGAGGTGTGGGTCCCAAGATGGCGCAGTGAAACCAAACGAATTCCTTCCTTTTCTCACATAGTGGTTCAAAACGTGCTTGCCCGGCGCCTGGGCTGCAAATATGTGAATGCGCAAGTGCTGCCAATCATTCACTTGATTGAACGGCAGAAGGAGACAATCTGATGGTACCCAGTGACCATGTCACGGAAAGAGCAGCGTGCTACCTGGAAGGGGTCGGCTCGCGACCTTAACAAGTAGCTGCAGCGCGTCAGCGTGCTTGAATTGCAGAGGTTCAGTACGCTCTGTCGCTTGGAATGGGCCGTGTTCAGGTCTGGAGTGTTAGATGGCACTTGGGCACATGGCGTTCGCCAGAGATAACTTTGAACTGCATTTAAGATACCATGACAAGGAGCATCATGTTGCCTTGATCTGTGCAAAGCAAGGAGCTGCCGGACGCTACCAGCTCGGCTGTGCCCCGAACATCTTGGCAAGCTTCAGCTTCGGACTGCTGCTGGCTGGTAGACACACTGCTGGCCTGCGAGCTTTTTGAGTGGACGACTTGCCTTGCTGCTTTGAACCCGGCGCATGTTGGGACACAATTCCGTAGCGCGGTCTTGGTCTAGCGTGTGCTTTCGGGGTTGGCTTCGCCCGCAAGAGGTCGCTTGGAATGGGCCGTGTTCCGGAAGTTCAGGATTGAAGGAGTGCTAGATGGCACCGCAAGGAGCAGTATGTTCCCTTCACTTGAGCAAACTGCGGACCCGTTGGGCCCAACCCTCTTGGCAGTGCCCAGGAATGTGGTAGTGGACACAATGCTGCTGGCCTGCTCGTGCGCTCACGCCTTTTGAGCTGGACGCCGTGCAGCATGGGCAACTTCGAAGCCCTGACGCTTCAAAAAGGCTGGTGCTCGTTGGGAGATCAAAGGCTGGTGCTTGTTGGGAGAAAACATAGATGCAGTGCTGGGTCTAGAATGTGGTTTTGTGGCTGGTTGCGCGTCAACGTAGCTCGCCAGAGAACCTTCGCACTGCATTTAAGATACCATCACAAGGATCATCATGTTGCCTTGATCTGTGCAAAGCAAGGAGCTGCTGGACGCTACCAGCTCGGCTGTGCCCCGAACGTCTTGGCAAGCTTCAGCTTCGGACTGCTGCTGGCTGGTAGACACACTGCTGGCCTGCGAGCTTCTTGAGTGGACGACTTGCCTTGCAGCTTTGAACCCGGCGCATGTTGGGACACAATTCCGTAGCGCGGTCTTGGTCTAGCGTGTGCTTTCGGGGTTGGCTTCGCCCGCAAGAGGTCGCTTGGAATGGGCCGTGTTCCGGAAGTTCAGGATTGCAGGAGTGCTAGATGGCACCGCAAGGAGCATCATGTTCCCTTGATTTGAGCAAAGCGCGGGCCCGCTAAGCCCAACCCTCTTGGCAGTGCCCAGGACTGTTGCTGCGGCTAGTCGACACCATGCTGCTGGCCTGCGAGTGCGCTCACACCTTTTGAGTTGGACGCCTTGCCTTGCAGCATCGTCCAACGTAGCCTGTCAGAGATAACTTGGACCTGCATTCAAGATACCATCACAAGGAGCATCATCTTGCCTTGAGCAAAGCACAGAGCAGGCTGCATCCAGCTTGGCTGTGCCAACGTCTTGGCAAGCTTCAGCTTCGGACTGCTGCGGCTTGTCGTCACACTGCTGGCCTGCGAATAGGCTCCTGCTTGTTGCGTGGGGGAATTGCCTTGCAGTGCTCGTAGCGCCGCAACTTTCTGGCCCTTGCACTGTTGAGCCCGGCGCATGTTGGGACGTGGTGCAGTCTTGGTCAAGTGTAGCTTCCTAGCTTGTTTAAAGCCTATAATCCCCAATGATTAGGCGGACTGCGGATTATGCGGTTTACGGATTAGATTGCGCGGTTTGCGGATTGCGGATTATGGAATTTCCGTGCTTTAACATGCGCTTTTGACCCACAAATTGCTGCGCGAATTACGGATTGAGAAGATTTGCAACAAGCACAAGGAAAAACATGTGTTAGGCTCCTGAGATTCGGACAGGCTCAAGAGGCCGCTTGGATTGGGCTGTGTTCAGGCTTGCAGGAAGGGTGTTAGATGGCACTCCAAGCGGCATTATGTTCCCTTGACTTGAGCATTTGAGTTGGATACCTTGGCTTGCAGCACCGGGATAAGGGCCGCAGCTTCTCGGGCACAACGCTTTCAAGGCTGGAGCAAGTTGAAATTCCATTCTGTGACGCAATCTGGATCTAGCCTTTGCTTCAGTTGCCGGCTGCGTTCACAGGAGGTTGCTTCAACTGCGATATGTTCAGGCTTGCAGGAGCAATGTGACATGGCGATTTGCCTTTCACTTGGGCTTCGCTGTACCCAGAACATCTTGGTGATGCGCGGCGCTTTAGGTTTTTCGATGTCCCGTGAAATCAGGCCCTTACACTGTCAGTCATGGCACGTCTTGAAATTCATTATGTTCAACTCAAAAATGCGGCCTAGCATTTGCCGCGACTGGCTTCGCTCGCAGGAGGTTGCATCAAATGTGCCATTTGGTTCAGGCTTGGAGCCGTGTGAGATGGCATTATGAGAAGCGGGTGCCTTGCCTTGACTTCAGCTTGGCCGTAGTTTGCGAGCTGAGAGCTCTGGACTGCGGCTAAAGGCCGTGCCGGCCTGCGCACACGCCCCATAGGCTCCTGGTATTAAGTGGGCGACTTGCCTTGCAGCGCTCGTAGCGCCGCAATTTTCTGGCCCTTACGCTCTTGAACCTGGCGCATGTTGGGACTCGATTCCCTGGTGCAGTCTTGGTCAGCCTGTCTTGCCGTGCTGGTTGCAGAACAACCTTCCAACGCTTATGCCTCGAAAGCTGGTGCGTTGCAGTTCCTCTGAAGCATTTGCTGAGTGGCGTCAAGAAAGCTCGCAGGAGCTTGCGCTTGGGGTAAGCATTGCACTGCCGCAAGATTTGAAGCATGACATGAGGAAGCGCGGGCGCTGGGACACCAGTGATTTTGGATTCGAGAATTTGATTTGACATTCGCAACGAGTGCTGCCAAGCTGAGCTGCTAGGCTGAGAACCCCCTGCTTGTTTTACCATCACTTCCTGAGTTCCGTGACTCGAGCTTCAGTCACTGGTTGGGGTTCGGACCATGGCGGTAAATGAACCGTTTTAATCCGTTTTTGGCCCATCCACTTGATCGGAACTGAGCTGAGCTGCTTTCCTCAGGCTAAGCAGATCGAGAAATTTGGCCTGCCAAGGCCAGCCTTAGATGCAGCGGAAGCGGAAGCACGCCGCGGCAGGTGATTTGAGGAGCCTCAAAATTCCGACTACAACCAAGTTTGAGGGTTCAGCTAGTCCCAATGTGGCTGTTTGTCTTCAATGAAAAGAAGAAGTATTGAAGAACATCAGGCCGAACCAAAGTCAGCCAGTGCGTAGGTGCCGTCGCCGCGGAAGCTTTGGCAAACATTTCGCAGCATCAGAACCCGTCGC